TCGTTCGTGCCTGTCCTGCTAAAATGGCTGACTCGCAGTACGCCACAGCACACCCGGCCAGCCGCGAGGCTGCGCTCGAAGCCACACGTGAGGCTAACAAAGAAGCATGGTTACTCCTTCACAATCGCATTTTGTTTGCATTGGCCATGCGCAATGAAGGTGAGACTCAGGTTTCTCAGGACCTTGTGGATGGATTGATGACCGAATGAACACCGGCCTCGGCCCTGAGGTTCTACGGTCGAGAGGATCCGCTTGCAGAATACCTTAGCTTCTGCTTTTTGCCAAAAAAGTCCCACATCGAAAAGATCATGTTGCCAAAGATGCCGGTTAACCAAGTAATCTGGATCTTAGTCTCAGACTCGTCATGTGCATTGATCACAGGGCGTAGGAAAACACTCAAGAAGTACGACCTGTCCGAGCATTTTCGACAGCGTAAACCTGAGTATGTGACTGAGTTCATCCATGAGATGCTTTGGGGCAAAACTTTGCAAAGATTGGTCAAACGTGGGATTGAATTGGCCGCGGACGCCCGCGAGCGCTATCCTGATGCCCGCATCAATCTGCATTTGTCCTGGTTCGGCAATGAATTGGTAGGTGAGGATGGGATTGCCCAAAATCCAAATTGGCCATACGACGGTCCCAATGGGCACTGGCCGACGCTTCAGGACGACTGTGAACGCCATTTGACTTGGTTCGTCAAGGAAGCCCAAAAGTTGGATTTGCAATCGGCCGGTCTCACCACCGCGCCCTGGTCCGCTGACTATGGCATTCATCCGATTTTTGATCAGTTTTTCGATGCCAGCGGCGCTGGAGCCCAAGTTCAAAGCCTTGACATGCAGCCCTCTCGGGCTTGCCAATCCCAATTTTCCATGGTTGCGTGCAAAGGGGTACACCGATGCAATGGAATTCAGAGACCAGTGGCATTTCGCCAACTCTGAAGAAAATCGCACACGGCTCTCTGCGTACTGGACGGAAACTTTGTTTGCCATTGACTGTGGATGGCGGGTTGGCCGAATAGGGCTTGAGCTTGCGCAATGTGGCCAGGAAACATGGGATGACTTGCGAAGGAACATGAGCGCCGTCCTCGACGAGCTGCCAAGATCTTATCAGGAGACATGCGCAAGCATCACCAAGTTGATTTTTGGAGAGTCCCGACGACACATCACTCCGACGGGCAGGTCATTCACCAGGGAAGATGTCGAAGCTCAACAACCTGACACAGAGGACTACATCGATGTCAAAACGATGCCTCCTGGAACCTTTGCTGAGCCTCCCAAGGATGATCCTCCAAAAACGGCCGCCGGCGACGGCGAGCCCGCCACATCCAGCAGAGCAACAATCATGGTCCAAACAGCCGAGGTCTTGTTGAAGTCGCGACCGAAAGCAGCACCGATCCCAGTGGCCGAGTCTGCAGATGACACAAAAGCCACATCAAGCCAGTACCAGCCGCAGGCAACTGCGCGCTTAGAGGATCATGCATCTGGCCACGTGACAGCATATTGGATGGAAGAGCATTTGCCCGAATACCAATATACAATGGTGACCAATGCAGACGGGGACGATGTACCCGGCATCCTTTTTGAAGGTACGGCTTACGAACTGGAACTGCTGTCGGCATCCGACGTCGAGACCATTGCCAGCCAGACTCGCGTCGACAAGAAATTTTCTGATTTTGCAACCCGCGTCAATAAAGTTTGCAGGGGGCATGGATCCTGTGCCAAGGTGCCAATGGACAAAGACCTTTGGATTGACTTGGAGGATTTTGCCAAAGCCTTCCGCAAGGAAGTGCCCCCAGACGTTTTCATCACCGTCTCAAACCTTTTTGGCACTGCAATGAAGATCGACAAGCATGGCAAGAGTAGGTTCCAATTCTTGTGTGCAAAGATTTCCCATTTTCCTGTCGACAATGGCTTAGGCATGCCGTATTATCCTGTGAAAATTCGTGCAATCCAGGGTCATTCCCAAGCTGCCTTGAAGTCCGCCGGGGGTCTTTATGCCAACTCAACCATGGTGTATTGCTCAGACCAAGTCTCCCCCGAGCGAAAAGCCGCCTTCACTGGCGTGCCCGTGTGTGCCATGACTGAGGTCCCTGACGTTGTTTTCCATCGCACGATGAGAAGCAGCTGGAAGAGCATCGCACAGAACGGCCTGATCCCAGGCGGCGGTGACTCAGTCAACAGCAGCCGTGCCCACATTTACATGGCGGAGCACTGCATAGGCACACAGGGGTATCGATCTGGATTGAGAGCAAAATGTCCAGTCGAAATCAAAATTGCAATGCGGCAAGCAGTTGAAGCCGGTGTCATCTTTAGTCGCACAGAAATGGATGGTATTTTGTGTTCAGAACGCATCCCACCCCAATTTCTGGTCAGCATCTCAGAGGATGGAAAGGTGCTTTGGTCCTGCGCCGAGAGCAATCTCGAGCCCAGCACATGGACAAGCGCGGAAGCAACCTCATCACCGAAATCCAAACAGGTCACTTTGACTGCCCGAGATGATGCAAATGACGACCCAATGGACGACACCAGCACGGGGCGACCCGATGCCAAATCCGCAGATGACAATGCCACCGATGAGCCAATGCAAGTTGACCAGCCACCCGCGAGGGTGCGCCGTGTTTACGTTGCACCGAAGTACTGCGAACCTTTCATGGGCACCTGCCCCCTGTGCCAGGTCGAGTACGTCAGTGGCCAGGTGACATGCACCACATGTGGATTTGAGCCACTCCCAGTGGACGAAAGTGGCGAAACAAAAGGGGCCGACCAACCCAATAGGAGGACCCGCATCTTGGAGAAGCGCGTGCAGAAGCTTGCAGGGTTTGGGATGTTTGGCAAAATGAGCGGCACCCTGTTGACGGCATTGACCAATGAACAAGCCGATCTTCTTCGCCGGGAACTGGGCCCAAGGGGGATTACATCCATTGAATCAGCAGTCATCAAAGACTGCCGCGACCGTCACAAACGAGCAAAGGCACTTGGCTATGAAGACGTGGAAGATCGCTATGCAAGTGACGTTACGTTTTGTGACCGTGTTCATGGAGAAGGGAAGGGCTTAAAGGAATGTATTTTTGACGATATGTTCGCGTATGCCAATCTTCCAGATCCGCCCCGCACCAGAGCCCAGATCTCGGCTGGCGTCGCCGCCAATGCCCAAAATGAACATTGCTTGTCAAAGTTGATTTTCATGTCCCAACCTCGAGGTGTGGAAGGATTCCCCGTTGAATTTCGCAAGACATGGAAGAAGACTTGGGGTTTCATGTTCGGCCGCCACATTTTTACAGAAGATGAATATGTCAACTACATCGGCCGTCGCGGCGCATTTCGTGGCCTGCTGACCTGGAAGGGCACCGTCCAAGTTCCTTTTGATGGCACTCTTGAATTCCTCGAAAAGCTGTATGAGGAAAACCTCCCATTGGTTCGGGGCAACCTTGAACGCAAGGAGAAACAGAGCGCCGCTGCAAAGGCTGGAGGTCCTGGAGGTCAAAAGGCCGACCCCACGGTCGCGCCCACAGTTGAGCGAAAACGCAAAGCCGAAGCTGACACATCTGCCACTGGACATGATGACACAGCCGCCTCAAGCTCCGCTCACGCAGACGCCTCGCACGTTGATGCCTCATTTGGTCCCAAAGCAGCACCATTCCTTGCACCAGAGCCACCAACACCCAAAGGAGGAGCACGACCATTCTTGGAGCCTGAGACACCGCACACTGGCAAAAGCAGCAAGCACAGTCGCACCAAAGGCTGCAAGCTCTGGTCGCCCGGATGCCTCTTGGAGTTGGAATCGTGATCACTATGGTGCACGCCGTGAATGGAGTTTCTGGCATGGGGCTTGGTATTACCGTGACGAGGCCGGCGGCCGTTGGATCTACTGGAACCGCAGGTAGACGATGATTTTCTTTTGTAGCATAGCGCAAGATGCGGCATGGTAATGTGCCTTCCTTGCAACGCTGCGCTGGGTTTTACGGGCTTGAGCTTTTTAGAGGGACCTTTGAAAGACTGCACAAAATGTCCAAAACCAAATAAACAAACTTGGCTACCCGCGAGGGTATGCTCTTCAGGGTTATTCGTTCTCCACAGTCGTCCCTGCTCGCCCGAGGGGGGTGTAAAAACTCCTGCAGTAAAACCATGTATTGTATATATCATCGTACTACTCTGTAGCGTTGGTTCAAAAGGATCAAGAGCTTAGCAGCTTATTGTGGTTTAGCCCCATTGTTATTGTAACATTGTTGGCTGACCTGTGAATATACATATACATATATTTTTGTTTCCCCTCAGACGAACCCCACATGAGATGCTGCAGTTGTAAGTGTGGGAACTATAGGTCATTAACTATCTAGCATCCTGGAAAAACGGCTGTATCTTTTTTGGACCCCTATACTATATAGCCTATAGCTCACCCAATTTTGGTCCCCTTAAAAGAAATTGAACACTTAAATCAGGGATTCTTTGGCAGAATTTGACATGTTGAGGGGACCTCCAGCAATCAAAGCTAGCAATGGAAGAGTCAGGTTGTCGGAGAATATAGGGTACCCTAAATCCACTCATTAATCATCAATATCCCTAGCAATATTACCATTTCAAACACAACAAACTATCACACACTCTCACGCCAAGTTCTATTTTATATCCAATCATATCCAATAATTTCCCAACGAAACCATACGAAACCATGATTTTCATTGGTTAAACCCATCTTTCTGGATTCCCAGACGGTTGGTTGGATGTGCACGTGCGGCCAGTTTAGTAACCGATATTTTTGAGGGTTTCCCATTGCTGCCTTTGATTCCGGGAGGGAAGTAATACGGAGTAATACAGTAAATGCATTGCCTCTGAACAAAAAAACATCTTCATTGATCTTAATTGTATCTTAAACATATAGACATAGGATTTCAATCATCCACCATACATTGCCATACATACTTCCAAACTTTCCAAACTTGTCAACGCCCCCAGTGAAACCCTATCCCTATCGCAACAGCCAAACCCTTCAACCGCGGCCACGAAGGAATCTTTCTTCGCCAAAATAGAGGCATCGATCTCCTTCAAGCCCTGCGTTCGACCGACTTTCCGACTTCGGAGATTCAGCAAAGAATGGATTATTTTTTTCAGAATGAGGGGTTTATCTATGATTTATCCATGGTTTATCTATGATTTATCCATGTTTACCCATTGTTTACCCATTGTTTATCTATGATTTATCCATGTTGGTTATCTATGATTTATCCATGTTGGTTATCTATGATTTATCCATGTTTACCCATTGTTTACCCATTGTTTATCTATGATTTATCCATGTTGGTTATCTATGATTTATCCATGCTTATCCATGGTTTATCGAATGTTAATCCATGTTTACCCATTGTTTATCTATGATTTATCCATGTTGGTTATATATGATTTATCCATGCTTATCCATGGTTTATCTATGATTTATCCATGTTTACCCATTGTTTATCTATGATTTATCCATGTTGGTTATATATGATTTATCCATGTTTATCCATGGTTTATCTATGATTTATCCATGTTTACCCATTGTTTACCCATTGTTTATCTATGATTTATCCATGTTGGTTATATATGATTTATCCATGCTTATCCATGGTTTATCTATGATTTATCCATGGTTTGTCCATGCAGCGATTCCACCCATTCAGAAAGGCACCTTTTCATTGATGGCCCCAAATTTCACCAGGAGTGCGACACGACAAATTGAGACATGCAGGTACATGTTGACCACAACATGCCAGGCGCATCATCATATCTGATGCTTGTTGACTTTCCTTTCAAAATAACTCCGCAAAATCGCTCCAAATTAGTTGCCAGGTGATTCTTCAAACGTCTTCAAGCTTAAAACATCTTAAAACATCTTAAAACCATCAACGACTCATAAGACTCATAGCGGTTCACAACAATTCCAAAAGATCAAAGATCACAATTTAGATCTCAACAGGCACTTTCTCATTGAAACACGACCTTCCTGGCATTCCCTGCCTTGGTTGGTTCGCCAGCTGCCTTGCAGGCCACTACCTCCGCAGCCAGCTTGCCAGCAAAGATGGCACCCTCCATGCTTCCCAAGAACTTCCTCAGTGGCTGCGACATGGTGCGACCCCGCTTGGTTCCTCACTTGGTCATTGGGCTTGGGAAGATGTTTGATCAGAACCTCGTGTCTGGAAATGGAAGGATACGACTCCTCTATTCAAGTGTTTCTCCCCTCTCTCTGGGGAGATCATAAAAATCATAAAAACCTGTGGATATCCGTGGGTTTTGAATGATTTTGATGGATTATGGACTTTGTCTCAAAACGGCCCATTTTTGGACCACCGGACCACCGCTCTGCCACGTCACTGGCTGGTCCAATCGCCTGCCAAGGTGAAATTCTTGATGGGGGTCTCCTGCGCTCTCACATGGCTGAGTCAGCCAGGTTTCACCAGGGATGTCTTGGGGGTTCTACTGATTCTGGTTGGTGGTTTTAACCATCTTGAAAAATATGAAAGTCAATGGGAAGGATGACATCCCATATATTATGGGAAATATAAAATGTTTGAAACCACCAACCAGCAACTCATTTATGCACTTATATGAAGCTATATGAAAGTCAGTTGCTATCAAACTTGAGCACCTTGAAGTTGAAATATGCACTCTAGCGTCTACACATGAACCCTTAAAAAAAACGCAAACAAACCCAAACCCCTTAAAACAGGAAAACGCAAATATAGGTTCAATTTACTACCATTTCAGGCACTTCCAGGCTTGGATTTTGCTTTTCCATCTTTTCTTGGTTTCTATGGAGCTTTCCCGAGAAAAATGGGGGTACCCCCATGGTGCACCTGCGAGGGGCGGAACTTATTTCGCCCTGGGACGGCCGCATAGACACTTCGTGGCACCTGGCCGGTGGCTGATTCTCGAGTCGCTGTGATCATGGCTGGAAAGTCACCGATCAAATGGAGGTTTTAAGGGGGATTTTCCATTGCTATGTTTGATCATCGGAGGGTATTAGGTGATAGTAGGGGAGGATATTGAGATATATTTGGGGCATTGTCTTAGTCTCAGGTTGATGATGCTGATGATTTTGGAATCATGTGGAGCCCCACCCAGCTTTCATGATCAATTTGCAGGCCAAAGTTTGAACTTTGAAGTCTTTCAAGATTATTTTCGAAAAGATCTCTATCAATATTCATTTTTGAAAGCTTAATTGAAAGGAGATCTCAAAAGATCTCAAAAGTTCTCAAAAGTATGCCTACACACATGTGTGTATGTGTATATATGTATATATATCTTTGTTTGGATATCCTTGAACATGCTTAAACACATCCATTCGTTTGGAGACTTTGGCACTTGCCGGAGCCAGCAAAGGGGAATCCTGCCTTTACCACGGCGTGCTTCAGCAGTTTGGCGCCGCCTGAAGCGAACCCCATGGAAGCCCAAATATGATGATCATCCATTGGGTTGTTGATGGTTTTTGGGGGACACTATTTTCAAACAAACATAGCTATGGAAAATCACCATGTTTAATGGGAAAACTCACTATAAATGGGCCATTTCAATAGCTATGTTAAATTACCAAATATTTTTTTTTGGGCCATGTCCAAAAACGAGAAATATCTGCCAGAAGCCAAGTCTTCGATCATTCTGCAGCGTCCATGTTCGAAATTGCCCATTTCTTCGCGTATCCAAAATGAAACGAGATAGAAAATTTGCTCCCAGCAGCCTTCACTGCTGAGTCCACCCCAGCCATCACTACCGACTCAACGTATGTCCACCCCAGCCATCCCACCAGTCCCACCAGTCCCACCGTCAGGCAAATCTTCACCAATTTCCGTGGGGAAGAGCCGTTCCAGCTCCTGAAAGAGTCATCCATCCATTCATTCTCTGGATTTGTGTACTTTTTTGAATTATGATTTGACGTGATGATCATCAAATCAACATTCATATATAGATTATATAGATGTTTCCGGTTGCTGGCCCGTACTTTTTGGATATACCATGAGAAGATGAGAAGAATTGTTTTTAAAAACAATTAAAAACATATATGTCCTCCATGTTTTGACATTTTTGGGTGTATCCTGTTGCTATCCAGCCGAGGCTGCCTTAAGCCCCAGTCCTTCATGGTGGCTGCCACGATTTCCTCATCGCTCTTACCCATCCTGAGGCGATATGACAGCATCTGGGATGACCATGGGCTACCAAGGGCCATTGGTTTAAACACACGGTACTTAAACGACCCTCACACATGTTGGCTTGGGGAAAATAAATGATATAGTATGATATAGTACTGTTTCACATCATCTATATCATTCTCATGCTGGAGTCTGAACATCATTATCCAAAAATATCTTCAAAACACCTTGTCTTTGTCCAGATTACTGTTCTATACCCTCTGGTAATTTAACATAGCTATTGAACATGGCCATTTATAGTGAGTTTTCCCACTAAAAATGGTGATTTTCCAGTTCGCCATGTAACAAATTACCAGAGGGTACCTTTGTTTGTTCCGTTCCACTTGATCCACTTGCAGGCTTCATTTTTTAAATGGGCTTCATGAAAAATGGTTCCACAAAACAACCTGAGGAGATCCCCCCGGCGATGTTCCAAGGCACCAATTGACACCTCCACCGGCGATGGGCGAACAAGGCGCGAAGACCAGTTCCAACATCGACTTGTCCTGGGACGACTTGGGTCCAAAGTTCATGTCTAGAGGCAAGGGGTATGCCAATTCTATAATATAGAAATATTATATATATATATATACACATATATATATATATATTTATATTTATATATATATATTAAATGATATATAGAAATATTATATACATATATATATATATTATATCCATATCCATATGTTTGATGGTTAAGACCCATACTCTCTGGTTATTTAACATAGCAAACTGGAAGCCATGGCCCACAAAACCCCCCAAGAAAAATAAAAAGGTTGGAAAACTGAACGTTTTTTGGAGGGAAACATCATCGAAGTTCCATCCTGACTACACACTTTTCAGCATCTATTTTTTGGGTTGCTACAATATTAAGCCATCTTCAAACATGGTTTAGTAGAGAGCGCAAAACAAACTTTTGGATGTTTAGTATGTTTAAAATTAAGGGGATTAAATGAAAAGTGCACAGTGAGACTTTCTTGTGGGAGGTTTTGTATCTCCCACGTGTTCTCCTATGATCGTGATGTTCTGATCTATCTATATGCAGCTACCAGCGGCAGGTCCTCATCTTCGTACTCTTTGCCTTGGGCACGCATTTTCCGACATTTTCTGATGTCAAAAAATCCATACAGTGGATGGAAGAAATCCTACACTACCTTGGATGGTTGAAACCCTATAAATAATATAATAATGGGAAAAACCAGTGACCACTTATCATCTGCTGCAGGATTTCTTCCATCTGCAAAGCTTTGATTTGGCCGTTCCCCAAGGCCGGCCACGCACCACCAAGGACGACCCGTTTCTTGCGGCAAGGTGCAGCAAGTGCTCATATCCGCGTAGACGGACAGCAACGGACTGCGGCTGAAGCAGAGGTGGTTCACATTCAGGAGCCTGGGATTTCAGCGACCCATGCAGCAGCCTGTGGTTGAAACATGTGAAAACCAAATGACCTCGCACACTTCACCATAGAAGTGATTCACCACAATGGTTTCTACACAGTTGCAAAGTAACATCAGATATCGCCGTTGTGCACAAGGGCGAATCCTAGGTAACTATTCTTGTTGCCCATTTCCATTCATCATCCAATCATCCAATCATCCACTCATCCAATCCACAGTGCCAATCCATCCCAATCCCATGAAAAAATCCCGAGCCCAGGCGCTTGCGATCGAACCAAAGGTGGATGTTGATCACTGGGATCCCCTCCAACTCATCGATCTGTCGGAAGAAGGGATCCGTCGACCAGGCCCGGGGAAGGATGCGCTTCATGATGTCACAAGGCACCTGAGAAAGGCGGTTGAATTGATGCTTTGCTGGGGGATCATTAGATGGTTCAAAAATCGGAGTCCAAGTGTGAAAATTTGAGAATGTGGATGAATACGGTAGCTTAACGAAGTTTTAAAATCCGCAGTCTGCACGCCGCCGGGCCCTTTACAGTCCATATTGTCGGAAGTTTGACTTCTAAACTTCCTTCGATAAACTTTTAGGGAATTTCCTAGCTACTCTAGCCATATTTCATTCCCGGAGGCTGCATGTCAGTACTGGAATGGGATTCCTATGGGAATACCTGCCGTTTAGGCACCGAGGAAACGTATTCATCTGCCACGATCTCCTTTCCATCGCGCATCTTGAAGCATTTCACCGAACCATCCTCATTGGTTTCGATACCTGGAACATGGTGAAAAATTGCCGGATGGCGGACGGAGGATGTGTCCAACCTCATGGATGTTGGCTTAAAGCTGAATCAAAGCCCTATTTGGGGACGTTATTTGGGGACCCTCTCAAAATATGAGGAGTTCCCTCGAAATTCTCCAATTGGATAAGAATTGAAAAATCCGGCGAAGGTTCAAATCATCAACGACTCATCCCGAGAACTTCCGGAAATTCGTGATCAGTACATGTACAAACCGTCCCCATGATACCCGGTGGAATTTCAAAACTGCAGCTTTTCACTGGACTGATCAAAACAGAAGCTCTTTTCAGTCCCTCGGCCCAACTGCTGATGTCATCTCTTTCTCTCTCTATCGCCATCTCGTCAAGTCAATGTCATCCCCACATCCTCTTGACCATCGGTTTTCCTATTAAACATGAACAGTAGTGACCGACAGTATAACTTATAGATGAAGTTGGGCTTCCCCATGGTTTCTGAAACACCTGGGTTTGTACAAGAATTGGGTGCTCCGAAAATCCAGTTATATATTTATCATCGTTTTCCCCACTAACACGGCAATATTAGGGGTATTACCAGTAAGCTATCAAAACAAGTAAATTCCACCATGAAAGTAATAGTATCCTCCGAACAGCCAACAGGCCAACAGCAGAAAGATATATAAAATGATATAAACAGCTCTCTCTCTCTCTCTCTCTCCAGCGCCATCTCTCATCAACAGCGCCATAGTTTTGGGGAGTTCTTGGAGAAAAGGACTGGCCAAGAAACTGGCCAAAGGCTGGTTCAGCAACACCTGGCCACCTCGTTCCTCGATGTATTGCTTCATGGGTTCGCACAAACGTTCGGTTTGGTTCCCATCGATAAAGGCCATCTGTAGACCTGGGGAGGTAGCCCCATGACAAAACGGAAATCTCCATAGGTGTAGGAACTGAAAATGGATGTGAACGAGTGAGACCATTTTGGACCGGGAAAACCAAGGGTGAAACGTTCACGAAAGAGTTTCATCTTGACATCCTGATATTCTCGTTACAAAATGCAGCTCCATGGAGCGTACATCAAACATCCAAAACTTCCATGAAATCGGTCCTCATGGGTGAAGCAACGTGCCGTAAACCATAGAAAAACACGAATCAACTGTATTGGCGAACAGTGCCGTGCTTGACTGCCCCTTTACATTCAGCACCACTGGAAACCCCCTGGTCCTCCAGCTCACTTTGAGCCAAACCGCAATAGGTTCATAGTTGATTTACAAGATCCTGCCAAATGAAGTATTCAATAAATGCGATATAACAAAACCCCCTTATAAATATATCAATAACCATGCATGAATATACCAGTAATATCCAGTAATTATAGTTAGAACCCATAGCTAACTATGGGGCCCCTTCCTGTACCAAACATGGAGGAGCCAGAGCCCATTCCAAGACTTGCAGCTTGCCCTCAAGCTCTGCCGTCAACCGTCAAGGCGCCATCGGTTGATAACCCCATAAACTGATCATAAACTTCGCACATCACTTTTTTTTTTATACATAATCATATACATATAAAATTATACTGATCAGATTCCATCTTAGCAAATTTCCGTTATAACATATCATAACCCATAGGATCCATGGTGCTGCTATAATATATAGCTATATGATGACATGGATCCCATCAATCTACCCCCCAGTCATGTTAGCATTTTTCTACCAGCACCATGGATCCGTCATGGGTGGGGGTACCATCCAAGGCGCCATCGGTTTCGTTGAGGAAGCGATTCATGGCTGTGAGCACCACCGTCATGGACAACTTCTCGGGGTCGATGAAATCCAGGGCCTTGGCCATGGCGATGAAGACCTCCGTGTTGATCCTGGCGATGGACTCTGCGGGAATTGCTGTGATTTTATAGGGAAAATATGGGAAAATGCTGGTTCAAGTAGGAAAAATGGTGCTTTAACAATGCTGTCATTGAGAACAATATTGAACAGTGATGCGGTTTAAATAGAAACAACATGAAATAACTGCATAATACTTCATAGCGATGTCACTGTTTCACCATCCAAAAATGGTGGCATTGATCAACAAACCGTTTGAGATTCAACGAGGGACACAGCGATGGTCCTGTCTGGCATGCCGTACTTCTCCATGAAATTGAATACCTCGCTGCACCGCAGCGCAACATGGGATTCTGCACAACCAAAATCCACAGAGGTCTTTCAACTTTTTGGATCTTTGCGGCCAAGAATCTTGCCAGATTCATCATCAAACATCTCATAATCACTGGATGTCTTTTTGCTGATCTAAACACTTTCTATTTAGTGCAAGAAAAAGAACCTTAGCACCACTGTAAATCAGGATTGTGATTAGTCACTCCAATCAACAAAGCCATCGATGTAAACAGCATACTTGTACATATACATATATATATACTTCTTCCCCGGCACAATCTTCCCTGCACCAAGGAAGAAACAATCGAAATCACATTTCTCAGAGTCTTAGAGTCTAGAGCTGTCCAACTCTACCAGCCTGTCCCCCAAAATCCTGACCCTTCGGGATTTCACCAAGCCCATGGCGTCATCACCGCCCACCATGGCATCAGCCAAGGCGCGGAGAGTTCATCTTGCAAATCGATGAACTTCTGACCTTCCACCAGCATGGGCAGCAGGGCTGGAGCTGTCTGAAGCTTCTCGGGCAAGGTCAACATCTTCCTGGAGAAAATCTGGATCTGTACTGGTTGGTGGTTGGTATACCTACCCATCTGAAAAATCATGGAGTTCGTCAAATGGGATGATGAAAATCCCATAAAATCCCAATATATGGAAGAATAAAAAGCCATGTTCCAAACCACCAACCAGTGTACCATGGTGGATGGTGCGATTTTTTGAAGACATGCAACAAACAACCCTACAGTATGTTGCACGATGACTGTGCCACCTTTTTTGGCCAATGTGATGCTTGAATCATCTCTGCAGAAAGGATGAACATATATAATAACATATATGAACATATCAGGAGATCACAAGACTACACCAGAAATGACAGGACCGGTTGAAACATGTGAAGAGAGTGGGTCTGACGATTTTTTGAATGATGATGCACCATGATCGTGCTGATCGAAATGGTCCTATTCAAATCTATTCTAATACATCTATGAAATTTGATGAGCACACCAAGATAGTCACATGGCAATCACATGGCATTTTCCAAGTCAAATCACCTGGCGATCACCCTCCCCTTCTGCATCCCCAAGCTAGCTCTTCCCTCGTTCGGAGTGGCTGATTCAGCAGAATGGACAGGGCAAAGTTGAAGGGTGCCGGGATGCCCTCCAAAAAATCGAAGGTCGTAAACTCTCCAGGCAACTCCTCTGATGGTTTCGCTCACTTTGAAAACCGACGGCTGAAGGGAAAGTGGGGATGGCTTTAGCTTTATAAGGGAAAGTGGGGGAAATAGGGGGAAATGGTTGTTGAAGGTTGTTGACCTTTCGAATCCATGACGAAGCCCTACGGCTTCATGTTGGCAAACTTTTAGCGCGCAGGCAGCTCGCTCCCCCCTGCATACCCATAGCTCATCATAGCTCCTAAACAGTCTCCTCCTAACCAGTGGATAGCCAAAGTGTTGTCTTTAAAGCCCATTGATGGTCCATTCTGGTCATGTTCCAGTTTGCTGATGTGAAACTACCAGTGGGTCATATCCCCAACCCGAGAGTGGGGATCAGAATGGATCAGATCAGTGGGGTTTAGTTTAGTAAGGTTTTGGCTATAGTTGTTTGCTGATCATACTCTTTTAATTTGAATTCATAGAATTTATAGGGAGCCCCAATGACCCCCAAATGATGGGATCTGAATTCCCATTGTTCATCTTCTACGGAAAAGGTGTTTCGATTTTTTGGAGCTGGAGTAGTACGGGGGAATCTTTCGGTCCCAGCTCCCTTCTTCGGATGTGATCAGCTCCATGGCGCAGCCGCCAAGGTCAGGTCGAACTGGAATGATGCTTAACGAAGAGTAACTATCCCAAGAAGAAGCTGTATTGAAAAGGTTAGGGGATTATTATATTATTATTTATACACATATTAAATCATATTAATATGTAGCATGTATATATATATATATATATATATATATTACATAGAATATTTACACATGTCCAGAAACTTGGATTCCCAAAGAACCCAACCCAACCCGACCCGAGTCCTGCATGGCAAAGATCATCTGGTGCCGTTTCCACTGCAACCGGTCTTCAATATCCAGCTCCGAAAAGATATTCATCCTCGATTTTGGTGCTATTTTTCAACCAGCAAACCATGTGGATTCCAGCAGCTCTAAAACTAGGATGTTACAGGATGTTACCAAGAAGCCTGGGGATTTAGTGGCTGAAAATTGGGATATAACTGATATAACCAGCAAGAATTGGAGGGGCTGCCTGGCCAGTCGACACCTGATGCTGCAACACCAAGAGTCATGTTGGGATAGGCGCCGAAAAAGATGTGTAAACCTTGGGTGAAAGGAAGGTGAACCCCCATGGAGGACCTTGCCCAACATTCTGCCTGACATCTGATGGCATCCTTGGACCTTGTTGAATATTTTTTGGCGGGTCGCAGGTGAGGCATGTATTGGGTTTGACCGAAGGTTCAACCGGAAAACCAAGGAAAACCAAGGAAAACCTCTTGCACACAGCGGGTAATTAATCATGTTTTCCCTTCATGGCCATAAAGTGGGGACCCATGAGTCAATTTCATCCCCAAAGCAATTTTTCGCTGTGAAATGGTTCCGTTTTCAGAGTTCATGCCAGCCAGCTGAGTCCGACCTACATTCAAACAATTCCCATCATTCGAATAATCTCTTGGTAGTAAGGGTGAGGAAAATATGTAGGTCATTTAGGTAAGTCTTCCCAAGTAAGCGTCCATGATCAATATTTGAAGTGCTGGATTTGGTCTTGGCCTAGGTGGGTTTTGCATTCCCAAGGGCACTTTTAGAGGCAAGCGTATTCCCCTCAAAATTAGATAAGTCTCACCTCCGCACCCCCAAACGCATGGGTTCACCATCAGTATCTGATAGGTTGTGCCACCATGACCAGCTTGAATACCATCTTGCACATGTCCATCATGTTGCACGCCACTGAAAGGCAGATATACAGAGCCCTGCTACCCACCGTAGGACCCCTGAAAATCCACTGATGCCCTGCCAAGCGGCCTGTCTCAATCCAGTCCCCATCCTTATCTTTCCAGGCCGAAACCTTTCCACCTCGGTATCGAGATTTCGCAGTGGACGCTGGGTGATCTACCGGTGGAAATTGTGTCAAGTAAAAAGACGCCATGAATCCAGATTTAGGCTTTACGGCTTTCCAGATTTTGGTTTAGTGAAGTGGCTTTGTTTTACCAAAAAAAAACGACCGAAACACAAAAAAACACTGGTACAATGATGATTTCAAGGCGCATGAAGATCCGTATGGAGCTGTATGAAACTTCTCACCAACGGTGGCATCTTCAACCCAGGGGACTTCAAGTCCCAGGTCCATGTCCTCCAGACATGAGCCTCTGAGCTGCGGCCAAGGGACCCAAACAGTCCCGAGCCTCTAGCACAATTGGCTTATGACCGGCATCCACCAAATACTTGGCACAGGAGAGGCCTCACGATGACCGGCTCCATCTTTACATCCTCGCGTTTACCATCATTAGCACCAACAGAAACACTATCACAACCACTATAACCCACCTTTTCCATCTTTTTACGATGCATCTGTCAATATTATTTCATCATTCTTCCAAGTTGTACTGAGCTTAAGATCCACAGATCTCTGCAAGTTACCGCCCCACCACGCTCACCACGGACACTGCCTGACAGGCCGCCACCAATGATGGCCACCTGCGAAACCAGGTCTTTTTCCGGCCAGGAATCTGTGAATTTGTTGGACCTGGGGGGTTCATCCCATTCTTCTGGGAGATAAGAAACACAGTATTGAGCACCCAAGCTCAGTAAATAAAACAAATAAACATACATCTATAGATATTTTGCAGCAGAATTATACATATATCATGTGTATTCATGGTCTAACTATGCCTATATGCCACTCTGCATTTGAAATGTTCAATCAACGTCAACTGGAGAGACAACGTTCCGCCAAGTCACAGTCTTGGACTCGCCTTTACCCTTCAAAGCCATGAGTTTCTTCGTCAGGGCCGTGGATTCCCTGTAGTTATCCTTACAAACCAGCGACAAGAGTATTGGATCAAGTTTCTCAGATTCCTCCAACCAAAAAAAGAAACTCAACAGTTGCAACCTAAAAGGAAAGTAGTTCCATCTTTTGCTCATCTTCTCCCAATGATTTTCCCATGACTTTCCCATGTTCTGCACATCTTTCCCCATATCGAAACCCCACATTTTCGCAGAGAGTCGGTCTCACTGATGCAGGAGGGTTTGGGGAAATCCTGCGGGTCTTCCGGTTCGTTGGTCGCGGGGTTCACCGTCCTGGTTTGGCCCAGTGGCCCAGTGACTCTGCATCTGAAGATGATGTGATAATATTGGTTCACCTCCGAACCACTGAGAGAGAGATACATATATATTAATTATATGTGTGTATATATAGTAACCTATATATATATATACATATAATTTATATGTTGTAGAACTCCTTCAACCGAAGCAACTGAAGTATGCTTAGTGGCGCAATGTGTTTTTGTGTTTTATGTCTAATGGCTTTGTTAAACGTTTCATGTGCGATGGGATTGATGATCATCCGGAGGGCCTGGACAATGTGAAGGAGGTATTGGTGGTTGGTAAATGGGGCCCAAAACATCATCCAACATCAACATACATCAACCATTTTTAGGCCACCTAACTGGAGTTGATCTGCTGGCATTTTTCCATGACTTCAGCGCCCTAGCCGCACCCGCAGCCGCTCCTGGTGCGCGACTCTTTCCTCGCCTTTCGCTGCACCTTCTGCTGTCGCGGGCGCGAAGCGCACGCAGCCACAGCACCGCAAGCAGCGCCAGCCAGGAGACTGGTGGACCTGAGGCAGGTCATAGTTCCCCGACATCATCAAGGGTTCATCAAGTTGACCCTTTTTGGGGCTAGTTAGGATATTTTTTCTACACATTGATCGTTTCTTTTCCTTGCTTATTCATTAAGAAGTGGCACTTTACCAGCATCAGGTTCACGGAGTCACTATAAAAAAAGGCGCGAAACACTTGTTTACTGTGAAAAATCATTTTAAGCATCTCAAAGGTAGTTCGGATATCAACAAACCAATGCTGAATTTGAGGAGCCCGCCACCCACGAACTCTAGCGATCTTATGTTTTATGCCTTTTCTCAGGCACAATGCCTGAGAAGGTGGAAGTCAAAATCTCTGGAGTTTTTGGTACCTTTCAGAAACACCACCCAGTCGACCCTCCAGAAAACCCGGTTGCATTCTCCAGAAGAAAGAAGAACGTCCGGGTTTTCTATTGTTTTCCTATGTTTTCCTCATGATGTTAAGCCTGAATTCATACACTGCTACACCCGGCCCTAGGTTGTGTAGGTTAACCCACTGGGTACCACTTTGGACTCGTATGAGACCAGCAACTTCGCCGCATCTGCTGGAGATGGTGGCGCCTCTGGATTTTTTCAGCCGAATTCATCATGTTCCACGAACTTTACCAGAAGTTGGGTGGCAAAACTCTGTGCGTATGATAGCTATACTATAAAATACATTAAAATACTACGTTACTACGTAGAACTACGTAGAACTCTCTAGTGGTTTGAGGTATTTAAGGTTGAGAAACGATATTGGTGATTGATGAGTGTCTGCGCTAGCAGCGTGTGATTGTTAGCTGATGCCACTCTAAGGCCGGAATTGAGATGGAATCTGTGGCCGTGTGCAATAGGATATTCTATGAATTTGGGGCCTGGAGTAGCTTCCTGAAAGAAACCTGGCCCCCAAAAAAAGGATTTCAAACATACAGTACCCATCGCTGGTTGGAGATACTTGTCGCCACCGCGAAGGTTATCTCCAACAAATATGGGATGGGAATCATCAGCCAACTTTGTTTCAAAATGAGGTATACACCTCATTGAAATAGACCTTGCCATGTCTGGAAACACCCATGCGCCACATCCAATGTTCCATGGAACTATACTCTTACGTGTCTTCGTCAGAAACACGGGTTTATCAATTTTAAGGCTAGCTGATCTTCGTTTCCAAGCTTCTGAATCCAAAAGACAACATCATCAACATATATCATATGGGGGTTTCCTACGGGAGCCACCCCAAATGGATGGTTTTTTCCATGGACAATCCCTTGAACACCTTCATCCTTAGCGCCTGTGCAGCCAGCGCAAAGCCGCTCTTTGGTCGCAGAATTTGCGTGTTACCCGGCTGGATGAAGGCGAGGCTCATTTCCTTCTAGACAAATGGGTAAAGGTAGAACAAGGATGTTTAAGATGGTGCATGATAGGTAAACAATGTCTAATATCTAATCATTATTCATATTTATATAATGGAATATGACTTGCCCTAGGCAAAATTTCTACAAATAGCGTGATTTAAGCAAACAAAAAACAATGAATCGTAGCCATGGAAAATCACAATGTTTCATACATCAAACATGAACGGGCCATTGTCTAAAGATTCTAAAGCTATATTCAACTACGGAAGGGTAACTGACAAATAATAAAAACATATAACCACCCATTTTATGGGGATATCATGCAATATCATGGCACAACCAGTGGCACAACCAAGCCAAAGGTGCCAACAATATCCAACAATGTTTGGCTTTATGGATAGGTGAATTTCAATCATTTATTTTTGGGTCATGGTGGCATCCTCATGATCTACATGATTGAAACACCACAAATGGACATATATTGTGATTTTGATATTAAACGTGAACCCTCTGGTAAAGGAACATAGTCATTGTTATTGCTATCTATCAATGGATTTAAACGGATTACCCTCTGGTAAACTAACATAACTATCGAGAATCACTGAATCACCATTTTCAATGGGTAAATCCAGTATAAATAGCCATTTTCAATAGCTATGTTAAATTACCAGAGGGTATTTTCCATTGCCATGTCAAATTTCCAAAGTGTAACAACCACAACCTGGGAACCACTGGCTGCTGCCAGAAACCATCCCAACAAATGATGAACCCCAAAAAAAACAAACTTAGCAATATTTTATTCCCAACCATTTAATACTAAATGGGATGTAGCCTTATAGCCATTTCATGGGTGAGAAAACCAGTAATTTTGGGTGGATATATTGGGGTATAATGGGGAGAGTACACATAAAATAGGCATTTAATATGATGATTTCCCCGCCCATGGGTATCACAACTAAAAAACATTCAAACATATGGCAGTGTGTCAAAACCAATAGTACCCCTGTAGTTCACATCAAAATCGCTGGGATTTATGGATGTGAATAACCCACTAAAAATGGTATCTAGAGGTATTGACCCATAGCCATATATAACCACAAAAGAAGGTGAATAGAACCACTGAATTAGCCAGCCCATGTTTCGTGGTGCCGAGCCACGACCAACAGCTGCGCTGCTGCTGCAAGCGCCGAGGTGAGGGACGTTCGAAAATGCTGTGAGCCACGATGGCCACAGATGGCTTGCCATCTAACCAATGTGAATCTTTGGGGGACCAGAGAGACCTTCTAGGGGGGGGTTATGAATACGTACTTGGCATGAGATATGATATGCAATGTGCATTAGTGCATATATATTATATATATATTATATTTATATGCGCATATTGTAAGAGTATATGTTGAAGGTATATAATTACCCCGCACGTTGCGAAGGTAGCACTGGTGCCACAGTGGCAGCTGATTTTCCATCGGCTTGACCGAAGGTCGCCGCCTTAAGCGGCGCCAGAGCTGGTTGGTGATGGTTTTTTTCCCCATCCGGGCCCCACCAAAAACCTGGTTGGTGGTTGAGTTCATTGAGCCACCCCTCTGAAAAATGATGGAGTTCGTCAGTTGGGACGATGAAATTCCCAATCTATGGAGGACACAAAAGCCATGTTCCAAACCACCAACCAGAAACGAATGAACCCACCATTATTTGGATCAATTCTAGAAAGCCTGGTTCAGTGGGACCATATGCAATGCATCGTATATGATCATTCTGATCTGGGAAAGGATCACCAAAAAAACTCAACCATCAAGTTCTACAGCTGCAGAAATCTCTCAGCTTCAACTGCCTGGCTCTTAGGCGGACTGCGAATCAATGCCCGTCAATCTTCCCAATGGGACGGGATATGTGCTATATCAGGCTACATCACATACACAAATGATGCATAATGTAGAATGAACGAACCAATCTCGACGCACAGTACGTATAATTAATCATAGCATTATGAACATAATATGCAAAGAGTCAATATACAGTAATTACATAATCATATATTCAAAACATGTCAAAACTACTGAACTACTGACCATCAAAGCAAAAAAAAGAATCGCTCTGGACCAAACAATAGCATCAACACTTTCAGAGTGCAAGTTTCACCTTTTTCTCAGCACCGCCTTCCGCAGCTCCCCGGATTTTTTTCCAGGGTCCCCTTTTCACGATCAGATGGGCAAACCCTCAGGTGGGATATTCTCATCCAGCCACTGCATAGCATCCATCATCAGATCTTCCGGTACCATCCGCTGCAGAAAGGACCAAGTGTTCGCATTCCACCTGGCCCCATGGATCTCCAGGCTTTTTCTCGACTGGGGATATCGAACATGGCAATGGAACACCATATGAGTGTCTGAAAATAGGAGGTACCCCCCAAATTAGCAATGATGAAGCAATGGGTTTCCTATTGACAAAGCCATATATCTTTTAATGAACACATCATCTATGAATGGGTCATTTTTCCAATGCTATGTTAAATTATCGGAGGGTAAGTGAATCAAGTCGCAATGTTTGAGAAAATTGGTGGCCCTAACATGAACCAAGACTATGGCGAAATATATGGTCCAATTACTAAATCTGCTTGAATCGACAATGCACATGTTGATGATTTCTTAATAACAAAAAACATCAGAAAAACTGGCACCTGCACACTCAATTGACTCAAGGTCCAGGGTTGTATGTTTTGGGTCATCCCTGGTGTGATCAACCTCACATCCCCAAGTGACCCTTGGGTGCCTGCTGATTTCGCGCTCCAAAATCCGCGACAGGATGCGTTTCAGTTGCAGCTGCAAATGCTCCTGTTCTTTCTGGATTGGTGTTGGGACCTATTGGGTTGGCATCTTTTTCAGCGTTTTTCCTGGGAGAAGCCACCTGTAGAATTCAGAGAGCAGCATGTCAGTCGCCAATGCTGAGTCAGCTTGAGACAGCAGTCGCCTCCGTCTGCAACCGTGCACTGCTTTTGCCTAGCGGCCTAGCTTACATGTGACATGTTCTTTCATGGAAACTGGTTCCAGGAAATCTGGCCAAATAGCATCAAACAACGCCTGCAAAGCATTTTCCTCTCTGGCAAGTTTCATGCAAGCCTCTTTGCTGATTCATCCAAGTAATTACGAGTAACATCTCAACCAGTCTGGGTGGATATGAACTTCCTGGTGTTGGCTTCATCCGATTACTATACCATGGATGTCTGTTACAATTGGGGTTGGCTTCAGCCGCCTAGTCAACTCAACTGCTGAAAAGCCAATGGGACACGCGGAATCATTCGAAACCAACAGCACGTCGTCGTCAACGACAACGACTCAAGACTCGGCTCGAGACCCAGCTTTACGAACAAATGTCTTTTCATGTCTTTTCCATTCGGCCCGACATGTCCCGACAGTCACTCCATTCATAAGCCATGCTCATTGCCCAAGGGTATCCAGAGCTACTCCACTACTTTACTACAACATCCTGGCGTTTGACTGGTCCCCGGCCCCCCAAAAGAAAAACATTAATATAAAACAATCAAAATGGACAGTCCGCCATCTGGTTCTTTCTCTTGACTTCTCCATGCTGGTTTGAGACTTTGTCAAATTGAAATCATCTGGTCCACTTTTTGGGAGGAATCGGAGGTATCCAGGACATCAATCCTTATCCTTCCCTGATGATAGCATAGCATCCCAAAAAGGCAAACCATCCGCCTTGGGGGTTCGGAAGCTGCAGTCGATCCCTACGAAACAACCAGCCATTTTGGTGTCAACCTTTGCCCCCAGACTTTCATTCACTTGCTGCGATATGCTGCAAACTCAGCTGCTTCAGCACCCTACGGCCCTGAGAGCATCCTTTTTGACCCTGCCGTCACCACATCGAGCTGGAATCCTATGTAATTGAATCCAAGTGCCACGACGGCCGTGAAACGTCCCCAATCTTTCACCGCTCCTGGAACCATCCAAGATCCAGGTTCTAAGCTACAAATTAGAGATACAGAATTGGAGGAGGATTTCTTTCATCCCCCTTTTTGGGCCTTGATCTTTCAAGTGCCGACATAAAAGCGACAAAGAAAATCAGCTACCGTTACATCTCACAGTCTTTTTCAAAAGATCATATCATCGTCATATATCAACATCCTCAAACATGCTCTATTCTTCTCAGGTTAGAGGTTCGGATGTCACAGGTCATCCATGTCAATGCTGGATGCTTGTTGCCTCCGTGCCGCAGCTGCTGCTTCCGCCAGAGGCTTCGCCGACATTGGCAGCCCCTCCCTTCGCCGCGGCGTAGGCGCCGCGGCGGGCGCCGGAAGCGCTGGAAGCGCTGGGGGCGCTGGGGGCGCCGGGGGCGGCGGGGGCGGCGCAGCACTAGTACCGTTGGGCCAGCCAGACATGTTCCGCATGGTTATGGGTGTAGCCATGGTAGCCACAGGAGCCATCATGCTGTTCATCACCATACTCACGCCCATCATTTGAGCTCTCATCATCTGAGCTCTCATCATCATCACTTCTGGACTTATATTTTTGGAGGCGAAGAAGTCACCGCCATGCTTCTTCTCACGCCGGGACCTCTTTTTCCTTCTCCTGGACTCTGAAAAACTGCTGGACCACTCCGACATCGAAACCTCCCGGGGCCTCCTGGACCTGTGATGCTCGTGGTGATCCCGAGCTTCGTGCGGGCGGGACCCGCCGCGCGACCGGACCTCCCGGTTCTGCCGGGCATCGCGGACATCCACGTCCCGGGTGTCCCTGGAGCGAGAGGCTGCAGGGGCGCGATCTTCTTTCAACAAGGACCGGGCCCAGGAAGCGCGTTTCAACTTTGGCAAATGACTTTCAACAAAGGCGGCCAACATCTCTTGTGGTGGACCAAGTGCAGGATTTCGGCTGGACAATCTGGATGAAATACCCTTCTTCCAGCAGAACTGGGTCCAACTCTGTCTCCAATCTTCATCTCCAACCCGCAAACCTCTGCGAATGAGCCGCGACATCAAGTGGACATTGGTATAGTCCAGGCAATCCATGTTGGTCTCAGGTACCTGTCCCGACGGTCCCGATGGTCCCGATGCCTGTGGGGGTGACATGGTCACAGGTGGTGCTGCTCTGGCTTTGGGTTTGGTTCCCACAGCTTTGTATGCCAGGGCAGCCACAGCTTCAAACCTCAACCTGACCAGGCTGATGGGCCCCGGACCAACCAAGTCGAAGGCATCCAGACGCGACAGCAAGTTGCGAAGTGTAGCAGGCTTCAAGGAATGAGGTGGAATTTCCCTCAAGCTGGGCCGTCCCAAATCGCCAAGGTCCACCGCATGGGACTTCAGAAACTCCAGCAGGGCACGAGCCAAGGGGCAGCCAGACATGGGCCAATCCCGCATCTGCAACTGTAGGGCCTGTTTTGGGCCACGGAGTTTCTCATCCCCAGTGTTGGCAGTTGCCCTCTTCACCGCCGACACCAGTGACACCTGAAGGTCATCTCTCATCTTGTCAGCCGCCCGCTGAGCAGCCAGGGATAAGGTGGCATTGTAGCAGGCCAGCCTTCCATCATGCCAGGTCTCAAGGATGTTGCCCAAGCCAGGGAGCACAAACAGTCGCTTCATGATCTTTTGCGCCAGGGATTGAAGGGCTGGATGTTGCTCCACCCAGGGTTTCACCAATGGACTTCCTTGAGTCAAGGCCCTCACCAGACTAGCCACGGCCATCAGAAACTTTGTCTTCACACGGGCCTTGGGACACTGGCGATACCAGAGCAACTGAGGTGAACTCTCCACTTCCTGCAGCAGTTCTCCTAGATGTTGCGTCTGCTGAGTCTGCTGCAGCTTGGAGGATTGCATCTGTCCTGCCTCGTTCAGCCAATCATTGAACTCATTGGTCCATTCCGCCAGGCGCCGCGAGACCTCAGCCTTCAGGGGTCGGAAGGAAGCAACGACCTGCTGCTGGACGCCTGGAGGAAGCTTCAGCAGCGCTTCTTCCAGGCGCAGAAAGATGCCACTGCTGGCAGCCTCGTGGTCTTCATCTTCATCTTCTTCAGGCCATTTTCCAGCAATCTCACAGAGATCTTGGCAAAGATCTTGCCTAAGGACAAGCACAAACAAAAAACACACAGAGCATGTTCTTTTTGGCTGTGATCAAATATGATAAAATTTTCGTTGTGATATCAGCTTCGTTTCTCTGGATTCCATGGTCACTCCATGGTCACCTAGAAAGAACATGTTCCAGCGGCCTGTGCTGCATTCCGGAACGGGCCAATGCCGTTTGAAATCCTTACATACCATCCTTCACCTAAGCAGTTGAATTGACACATAATTTCATGTATATCAATATGTTGAGTATTATAAAATCATCTTAGGTAGAAATGTTGGAGTATTATATATATAGTGTATAATTATATATGTATTTCTAAGAACTCATAAGTATCATCCTTTCATTCATCTTAGGTAAAGACATTATCTTAGAAATATATGCTTCAAGGAGAGACACCGACTGATGGAATGCATGGAATTTTCCCAAATTCCTGCATCAATTGGATAGGTTCGTCTAGTCAGGAGCCGCTTCAGAAATATGCCCCCTTACTTTAGATTCACAGTTTAAAGAATGTATAAATATATATATATAAATAAATACATGTATACATATATATATATATTCCGATTCTATAAGATTACACATGTTATCCGATAATGTAAACATTATCCAACTATAAGATTATGGCAGGATTCTATACATGTAGATGCTATCCTTTATTGTGTTCTATTCTTGGTTACACATGTGATTGCACATGTACATCATGAACATCCATTCATCCATCAACTGCCAACCAGCAGCTGTGACTTGGACCTTCCATTGTTCATGTTCTCAAGGTTGCAGATAGCAGCCTCCAACAGTTGGTATCGTTCCTGCTTCGCCATGGCGGCCATGCTGCCCGTTCCGCAGCTTCCGCGGGCAGGAGTCCAGATTTTGAGCCAAGCCTTAGAGAAAACGAAATGTGCCAGACATGACCATTCAAATGGGGGTCGCTTAAGTCATGGGGGATCCCCAGTCACCATGTCTTAAAACATGTTGAAACATACGAAGTCGACTGGTCATCCATGACTTGGATGATATGGGATAAAAACCCTAATGACTTAGGAAACCTCTGACGATTGACCATTGAATGTCGACCTGCAGTCCTGCAGCGTACTTTGAAAGATGGAGAGGATGGCGGAGACTGCAATCCTCATTTTATGGCCAGAATCCAAAAAGAAATCATCTCAAAGATCAACATGTTTGAACCAAAAATACCGAACATGTGATGAATATAATATATATATATCTCTCTCTCTGTCTCTTCTCTCTCCCTCCATCGCCATGCAGGTACAGAACCAACGACATATTCTATTTAGGATCTAGTCTATTTCAGCGAGTATCTATTCAACGGATATTCTACTCCAAGAATGAAGATTATTGAAGAGAAACAGCAAGTTGATAAAATAACAAATGCACGCAACTTTCAATTCTGTTGAGTTCTTTGGAGTTCTGCAGTTCTAATATATAAAGTCTATTATAGTCTATCCGGTTCTATTGATGTCTATCCTGTTCCAGCTGTCAAAAGCGGTCGCTCCTGGACAGCAAGGGTGTGGCTTCGCCTGCAGACACTGGCGGCAAGATGTTGATTTACTAGCGGACTTTTATGGTAAATGATGATAAATGGATGGGAACTGGAACGCTTATCTATAGTACATCTGTTTGTTGATTTACTCAATTCTTTCTTTTGTATGTTTTTGCGGTGGTATCTATTATTTAGGGGAAAGTAGAATGGATTGCTGGTATGTTCTATAATTGAACTTTGTTTTGTCCCATTTGGATTTCTGAAATGTAGTTTCTCCTCTTTTTCGGAGTCGTGTTAGGGTTATTTGGGACCTTTTTGGCATGTTTGGATGAATTATTTGGAAGGTATTTTTTTCATTGCCAAAGAGATCAAAGGGTTGGGGCCTACAAAAAAAAGGTGACTGCTTCCACGCTGGCAACTTTTCAGCCCAATTTTCAGAGGGTATTTAGGCCAAAAAAAAAAGTAACAGCATCATGTAAGGCATAATCCCCACTTTTGGTGTTCAACACAATCCAAACCCAACCCATCCCCCCAAACAAATGCCCAACTCAGCAAAAATGAATCCCAGCCCGAACTATCCCATCAATCAATAGCCAAAAAACATGGCATCATCAATTCATCAATTTATCATCCATATCCACATCACTCTTCATGTTAGAAAAGCCATGTCAAAGCAATGTCAAAGCACCACCCATATGTTGTTATTTATAGCACCCATAAATTAGTGATGACTGGGGGATAGCTTCTCAATCCCACCCTCCGTTAATATGAAAAACACCCCTTCAGAGACCATGGTGGATGAAGAGATGAAAAAACAACATTTGGGACCATCAGGGGCGTGTCTAATGTTCGGGGATGTTTTTTTTGCCATTGATCCACTATCAAAATATGAGTGGAGCAATCATATATAAACCAACCAAATGTGCAGTGCAATGCCATAAGCCAGCTAGATTTTGATGATTTATATAATCATAAATACAAATCTGGTTGGCTTTGTTTGATTATGAGGCATATAAATCAAAACAAATGATTGATTATTTTAATTTCATACCATTTTGAATATGTTGATGTTGATTTTGGGATATTTTGGGCATTCAAAATGAATCTTTGTCTGTTGAACAGCCGCATCAATTTGCTAAACAGCCAAGGCGCTCAGTTTGATCTCCAGCTCTGGGACGTTCACCATGACCTCCTCCAAGTCCAGTCCCTTGTTGGGCATCCAGCGCCAGGAAATGGACAGCACCAGGCCACGTACGATGACCTCTGGCATGATGTGGCGAAGCCGCCATAGAAATAGTGGATTTACCCATAGGAAATGGTGGATTTACCCATTGAACACAGTGGATTGTCCATAGAAAAATGTGACAATTTACAAGAGGGTATCCATAACTATGCATCTGGGTAAATTACTATCTGGTTGGTGGTGCAATAACCATCTTGAAAAATATGAGTTCGTCAATGGGAAGGATGACATCCCATATATGATGGAACATATTCCAAATGTTTGAAACCACCAGCCAGTTACTATCATTTACACATGGGATTTGGAATAGATGGGATGAAATATGGGGTGAAGCTACGGTAACGCCAATAAATCATGGTTATGCCTGGGATTTAAATCATCCCGAAATGGTCGATGAATTATTGGGGCTGAATGATGCTGATAGATGCTGATAGAACTGAAAAAGAGACGATTTCAAGCGGTTCAAGTGAAGTGAAATCTGCAAGATGTGGTTGATCACCCTCTGGTAAACCTACAAAAAACTATGGAAAATCACCATTTTCAATGGGTAAATCCACGAACTAAATCACCATTTTCAATAGCTATGATAAATTACCAGAGGGTATTGAGGATGACACACCTTTTGATTATATGAGATTGGGATTTGATGTGGAATTCGGAGAGCATTTCGGGACAATCCAAGGCACTTTGATGACACGTTCAGGAACCACCCGGGTTTCGGAGCACATACCCTGATTATGTTTTTCTGGAAAACCGATAGTAACCTGTTATTAGATTAGGTGGAAAAATCAAACCTCCGGCTCATGACGCGCATGAATGGACATATTCCAAAAAAAAAGAACGAGACACACCTGACCCAGCCCTACTGGGCCCGATGGCCCTCAACCATGGACCTGCGCACCAGCAGCCAGCGTCATGTATGGAAATGTTGCTAACTCAGCAAGGCAATCGCAAGACAGCTGCAACTTCAAGGGCTTCATCAGCAGGAGATACCTGCAGAAAACTGGACACAGGACACAAGTTTTGCCTTGGGTCCCTTGATCAGGCTCAAATCAAGAAGGCTATAGAAAGCTGTTGATCATTGTTGATCCCCCAAAATTCTCTGCAGAAAACTGCAGTTTTCTCAACTCGGGGTAGAACATGGTAGAACTATCCACCAGGGTCGAAATTCGCCCGAGGATGTCCGAGGCCATAATTCCATCAAATATAAATAGGCGCTCGCCTGGTGAACTATTTACTGGTCACTGTTAGTTCCAAGATTGTTAATGATTCCCATTTCTTAGAGACTAGCAATCTAATCTATTTTGTGTTTATTGGCATGCCATGTTTGATGATCATCACTTACTGTTGATGTGGAGGTTTCCTAAGTCAGGGGGGTACCCCCAAATCATCCATGTTTACAGGATTTTCCATGAAATACACCATCCAGCTATTGGGGTTTCTTAGCATTTATATCATGTATGGAAACCCCATGTATATATATATATATAATCATATATGTTTATAATCATATATATATACACAAAAGAATCCATCATTTATCTTAAAATGTTTTTTTCCATCAGAAATCGGATGTCATGAATCCCTTGGCCTCGAAGATGTACCGGCTGATGATCATTCGGTACGGTACGTATCCATTTCGCGGCTGTAGTTAACACTTATCACTCGTAGAATGTTAATAAGAACTAATTTATAAAGATACAAAATTCATAATGCAGTAGTTTTCATTAATATATGTTTTAATACCTGATATACTATGAACGCATAGTTCACACATATGAATAGTGCACGTATAATTTTACACTGCCTATTACTCTGGGTAAATTAAAATATTTCACCAACCTGAATAGTTCGGCCATTTGGGGATGATTCCCCGAATCCTAACTATGATTATAGTGAGGTCGCAGTGAGGTCGTTATAATCTACCCAGATTACTATAATTTAACATATATAGCTATTGAAAATGGTCATTTATAGTGGAATTACACACTAAAAATGGTGATTTTCAACAGCTATGTTAGTTTACCAGAGGGTAATTTCAACTTTGATTCATTCAATCGAGGAGAGCTGCGAGCCGCTGCTGCTTCCAGCGTGCCGCTTTAAGGTGCACGTCGACCTTCGAGGATTTGGGCAGGCTGGGATTGAAACCATTAAACCATCCCCAACGTTTGGGTTTGTGGTTTATGGCAGGAATCCCAAACCAAAGAAAGTATCAAAAAATCACTAGTTGATCTAGTTGAGGATTGCATTGAGCTTTTTTTCGATCATTTTTGCAGGTCCATCCCCTCAATCGTAGATACATATCCTAAGAAATCATTGTTTTTGGAAGCCAAAAGATCCAGTATATCCAGTACTAAACCAGGGGTCTTTAATATATGAGGAAGGGATTGCAACATGACACCTGGCATATCCAGGACAATTCCAAAACCAGTCCATCTACAGTAGATTGATTTAAAAAAAAAACTGTTGCAATTGAGGCTGCGATCAAATCATGAGATGTTTCGAAAATTACTTACACACAAGAAAGGAGATGCATTCAAAGTCGTACCAAATCTCCAGCTTTGGAAACAAACCAATGTCACCGTGCAAGCTGAACACTGGACAGTTGCTTTGCCAATGCAGCAGCACACGCTTGATTGAACACGTTTGAACACGCTTTGCCAAAATGTTGGATCTCAAATAGTTAATCAAGATGCCCTGCTAACAGAAGCACAGCCCTGTGCACCCGCAATCGGAAGGATCCCATACGGGAACCATGGTAATCGCTCTGACACGTGCCCATTCAGCCGCTGTAAACGTGTGAAAATCGCTACAGTAGCTAACAGAAATCCATAAACTCTGCTGATTACCCTCTGGTAATTTAACATAGCTATTGAAAATCACAATTTTTAATGGGAAAATTCACTACAAGTGGTGATTTTCCATAGTTATGTTAAATTACCAGAGGGTAACAAATGTAGTACAACATCCAACATCCAACGTCCAATGGACTAATGGCCTGTCCAGTATATCATACAATCTTCACCTAAGGTTGCCTGAAAAAATGCATCAGTATCCCATAAACCCACTGATTTTTTTTCGTGAGCGATTGATTATCATCATTTTCCCGCAGAAATGACCATGAAAACCATGAAAAATGGCGAAATTTTCCTGGATGTCATTGGTCACATCATGTCACATCCCTCATTTTCAGATCCACCACCGAGGGGTCACAACATGTCGAACCAACCCGGGGACCGCCTTCGGAGATCGAACCACATCACCCTCAAGTCCCTCAGAGCAAACTTGGTCAACTGCTCCGTGCTGCCCTCCACGTCCTCAAAGACCGTGCTGCAGAGTCGACGTTGAACCACTTGCCTCACGGATCCGCGGATCGTGGGTCATCGGATGTCATCGGCATCGAAGTTTTTAAAAAGGGAGACTACGATACCTGATGAGTACTGTTTCCGACATGAAAAATAGCTCAACCTACACACTACACACATTACATATTTCAATTCTGCAAGCTGTTTTCAGATTTTTCAGTTCAATTTCAGTGACTTTAAACATTGAAAATCCAATGGGCTTCACGTTTTTGGTGATTTTCAACGGGGATCGACATAGCGTAGGATATCGTAGGATTACATGGGTAATTAGCTGGTACGGTCGAAACGAAGAACATCAACATGATTTAACATAAGTTAAGAGACGAGACTAAGAGTCAAGCTTTGTGTTGCCACATGTCCACATTGCCATTCACAATCATTCACGATCAGAAGTTGGCTCGTACGATCTCATATGCTCATCATTGAAATATCGCAGGATTTTGATTTGAAGGTAATGTTAGTACAGCAAAAGTAAAACATCTCCAAATTTACCATTTTTTATGGGTGGTATAAACATGTATAAACATGTGCAAACCATCAAAACATGGGTGATACTTGAGATTCCTTGAAGCTATCTTTAGCTCCCCATTTGTGGAAGGTCCTCCAGTCCCAAGCACAACAGCGGCGATTGCTCCATAAAGGCCAAACTCCTGGAAAACTGAGCAGGGATTAGCCCTGATTGTCAGGAATAAACTAGCTACGTACTACCTACCATTAATTACTAGATATTTCTAGGAATCTAAAAAAAAAAACTACCATCTGGTTATTTAACATAGCCATGGAAAGATCCACCATGTTTAATAGGTATCTATTTCTATGGGCCATCTATACCATGGCTATGTTAGTCATAACCAGAGGGTACTAGGCGTCAATAAAACCTACTGGCAGCCATTAGTACAGTAATCAATACCGATCCACCCATTAAATGCGCCAGGATCTTACATCAGCATTGATTGGCGCCAGGTTTGTGAGGAGTTTCCTGCTCCGTTTAAGGGGAACGATGCCTGGAACGATGCGCCAGAGTTTGATGATAAACCTCCTATGGAAGCCATGGCCCATGGCTAGTTCGATGATTTTGGATGATTGACCTATTAGAAATGGACCATTTTCCAGGTCGTTAAATGTGGCAATTGTTTCCCCCATTTTAGGGGGTCGATGTCGATCCTTCCATATATCGCCAAAACATGACCCTTCCAGCTATTTTGGACACATTGCTATGACTGGTCATGTCATGTCATGTCATGTCATGTCACGTGGGCATATGCGGCAAATTTTCAGTCCAAAACTTCATTGGTGGATTGGTGGATTACTGCTTGATGCATGTTGATTCCCACCTGAGTTTCTGGCGGAATCCCCATCTGAAAGCGCTGAAGGATCATTTCTGCCTTGTATCTATCTGGTTGGTGGTTGAGCCACCCCTCTGAAAAATATGAAAATCAATCGGGATGATTATTTCCAATATATGGAAAAATAAAAACATGTTCCAAACCACCAACCAGCTATGCTTTCGTTGATTCACCAACTCCTTTTGATGGATCTATCAATCGACTAGCCATCAACCATCGCAAAGAGACTGGTAAGCTGCCAACTTTGAGGATATCAAGCCTCATATTTCATGATTTTACAGACCATCTGATGATTTAACACAGCTATGGAAGATCATCATCTTTAATAGCTAAATCATCCAATTATATTTATATAGGACGTTTATTTCTATAGCTACGTCAATTTACCGGATGGTTCTCAGTAATAACCACCATTTTGCAAAACAATGCATTGTCCTATGACATAGTCCACTCGATGTCTGCTTTTTGGTTGGTTTAATCATGTTTACCCTCTGGTAAACATACAACAAACTATGGAAAATCACCATGTTTAATGGGTAAATCGGTAAATCAACGAACTAAATCACCATTTTCCATAGCTATGGCAGCTATGTGAAAAATTACCAGAGGGTAATCATCTTCGCCCCTGCAGAGTTCCCATGGTCCTCCTCAGAGGTCCGGACTGTAAGACCGGCACCAACCTTGGGCGAATACCCGCATCGTTTTTTTTTTTGGCGCATCGTTTAAGGAAGCGTTACATGGTTCCAATGGTTGATGGTGATGCTTGAAACAGCAAAGCAAGGAGTTTGAAACCGCCCAAATAAATCCGCCCAAAAAATCAATAATGAATTTATGGAAAAACCAAGAGTACGCATGTGATTTGAACTTCATAACTGTGCTCTACCAATGATCGCTGCTTAAATCCCTACGAAATATCCCTATAGGTGAAATGCAATCACCATGTTTGATCGTTGAATCATCTACTTCACCCCAGCCATTTTAGGCTGGTTGAATCCGCCCATGTTTGGGGGGATTGCTATGGATTCCTATGGATTGCTATAACTATAGCCTTTCCACATGATTGCAGAAACAACATCATTTGCAATTGGATGACTTTTACTTGATCATGTCCACATTTCCAGCCGCATTTTTCTATGCTGCAAATTCGCCCCTTTTCGCCTTTGAATTGGTGAAATCCCAAATTCTGCCGTGATTTCACCCACCATTTTTGGGCTCACCACTCCCTCCACCACTGGCTGCCGTATATCCCCAATGTTTTTAGCATTTGGGGATTGCGGGATTGCTGCTTCTTGGTAAGTGGTTCACCTGGTAATTAATCAGTAAGTCCCCCATTCGTGGTTACTTGTAACATTTATAACTGACCCCAGTTACAAACCAGTTCCGAAGTAACAATTCCATATGAAACCCATATATATTACCAATGTTACTTCACCAAACCAGTTCCGAAGTAAGAATTCCATATGAAACCCATATATATATTACCAATGTTACTGTTACTTCACCAAACCAGTTCCGAAGTAACAATTCCATATGAAACCCATATATATTACCAATGTTACTGTTACTTCACCAAACCAGTTCCGAAGTAACAATTCCATATGAAACCCATATATATTACCAATGTTACTGTTACTTCACCAAACCAGTTCCGAAGTAACAATTCCATATGAAACCCATATATATTACCAATGTTACTGTTACTTCACCAAACCAGTTCCGAAGTAACAATTCCATATGAAACCCATATATATTTTACCAATGTTACTGTTACTTCACCAAACCAGTTCCGAAGTAACAATTCCATATGAAACCCATATATATTACCAATGTTACTTCACCAAACCAGTTCCGAAGTAAGAATTCCATATGAAACCCATATATATTACCAATGTTACTGTTACTTCACCAAACCAGTTCCGAAGTAACAATTCCATATGAAACCCATATATATATTACCAATGTTACTGTTACTTCACCAAACCAGTTCCGAAGTAAGAATTCCATATGAAACCCATATATATTACCAATGTTACTGTTACTTCACCAAACCAGTTCCGAAGTAACAATTCCATATGAAACCCATATATTACCAATGTTACTGTTACTTCACCAAACCAGTTCCGAAGTAACAATTCCATATGAAACCCATATATATTACCAATGTTACTTCACCAAACCAGTTCCGAAGTAACAATTCCATATGAAACCCATATATATTACCAATGTTACTGTTACTTCACCAAACCAGTTCCGAAGTAAGAATTCCATATGAAACCCATATATATATATTTTACCAATGTTACTGTTACTTCACCAAACCAGTTCCGAAGTAACAATTCCATATGAAACCCATATATATTACGAATGTTACTTCACCAAACCAGTTCCGAAGTAAGAATTCCATATGAAACCCATATATATTACCAATGTTACTGTTACTTCACCAAACCAGTTCCGAAGTAACAATTCCATATGAAACCCATATATATATTACCAATGTTACAGTTACTTCACCAAACCAGTTCCGAAGTAAGAATTCCATATGAAACCCACATATATTACCAATGTTACTGTTACTTCACCAAACCAGTTCCGAAGTAACAATTCCATATGAAACCCATATATATTACCAATGTTACTGTTACTTCACCAAACCAGTTCCGAAGTAAGAATTCCATATGAAACCCATATATATTACCAATGTTACTGTTACTTCACCAAACCAGTTCCGAAGTAACAATTCCATATGAAACCCATATATATTACCAATGTTACTGTTACTTCACCAAACCAGTTCCGAAGTAAGAATTCCATATGAAACCCATATATATTACCAATGTTACTGTTACTTCACCAAACCAGTTCCGAAGTAACAATTCCATATGAAACCCATATATTACCAATGTTACTGTTACTTCACCAAACCAGTTCCGAAGTAACAATTCCATATGAAACCCATATATATTACCAATGTTACTTCACCAAACCAGTTCCGAAGTAACAATTCCATATGAAACCCATATATATTACCAATGTTACTGTTACTTCACCAAACCAGTTCCGAAGTAAGAATTCCATATGAAACCCATATATATTACCAATGTTACTGTTACTTCACCAAACCAGTTCCGAAGTAACAATTCCATATGAAACCCATATATATTATTAATATTATCCCACATGAAATCACCGGTTTTTCCCAGAAGATCACCATTTTTTGGTTCTCCTAAAGATCCCTTTCCGCCCAACCAGGGAGCTCATCCGGGTCCGAAGGGGCGGCAAAGGCTCCAGTGGCTCCAGCAACGGCGTCACGAGTCTCAGCCGCCGCGGCCAGCAGCGCAGGGTCGATGAAGTAGGCCTCTGGTAAACATACAAAAAGCATCAAAAAGCTATTGAAAATGACCATTTAGTTATACTGGATTTACCCAGCTATAAAATGGTGATTTTCCATAGTTACGTTAGTTTACCAGAGAGTATGGAATGTTTGGCAGAAAGTTCCATGAAATATCCTGACATTTTGATGATGTTGAACTGTTTATAGGCAAACATATCATATGCCCATGTCTGAAACCTTTCGAAGTTTGGACCAAGGTTTAGAATATTGTTTAATTCTTGCCATTTGGAGCAAGGTTTCAAACAGCATGTTTCCTGCTAAACACTCATCAATTATGGTGCTGTACCTGGAGCAAGACTCGAAGAAGTCTCGAGAAGGTTCGAATCTCAGGGACGTCTCCATCTGGAACGGAGCCATCTTCAGCCACCTGAAAAACAACGTCGAATGATCACCATGAATCTTTTCAGGTGGTAAGAAGACGAATAACTTATGATATAAGCCAGTTACCAGCGCTATATTCCCAATCATGTGGATCATAATCAGATTAAAGTCAAACCCAATTACTGACTGTATTTATTTAAATTAATATTATTGTTATCACTATTATTAATAGGTCACCGTCCCCAGAAATGTACCCAGTGAAACTGGATGTGTCCCCCAATCCTACTACCATCACTCGACCCATCATGTGACATCCTGGTGAGGTCGTTGCAATTTATCCAGATATATAGGCTACCATACACTTACCATATGTACAAATCTTATGGACCGTATAGACTATACATGATTATATGATATTATATGTCATCCAGATTTATGGACTGATATCATCTGATATCCATATTTTTTTCGGATCATAGATACATCATAGACACCTGAACAAGCATATTATGACATCTATATGGAATATCCCCATCTGACAAGGCCCATACATGGCCCCTTGGGGCCCCAAGGCCCCAAGGCCTGAAATCTGGGAGACTTCGACAAGGCCAGCGCATCCATCAAGCACAGCAGGAAGCGATCAGCGGCCGCAAAGGATTGAGGCTCGATGGCCTCTGGAATTCATGGGGGGAATCATGGAAACATATGATGGGGAGCTACAAATTTAGCTAAACATATGGATTCAAACTCAAGGCACATGGAGATTTTCAACAAAACACAACATGATATGATATGACATGACCAAAAAAAAAACACGAAAAATGCGGTTGAAATCCTGTCTATCATGGTTTATTCACCAGAATCCATGGGATTTCTATGGGTTTCTCTACCTTCAACCAACAGCTCCGAGGGGCAAAGGAAGACCGCAAGACCTCGGAGAAGATGCCGCCGCCTGGGCTGCTGAAGCACCAGCCGCCTCAAATCGGACGGTGATTTTTCGGTGGATCGGTGGATCGGTTTTCACAGAAGATGGGAGATTTTTCTGGAAGATTTTCGCGGATTGTTTTTTTTGAAATGTTGGGAAAACCATGGAAAACCCAAGTTTTTGGATGTCTGGTTTTTGAAGTTACCAAAAACCAACGATATTCAAAGGCCAATAGACGTGGATTTCACATGATGGCAACCTCCAAGCATTTTTGGTGGTTTCAAAGGGATTCAACCAGCCTTACCACTGCGCTGACCTCCGGCATTTTTTGGGGGTCATTTTTTGGGTCACCGCTAAGAGGGTTGAATCTCCATTAAGCAGAAAGGTGGTTGGGTAATTCCTGAATCCTTGGAAAACAAAGCAATGATTCGAATGTTTTTTGGGGTTGATCCTGCCCAGATGTTTCAGAAAATCATCAAATGACCAGATCCTGGGAATGATTTCATGAAATACCTTGCTGATCATTCCCTGTCATGTGTTTTGGAGCATTCGTAGATAGGACGAGCACTTGGCACGGCTACAACAGCATTGTTATGAACCTCAATGTAATGCCGGAAAGCTAGAATTTTGGGATGGTGCTTACCATCCATCTATCTCAATATTAGGGCTGGGTTTCTAAAATCATCACCTGGGCTTAGCACATCATATATTCTTTGCATCCGGTGGTCTGGGACGATCTTCCGCCAGAAATGATTGGAGCTACTGTAAGAACTATCATCTAACATATAAAGCTATGATATTCTATGATATATAGCTATGATAAATGATATTCTTTGATATATTATGTGTATATATATATGTATATACATAGTTATGATAAATAGATGATCTATGATATATAGCTATGATCAATTTGAATGATCTATGAATGCTTGATGCCAAGATATGCCAAGACTCTGTCTGGTTCAGGGCAATGGTAGAGCGCCCGGGAATCCGTTAAGTTCCTGAAGATTCCAAGGAATCGTCGGAGCAGCAGTTGGCTACTGGGAACTATGAAGCACTGTATATAAACAGGTACTATGGTACCCGTGAAAAATTTAACCAGAGGGTAATGGGATAGTTGCACTACCACTGGGAATCATTGGAGGTACTATGGCAACTCTCCCATTGTAACTATTGTAATGGGTTCACAATGGGATGCGTACCATCTACCAACAGGTGCAGGACTTCGCTGGCCCATCCACTGTGGAAAAATCACGAAATTCTTTACAGTGATTAGATTCAGATCATAATGATGTCATAAATGTGGGACCATATTCATCAATTTTCCACTGCAAAACCTTCAAATACAACTGGCATCAACTGGCCATAGGCCCTATAGGCAGTTACCATCTGGTTATTTAACAGTTTGCCATGGAAAGATCCACCATTTTTTAGTTCGGTAAACCATCTATATCGATTAGGGCCATCTATACCATGGAAAATCATGGAAAATCACCATGTTTAATAGGTAACCCATCTATTTCTATGGGCCATCTATATCATGGCTATGTTAAATAACCATTTTGGGTAGATCCAGGGGGCCCCCCCCAGCCATTGACCTCTGCGCCGTCGCCGAGCCGTCGCCGTTCCATAGCCCTTGGCTCGGCAAACCTCAGGGTGGAAGGTCCGGAGCAGTCGTCCGCGAAGGAAGGCCCAACAGGCCCAACAGTTGGGGAAAAAATCCAGTTGGATCATATCTAGTAATAACTGGATCATATCTAGTGGGATATACTGGGATATATATCCAGTTGGATCATATCCACTAATTTATACATCATTATATCCAGTAGTTGGGGAAAAAAAACCACTATAATAATATATAATAATGATGTATAAATTAGTGGGATATATACCCTCTGGTTATGACTAACAGTTCGCCATGGTATAGATGGCCCCAATCGAAATAGATGGTGAACAACTGGGTTTACCTATTGAAAATGGTGGATCTTTCCATGGCTATGTTAAATAACCAGATGGTAATAATGATGGGCCTAAATTAGTGGGCCCCCAATCATCGCAATCATCAGCATTTTTATAGGTGGTATATTTTTGTGAACCAGTTCCAAAATTCCCAGTCATGGGTGGTAAAAATAACATTTATGACTTATGACGTTGTTTTACCCACATGATTCCAATATCAAAGGCCCCTGACGTGTGTTCCTTTCTCCTGCCTGTGAGCTGGGACATGATCTGAGGAATGCCGCGGCAATCCAACGCTATATCCAGGTCATCCAGGTCATCCATGTTGACTTTGAGGGCTTGTCCATGGCTTTTCCTCATCCTACCCTCTGGTAATGACTAACATAGCGAACTGGAAAGATCCACCATTTTTTATGGGAAAATCCACTATTTCACTGGCCATTTTCAATAGCTATGTTAAATTACCAGAGGGTAAGCCGACAAAAGTTTTTCCACATCCACTGAGCGACCCAAAGTCTGGATGGAAAATTGCAGAGCTGCCGTGCTTAGAAGGCTTGGCAAGCTGGGCAATGTCTCCATCCTGGAAAACTCACGCGACTTGCGATGGAAAAAAAGGGGTCATTCTGACCATGACATACCATGACCCATGACTTTATGGGGATTCGTCAAAACACAGACACCTACCCAAAAACAGATCAGAAAATTGCTGGGAATGCTGGGGCTTTTGGATATTTATGGATGGTCTTCATCACTTCATCTAACTAAAAATGGTATTTCTATGGGTATTGATCCAAAACCATGTCATTGTTGCGACATCTTTTAATGATGTGTTCGGAAAACAATCCTTTTCATCTTTCAAGCATCTTCCCCCAGCATCGATCCACCTGTCGGCCGTCTCCATTTCCTCCCTCTCGGCCACGGGGTGACGTGGGTAGAGCTCCAACAAGAGACCCTGAAGTCCGGTAGGATGGCGACTGGGTCAGATTTCCAAGTTTTTTCCCATGGATTTAGTGATTTTAGTGAAAGGAAAAGCTACAGGACAGTGAGTTTTTGGCTTCCCACTGTAGATATTTAGGCTTTTCTTTGTAGATCAAAATGTAGATTCTCCCAACATCTTGAAACCGACATGGCATGGCAAAACTTGCCCCCATGGATTCAATGTTGGACCACTAGCGGATTGATCTTGCCGCACTTGATAAACGGCTGACGCCAGCTGGAAGCCTTTGGATCATTGCAATTCGAGTGAAAATATGGAGATCTTTCATCCTATCAGATCCTATCACACCGAGGTTGGCGGTCTCTTTCTCAAAATTGGGGTACCCCAAACCATTGGTTTCTCTGAATGTATCCCTACGAAAAAAAAATGACAGTGTTTGGATGATTTCGAGGTCCTCACTTTTGGAGAAATACCCAAATATTGACGTCGTGTTCCTGCCTGGCACTCTGCCAGGACTTTCTGTCCACATTGCTGCCAGGCCATTTCGAAGTGCCACCAGCTGTGGCGGCCACCCTCCTTCAACAATCCCAGGGTGGCAATGTCAGGAAATCCAATTTGTAGCCGAAAATCTGAGATGCCAATTGATAAGCAACAAATTACAAATGATTTAGCTTTTGAAGCTGAGTCCCATAAGTATGCATGGTTCATCCCACGTTTTTTTTCGCGGCCTGGACGTGACCAAATTGAGGTTGGAACTGGTGTAACTCATGGCACTTCTCCAGGGTATTCAGGGTTCAGCGACTTGAAACAAGAAAATTAAAACCACATTACGTTGAACGGCCTGGGGTTCATCCGTTTTTTGTGAAAGTCAGCTGCATCAGGCTGCATCCCCAGCTTTCTCAAACCTCCGCCAGCGACTTGCCGAAATGCTGCAAGAGGGAGGCCACGGATGGCATACCTGCTGGAAATCAGCAGCAAAATCATCCGATGAAATCACCAGGTCGACCCCACCTGTTCCAAAAGTGATTTCTACTGAGTTCACACCCAAGATTCTGGCAACAGCACCCCGGCCGGCCTTTTTCCCTACCACCGATGTTTGGTCAAATTGGCCATGTTTATTGTTGGCTTTATCACATTGTTGACTCTTAAATTTAAATGGTCACGGGCAACCATCATGATAATTTTTCATTAACAATCTCATTTCTTGACATTCGCTACTGGTGGAGAAAAAAAATCAACATTTCGACTATGACCACAGCAATGTCAATGTGGTAAAACCACAAACAAACCATGGCCAAGAGAGGTGAAACAAATTGCTATTCTATCCCTATCTGGGATGATTTACAACAGCCCCCAAATGGTTGGTGAAGGAGATGGTTAATTATTGGGTTTAGTATCGTACTGTTGTTCACTATGCTGTAGTAAATACGTATGAATCACTATATAGATTAAAAAAAAAAACATATATTAATGATCATCACAAAAAATAAATCACTATAATAATCATTCTTACAGAAAAATACGGCTTTCATTTAAGTAGTAACTCATCAGTATTAATAATATCCAAATTCACTTCAGAACGACTCTAATTTCTATAATTAGAGCTGTTATAGTTCACCTTCTCCCAAGCGCCGAGCCGTGACCTGCCTCCCAGCCGCACCGCAAACTGCAAGACCTTCGGCACCGACGTCGGCGCAGACGTCTGGACGCTCTTCCGGTCGCTGGAGAGGCAGAGCTGCCGCGACAGCAGCGCCAGGTGCATGTACCTCCGGCCACCGTTTGAAACAGCGAAATCATGAAATCAGGAGGGAATGTTAGAGAATGTCATGGATTGAGATGGATGGATGGATGGATGGATGGATGGATAGATAGATAGATAGATAGATATATTAATAGATATAATTAATATGATATAATCGGTTGATAATGGGAACATGATGGGTTTGAATGTGGGGTTCATTAAACTGGAATAAACTGGATATTGAACGCACTCCTTTTTGAGGGTCAGGGTGCGGTAGAGGCAGCGACTCCATGACCATCCCCGGAGCTTTCTTCGGCTCCCGCCGGAGCAACAGCACTTGCCTAGGCAAGGCATCCAGGTCAATGGGATGTCATCCAGTGTCATCCAGATATGGGTGTGTATATGTATATATATATATACTAAATATATATTGTTATATATCATATATAATTGATAATATATATAATATTATATCATATAAAATTATAGATATCTTATTATATTATATATATAACTATATATATATGTATAAAGCCTCTAGAACCCCCGGCAAAAATAGATTGAAACGATAGGAACCGATTCAATTTCTATCTTTTTGATGTTTACACTGTCTATCGTCTTTTGGTTGCTATCATTGGGGATTTACCAACAATTTATGTCCCAGAACATCTAAATCCCAGACTTGAACATGGTGGGGGAAGCCTTTCCTGTCATGAAGAGTAGATCCCAGACAATTTCACCGCGAGTCACCTAAAGGCCACTGCCACTGGCCACAGCTTTTTGGCCCCCAAATGCACATAATTGCACAAACCTCTAGTGACTCTTGTGTCTAACAGTCTAACATATTTTGAAACGAGTACCCTCTGGTAAACTAACATAGCTAACTGGAAAATCACCATTTTTCATGGGAAAATCCACTATTTCTATGGCCATTTTCAATAGCTATTTTGACATAACCAGAGGGTACTTTTAACATTGCTTTTCCATGATGCAATTAGTATCAGGCGGTGGGATTCAACATGAAATTGTCTATGGATGGCCCTGCATGTTTGATGACATCAGAGTGTGAACAATGATTTAGCTCCAGTATTCCCATGTATTCCCATGTATTCCCACTATTCACCATGATCATTATAGTTCTGAAATTCATTGTGGTGGATAATGGTGGATAATGGTGGATAATGGGAATACCATTCATATTCATTCATATTCCATATTCCCATTATCCACCATGATCCACTTTACCATTACCATTAATTACCCTTCAGTAAACTAACATAACTATGGAACATCACCATCTTTAATAGGTAAATTCTCTGTAAATGGGCCATTTGAAAATGTTCCATAGCTTTTTCGCTTTTTCTATGTTTACCAGAGGGTACCATTCATATTCCCATTCCCATCATTCCCAAAATTTCAGCTTTTACATGCCCAGGCCATGGTAGCCATAGCTCCTCCAATCCATCTCCAAGCTGCGCCAGATATTCCAGTAGCTCCACTGGCACGGGCGGTGGTGCTTTGGCATGGCTCCAAGTGAAGACGAAGCCGCGGAGGTCTGCGGAGCGGTCCAACTTCCAGAGATGTTACACATGAAACCAGCAATAGTTGAGACTTCACCGACCAATTGTGTGTTTTTTTCTTGAAGCCATCGAACTATCAACAAGTGTTACCTGCTGTTACCTCTCAAATTTGGGAGTTCTATTATAGTAATTATATATATACATATATATATATACCTAGCTCTCACAGGCTCTTACGCATGGAAAATTCGTAGAGACAGCCAACATGGGAATGGAACCAACCAAAATTTTGAGTTGGATATTTCTGTCAGGGCAGAAACGATGAGCAAGTCCGGACATCCACGGTGCCTCCACCGAAATCCAAGAGCTGCCGCCAATGCGACACATGCAGCAGCAGCAGCCATCGTGAGACTTCATTCCATCTTCCGTGTAGGTAGACCTCATAGAACCTGGGTTTTGTTGGAGTTGCGGCCCAATTTTTGCGCATGAAACGGTTGGGAGGTCACATTAAGAGGTCATATGAAGAATTCATGGCAGAAATGGGATGATACACTGTATACATTGGACGGGCTCAATGTGGCCATGCATCTCCTTCACGTGGGGCATTGAAGGGCGGAAACCAGTTGTGATCAGGATGAACCGTGGAGTTGGGGGAGCAAGGTCTTTGCAAAAACATCCCGGTCAAGACAGTCAAGCCAATGCATCTGGTTGCCCAATCTCGAATCCCAGATCCATGATCCAATCATTATGGATTGATTGGCGTTGAGTGATATATAGCTAAAAATAATCCCCAAAAAAACAAAGGCTTGCACACCACCAGCAGTTGGCCCATAAAAGTTTGGTGATGATTTTGGTGAGCTTGAGCTGCTGCACGCATCCCCCCTTCGTACAAGTCACCTGACGCACCAGAAACAGCAACGTTTCGGAACATACTTATCATAAAATATCCATTGAATCCATTAGGGACGTTTCGGAAAAAGCTAAGCTAAACCGCGGGATACACCACGGTTAAAACGACATCACCAAGAAAGAACACTCTTTCCCAATTCTTTGCATATGGCTACAGGTCAAAACCAATGAAATCCCCTGCTGTTCCCTTTAAAACTAGGTCCCCAAATTTATGGAAAATCGATGAACATCATCAACATATCCTCCCGAAACTCGCGGTTTTTCCAGCAGGTCGCTGTCGTACAGTTTGGTGCCAGAAGATGGTGCGGTCTGGGTCGTGACCTCTGCAAGAACACTCAAGAAAACATGGGAAATGATAGCCCTCCCTTCCAAAAAAAAAACAGGGTTGAAACATTGAAACATTAATGATATTAATATAATATGAATGAAATTCTGAAAATCCAATGGGCACCATTTTGATACGAAGGACACGTCCGGTAGATCACAGAAGCTAGCGGTGCCCAAGCGTGGACGTGGACAACTCCTCCTTTATCGTCGCTTTAAGGTGCCCCCTGCTGCCCCGGGCACCTTCGGTAGACTCCACTGGTGACTCCTCGGGTGTGATCGCTGATCATTGCTACTTGGTGGCAGATACTGCAGCAAAATCTGAGATATAACGAAGACCGCCGCACAAATGGGTTTCCTGACTTCAACGGGAAATTGCCAATGAAAATTGGAAGATCATCCGCACATGGAGAACTGAGATTTCGATATATTTAGATGACTTTAGGGAAGTCCCACATGGGAACTGGCCAGAGCAGAACATCTGTAACGCCACGGTCCTACTCAACTACCCTTCAAAAAGGGGAAGAATGACAATCTTACTTCATCTACCCTTCACAAAAGATCGCAAACTCTGCAAGATCGCCTCAGGCCCAAACCCCAGACATCCTAAAGGACCCCCTCCCTAGACCCCTAGCACCGCGCCTGAACAGTTTCTGCCTCGGGCTCAGGATATGCCACTGGTGGCAAGAAGACCTGTACTGAAACGGAAACGAAAGACGGGATTATCCTGTGATTATCCATGCCATGTGTTGCTATTATGGTGGTGATTTAGGTGGGCTGGTGATTGACCATCTCACGGTGGTCATCTGATGACCACTACCATCAGGACCTTAATATGTGGTGGCTATTGACCATCTTAACATATCTTACCCTCTGGTAATTTATCATAGCTATTGAACATGGCCATTTATAGTGGATTTTCCCATTATACCTGGTGATTTTCCACAGTTATGTTAGTTTACCAGAGGGTAACCCCATTTAACCAACCCCGGACTTTCTGTATTTCTACTGTTCCTTTTCGTAGATGGTGACTTGCAATAAGTTTGACCCACGCGCGGGCCATGTGGCACACCACAATAGCTGCTGGAAGTACATCACCCCAAGCAGCCTCTGGAAACTTGGGGCTTGGCTCACTGGGTTCCCTGGCGGATGTCCAGTTTCATGTGCCATCACCGCTTCGGATAACCCGTGCCCTCTGGCCGGACTTCTATACCAAAATTAATAGGCCAAATATTGATCAACTGAAAAAATCATCAAAAATCCTCCCAAATCAGGCTGGAGAATCTGAAACTACTTCGCCCAACAAGGTCTGGAGTTGTCCGGCCTATCTTCCTTCGTCTCATCTGCCTCATCGTCGTCTGTCCTCAGGTTTGGCAATGGGAACTCCAGGGGTGGCTTGTCATTGTATGACTGCTGTAAGGAAAACCTTCACGAAACCACGGGGTTTTACCTCTAAATATGGAGGTTTACTGCCGATTCTTCCTTAGAGCAATTCTTGGGAATGGCATGATGTTGTCAACATTGCGTGTCATCTTCTCTTGACTGGGAAAAAAACCTCCAGGATTTTACATTTTGGCAGGCACGCGATCAGCATGTCCTTGCTTGATCTGAAAGCCGCTGACTGTGATCACTGTGATCTGAGACGACTTGGTGAGTGTCGGAGTCAAAAGACATGACAACAACACCCCATGAAGCCATGTAGACAATAAATGATAAATGGATATATATAAATATATTATATATAATATATATATATATTATATATATAATATATATAATATATAATATATATATATACACATATTCGTATACAGTATATAACAGTGTGTATATATATATATATGTATATAGAACCATATAAATGGTTATATAGTCAAAATCCTGGTGACCTTCTGTTCACATCAAACTCGCTGGGATTTATGAATTTATGATGTTCAGTTCATCTCCCGCCGTCCCGCCGCGCGGCCGCGCCCTCCTGGAAGCTGGATGATAGATGGGCACCACTGGTGGTAGAGCTCCAAATTGCAATGGCACCACATGGCACTGCATGTAACACTTGTGGACTGTTACGTCGAATGGGGGCACACCCCTGGGGTTTTGGGGGCCACTAGTTCTTGGGGAAATGTTCCAAACCTCCACTTGCTGAAGTGAAAAAAATGTCGCGAATCGCGCCTAATGAGTTTCCGAAACAGGCAGACCACAAGCACTACAAAAAAAAAACATTCTGGGATTAATATGGATTAATATGTTCCCAGAATTGCGATATTGAAAAACCCAGGGGTTGACATCAGAACATATCAGTGGTGTATGGCTGCTGTTTTGAGGCGTCCTCTCTGATAACTCAAGCTGCCCAGCGGAGGTAGAAACGTCACGGCGAACTGCCACTGTCCGCATCGGGATCAAAGTTTGGTCGCTCATCATGTGAAAGAGCTAAAACAAAGCAATAGAATCAAAGGGGACGATAAAAATCACCAGCAATCAGCAGCCATCAACAACTATCAACAGCTACCAACAGCTATCAACATCCAAGCTCTGGCCAATGATCTGGTCCAAACATCCCTCTTTTTCACGCAGGGCACACCTGCGGCCTCAGATGTCTACCAGGACGTAGCACTCGAAGGGATGATCCGGTCGTAGCTGTCCACCTTCCATGGAGGATTCGACCTGACAGATCCAGATCCGGACGCCGGTCACGCGACGCCTGGACCAAGATGTGCATTAATGATATTCGAATAACATGTACATTGACCGTTATTGGTCATCAACCACCATCAACTATCATCGACCATCATCAACCATCATCAACTATCATCAACCATGAGCCATTATCAGAGTGAAGTCAAAACTAACAAACCATCAACAAATCATCAACAAATTATCAACAAACCATGAACAACAAGTAAGTGGGTTTAATTGAAAAAACTTCGACGCGACCAGTGGTTTCCTCGCGACCATGGTTTCCTCAGTGGTTTCCTCGCGACCACGGCACTCGGAGCATGGTGCCCTCCTCAGTGGTCACATTCGTAGGGGTTAGGACCTTCATCTGGTGCATAGTGATGGCCTGGCAGTGGTGATGACTGGATGGCAGCCCGAGTGCTGGCCATGGTGAGATTTAAGGCCTGGTTGAACCATGAAACATGGTGATCAAATGGGATTTAAGAGGGTTGAACCTCTTAAATCATCAAAAACGGGTGATTTCATGGGAGATTCATGGTGATATAATGGTGGTGTGATTGTTTTTTAACTATAACCAATTGTAATTAAGACATCCTCCGTTCATATGAAACACCCCCAAGAAACCATCGTTTCGGAGGGGAACTACACACATTTAAGCTACCATTTAGAATTTAGAAGGTGTTGAAATTATATGGGGGAATCATTAATTCAACATCTAAATCTTGAGTTCCCCATCTAAATGTTGAGTTCCTACCATAATTCAGATTAATTCAGGGTGTTTGTCAGAACACTCTCCCAGAAAGAAGAACTGCGGACACATTGCTTACATTTGCTGACATAAATCACTATAAATCTGACTGAATGAACATAATTCACTGACCTGAACATAGCTGTTGCCGGAATGGTGAACCATTGGTGAACCATTGGTGAACCCCGAATCCGAAGACCGGATATTTTCCGGTGACTTCACGACGTGAGGTCATTAAAAGTTATATCCAGGTGGTTGAGCAACCCCTCTGAAAAATATTAGTCAATTGGGATCATTACTCCCAATAATCTCCCAATATATGGAAAAATGAAAAATGTTCCAAACCACCAACCAGTTGTGGTATCTAACTATAGATTCTATATAGATGGTATAATGATGTAATGATATATATATATATATTAATGCGGGAAACACCTGTGAAAGATGCAATAAAGTTGGACACCTGGAAAGATAGAAGCCTGGCATGTATACAGCAACCACATGCAACCACCATTTATAGTATTGGAAAAGTTGGAACCTGGAAGTTAGTGGGAGAACATCAACCAACCACTATCATTGGAATTACTGTGCGGCATCGTTTTTGGGGGCTGGTTTAAGGCGAGTGTCAAGCCCGCATGTTATGAACATAGCCCGTGGGTGGTTTTGAACTGGGAGGTACCATTTTTGAACAAAAACGTTCGTATTTTGTTTGGTTAACCTTCCGATGAATCAAGAAAACCCCCAAGATCCCCCAAGCAAAACCACAGTTTTTAGATGCTTTTTAGCATCAAAAAAGGGGTTCCACAGGTTTCCAGACCATGTTTTTTTCCCAACCAAGTCTGCAGTTTCGGATGATAACACCTGGGCAAAACTGATCAAAACTGCATATGCTTCTTAGATGATGGGCTTCCAGTCCAGGCCGAACATTCGATTTCCATCTTCAAAGGTGCAAATAAGCGGGAACCATCCAGCAGGGTCTTGCAAAACATGGAAGCACATGGAAAGAACACACCATATAAAAAACATATAGATTCATACAGATCATCCGTGGATGATTCGGCAATCCTCAGAAGTGTATCTGACAAATAGCTCGGGTTCTTCGGTCCCAAATGCTCCAGGCCAGGCCTTGATTTCAGTTCCTTGCGGATGCTTTTGAAGATCGAATTTCCTGCAGCTGAATGGCTTGGGTACTTTTTCGCTGTCCGCTGTCCTAAAATGTTCCAGTTGACATATTGGGATGGCGACTGCCATCTAGTCTTATTAAAGATATGATATGCTGTTGATCCACAGCCCAAAAAAATATGGGATTCAACTCACACAGTGACAGGTCGGATAAGCCCCTGTCGGCTGACCATACAGATTGCCCCCATCAAGGCCACAAAACATCCAAACGTCATACCCAACTGCTGCACTCGGACATTACCCTGTGGCCCTGTTTTATGGATGTTCTTCATCGTTCTTCATCCCCCCAAACATGGTATGTCTAGAGTCTAGATATCTATCCACAACTTTCCAGCACCATCTTCCCCTCACCTATGGACCTATGGCTCGCACCCATGTCCCATCAGTGCCAGGTCACTCACCATACCCCCGCGCGGAGACTTTCAGATTCTCGGTATCCAGCTCGAAAACTTCCACCCGGCGACAGACCACGAACTCTGTGCTGAAGCTGAACAAGAACCTAAGGGAAACATGGCGCTACCCATTTAGCGCGATGTTTTGCCCAACTCCAAACCTCCACGTTTTTCCATACGGTTAAGTTATGACATGTCGTCACACCACCCCAGCCATTTTTTCCTGAAAAAGGCACCGTCACTTCATCGTCTTCCTTTATAGGTTGGAACATGCCAAATATGCCAAAATCTGGCCCATCATCCCAGGAGGATCCAGAGATCCCAGGAGTGCCCAGGAGATCCCAGGAGATCCGGGATCCGGTGACTCCAAGCCACTCATCCAGGAGATGATATAACCTGGTTGGTGGTTGAGCTCGCCAGCCCTCTGAAAAATGATGGAGTTCGTCAGTTGGGATGATGACATGACCCCAACTGAATGGAAAACCTACAAAAAGCTATATTGAAAATGGCCCATATTTAGTTCCTTGATTTAGCCATAAAACATGGTGATTTTCTATAGCTAAAAATAATAATATAAAAAAAAAAAAACATGTTCCAAACCACCAACCAGCAACAAATCCGTGAGATCGTGCCCAGTGGTCTGCACCTCCACGGAACTCAGCATGGACACCTGAGGGACCCATGGGGGCCCAGGGGGACCCAGGGGGACACGAATCAAAAAGCCGTTGTTTTTTGTTTCCCTCACCGGGTTATGATATGTTATGATACTTCAGAAAAATGGCTGGTAAAAAGGTGAGGTACTCGAGAAAATTCGATGATTCATGGTGATTGAAGCACGAAAATGGGTTGCAAATGACGATTTTGTGATGATTTTTAGCAAGCACATTGGTTACACATTTGCATTTTAGCCAGAAAATGAGATCTATATAAATGGGAATTGGCAGTATTTCAACTCAAGAATCATGGGGTTGTCATGGTCATCTTAGGGGGGTTGGAGACAGAGGTTGGTTACAGCTACATCTATCCCACTTATCCAAAAACGGCATGCCAAATGCTGGGTGTTTGGGATATGTTTGATGGTCCCCCAAAAAAAGTCATCTTTTGCTGGTTATGGTCCATACCCATAGGATCCATGTATGGTATATATATGCTAACATGACTGGGGTATATTGATGGTAAATGTCATCATATATAGCATGCATGGATCCTATGGGATATGGCCATGTTCATGGTTTTGTCCATTGAGCATCGAGTACCTGCCCATCCAAGGATGGGGATGTGCGATAGGCTGCTTCAGCAGCTGGTGGCGCAAACTACAATGGACCACCCGAATTCATCATGGTCAGTTGGGTTCATGATTCATCCAGAAATATGTTGAAATGCGCTAAAGCAACTCATTGAGATCTGGATAGATAAGTCACTAAATTGGACCAAGTTACAAGTTTCAATGGATTGGTTTAAGGGAAAAATTACAGGAAAACCCCATATTTAATGGGAAAATCTATGGTTTCCGGTGTAGATTTTCCCTTAAACCAATCCATTGAAAGTTACGTTTTGGGACAAGATGGGACAACATTTTCCCTACATTTTCCCCATGAACTCACGCCGGGTCGGTGCCAGTGGCCGTGTCCAGGTCAGTCAAGTAGGAAAAGAAACAAACCTCGGCTTTGCTACAGCGATATTTACCCTCTGGTAATTTAACATAGCTATTGAAAATCACCATTTATAGTGGAAAATTGCCATTTATAGTGGATTTTCCCATTGAAAATGGTGATTTTCCAGTTCGCTATGCTAAATTACCAGAGGGTACAAACCTGGAACTATCCTAGGTCAAGTTGTGACATGCAACAAGACCAAGGATGGTTTTTTGGCGATTTTGCTACTGTCACAACTTGGAAAATTTCCAAAAAAACATATGCTAAGGGCATCTAAGACATGGCCAATGATAATTATATAAAATTAATCAAAGAAGTAGGAACAGCAATGGGTGGAATGCGATCAAATAATAATTTATATGCACCAAGCCCATGAATATATATGCGTCTATATTACAAATGTAGTGACACACACACACATACATACATACTCACACACGCAAATATGTCTCTATGTGCACAATATATATATGTTATATATGTGATATTATGTTTGTGTGTGTGTGTCTCTCTGTGTCTCTCCATCCAATTAAACATATACTATGGCCACATATATTCCCCCCCGGTTATTTAACATAGCCATGGAAAATAACCCATTTATAGATGATTTTCCCAGCTAGAAACCTCCATTTATTTTGGGGATTTTCCATGGCTATGTTAGTCATAACCAGAGGGTATCGCCATGCCACACAGCATTGCTCGAAGGCTTCCTCCAACGTCTTGCCCCAGGAGTGCAGGATCACATCCGCAGTGTGGTCCTAGAACTCACTGGTGATGATATGATGATATGATTGATGATTAAAAAATAATGATATATGGTTTTTTCCTCACATCCAAGGGTTCAAAAGTAATCAAAAAACCTTATATAATGATTAATGATACGATATATTATAAGGATCAAGGATTAACTATAGATGATGTACTATATGATGTGATATGATATGTTTAAAAGAAGGGGTTCTATCATCACTGGTGACACGCGTACCAATTTTATAGAACAGAAATATGTGTACCAGATTTTCTGCTGGAACCTCCAAATCTACTAGGTCACCAGCAGTCTTTGGCGATAGAACACTGTGACACTAGCGTTTGGAACAGGAAAATCATCATCCGTGTTCCCAGGACACGGGCATGATAACATGCATGTTTTGGGGGTAGGAGTGCAGTGGGTTACACCACCAATTGAACATAATTATTGCATATTATTGCTGGGTATTGTTTGATCGCCGACATGCTTTCTCGCAAATGTCTCAACACTAAGACCCTCAGTCACAAAGTAATAATAGTTCAATCGTAAGTAAGGGGAGAGCATCACCAAAATACCATAACAAGAAAACATGAAAATAGTCTATTCCTGACCTGGAAAATTCACCCAAACATGTCCAACATCCTGGCAAAACGTGCCCGAGACGTTCTGGGAGGTCTCTCCATCCCCATCCATCCCCCTCTCAGGTACTCGTATGGAAGTGAAATAGATCTTGGAAAGTCACCTGCCATCTCCTCTCTGACTATCATGTTGGATATGTTGGTTACGTTGGTTGGGAGACTTCATTCGTAGCTCCAACTGTCTTTCCATTTCGGAATGTGGTGATCCATAGCTCCACACTGCTCCCTTCACTGGATGGTTCTGAGGATCCAAGTACTCATAGAGGCGAACTTCTTCGGTACTTGGCACGGCGATTTTTTGGGCAACTTCAGCGTTTGGCTGGTGGTAGCCGTCAGTAGCTTCCAGCAAGGCCATTTTGCCCGCCTGCGGTTCATGCAAATGGGGAGCTGCCAGTGTTCATTGAGGCACTACACCAACTGCTTTAAATCATAACACACTCAGAGGTATGGAACCCAGAAGTGGTCATTCCAGTGTTCTGCAAATTTTGTGTTTGTTTTGTGGGGAACAGACTCATTTCCTAGCCACAACGAGTTTCAACCGGCCTAAGTACTTGAATTACTTGACATGGACATGCATCTTGGACCATCTTGCATGGCCAGGTGATCACCAGCTGACCTTTCGGGCCGCACCTTCTCTCCCTCAGCTGACTCTGGAGCCTTCCGCCGGCGCCGATGCCTCGCGGGGAGGGACTTCAACGTCATTCCCTCCACCTGCGGACGCTTCCGTGGCCAGGAAGGCCACTTCACGTTGATCTGAAAATTACGAAACCACTACCCTCTGGTAAACTAACATAACTATGGAAAATCACCATTTTTAGTGGGAAAATCCACTATAAATGGCCATTTTCAATAGCTATGTTAAATTACCAGAGGGTAAACCATCGGCTTGTTCAACAGTTTGCCATGGAAATTCGTGATTTCCCCAGTGAAATGGTGACATATTCCATAGCTGAGGGAACGGACCTCAGATGTATGGCAGATTTCAATCTTTGGGCTGCCCAATTTCAACAAAAACAACCCATACCTTCAAATCAAAAGAGCTTCAAAGATGTGGCAAATGGATAATAATGGATCCCAACCATTTGGTGAACGAAAACCTCCAGCCCCTTTCAGATCCAGCTGAATTTCACAGATCTTCCAGTCAGAATCCCGGGCAGCTGCACCTCTAAAATGCTGGCTTCTTCTTCACATGGTAAGAGGTCGTAGAATCTGAAGGGATTGATGCTGTCACACCAATAGGCCCGATTTTCATGGAAAAGATATATATATATATATAAATTATATATGGATAAGCTGAGAGGTTTTCTGTTTAAGTGACGATTTCAGGCTTCACAACAAATGCATCTTTATATACCCTCTGGTTATTTAACATAGCCATGGTATAGATGACCCATAGAAATAGATGGTTTACCTATATATTCAAAATTGTAATTTTCCGATTTTCCATGGCTATGTTAGTCATAACCAGATGGTAAATCTATAGCAATTTCATGTAATTTCAACGATTCTCAAAGGTCATAAAGGTCATGCTGTCTGCAGCCAATGCCACGATGAAAAAAAACTGGATTTAACGGCCGCGGATGAATTCCAGCAGTCCAGCATCAAGATAGAATGACAAGTTGAACACCTGGAAATGGTGCTGCGAAATATCATCTATAATCATCTACATATCCTGGAAATTGCTCTTGTTCTTGTTCAAGAATCATTTCTTGGTTGCTATATGTATCAATATATCCTGGAAATTGGCATTTGTATAAACATCTACAATCCCATCTCGTGATCATATTGAATACCAGATGGCACCAGGGTTTTCATTTGGTAACATAAATTATCATAAATTGCCTAGAAGATCTCTGAAGGGTATGGAATAATCTCCTCAAAATCTTGGAAACCTACAGAAACATAGGAAAAACACCATGGTTTATTAATTAGGGGGGTACTCCTCCAATAGTCATAATCCAATATTGAAATGGTAACCCCCACCAATTAAACAGCCGTTTGGGGTTTATTCATCCAGGGTTGACATTACTATTGTGTTTGGATTGGATCCTCCTGTTCTATCATTGTCCTTGCAAAAAAACTCAGGCGAAAGGGATTCCTCCTCCATATCTTTCCGCATGCGCGCCTCATGATCTCTTCTGCTTCCGCCTGTGCTGCAGAGACATCTTCCGGCATGCCGCAGAGGGTCAACCTGCAGCCCAGCAACCCCAGTGGGGTCATGGAAAGTCAATCTGGATCATCACCGCACTGGTTGGAGGGAAACAGGTGAAAACATGTTGAATTCTCTTTGCTTGTAGCCAACATCAGCCAAAGATATCTGAGTTTTTGATAGTTTTTGTTCGAGTATCTCTGGCTAAAAAGCACCCACACCATACAACACAATCAACTGGACAAGCCTGTAAATACACCAACACGTAGTGTAACTCGAACAGAATACTGCCATGACAAATTGTTTCGGAAACCTCAACATGAACAACCGAAACAAAATGAAGCAATCACTGCTGCCAAACCGCTTAGCCGCTAGATGTTGTACTGCTTCACCCATGCAAACACAGGTTTTCTTAAACAATTCGGGAGCAAATCATGGCACCATTTCTCAAGCGTCTCAAGGGCATCCTTCCGAAGCAGATTTGAAAGATGTGTTTCGACCCATACCGAGGCAATGCGCGTTCACCAAATTGTAACTTGTCTCACTTTGAGAAGAACGCCTCGCCACATGCAAGAGAGAAACCAAGTGTTCAGCATAGCGCAAAATGGGCCCAGGTATGCATTCATGGCTCCGAAAAAAGACGTGCTCACCACGTTCAGCTTTCGCGCGAAGTGTTATGCATTCTATGGAAGCACAACGACACTTCCGATCCATGGAAGGACAGCTGTCACCAATATGTTTGCCTGGAAAATCCAGAATGGCCGCTTTCGGAAACTCATTGGCAAGGGACTCTCGCAGTCTGTGTGGTCTATCGTATGCTTGCTCCCAATCCTTTTTATTCATGCCACCGAGGATGATAAGGTCAGGCGAAAGCTTCGCTTGTCTCATCAATTCTGTAGCTGCTGCTGGGGGCGAGCCATCGACGATGTGATCATTGGAAAACAATACAAGAGTTATTTGTTTGTTGGCGTTGTGAGCAATCAATGAGTTTTTCTTTTGATGTCCAAAAACTGCAGTCCAGTTGTGGTTGCAAATCACAGTGATAATTAGTTCGGCTAAGAGCGAGTTGCCCACTGCTAAAATCTTCGTGGGCGGCAAACTCAATAAATCAAACGTCAACGGCCTATGTTGGTAGACTCGTGTGGCTTGCAGTGTTTTGCGGTAGCGCGACCCCACGCATGACCAATTATCTCTGATCAGGGTGCATCTTTCGTGTCCTGCCTGACGAATGGTTTCATCCACGTCAGGCCATGTAAAGTTGATTCCTCCTCTGATGGACCTCAAGTGAGAAGGGCCATGGAGTTCCTTCGCCAGGTTCCTAAAGCCTCTGGCTTCCCCGGGCCAAAATATCCACAACCACTTTTGGATCTCATCTTCCGCATCTTCCAGCTCACTCTCTTCGCTTAGCCTCGCCTGTTGTCTGACTTGTTCATTCGGAAGCTCACCGCTTCCGAAGTGCCAGGATAGAACTGCTGCACTTGCCAAGCCCACTGTCAAAGCGCCAGCGAAAGTGAAGATACATGTCTTGTGGGGCACTGCCAGCCGTGACATGCGGGAATCGAATGGGTTTATCTGAAATGGGGCATAATCCCAAACTTGATGGCTCATCACCATCTGAATTGAACCAACCACTATGGTATACCATTTGCAAACACACCCCAATGGCTACATGCAAAAAAAAAAACGACCTTGGGGTCAAAGTCTGAAAATGGTGGGGTAAAACACCGTTTTAAATGGCTATTTGTAAGGTGTGTCTCTCTCTCTCTCTCTCGATTTTCGTTGTTTTTGTCGGAATATGTTGGTGGGTGCATTTTTGTCTGGTTGGTCTTGTTGGATGCACATGAATGCAACCAAAGGTGATCAGTGTTTGGGCATCTGCTGCGGCATGTTTTGCCCCAACATCTTTGCGGAGCCCTGAATACAAAGTAACATGTCACATCGTTTCACAAGGCTATTTTTTACAAGGTTTCATACACTAATATATATATAATATTGCAGATGTGTCCCACCCTTTGAGCAATCGAACATGTTCTCCGAACCATTTTTTGCAACCCGGAAAACAACAACAGCGGGTCAATTGAAAGAAACAAACGCCATCTCCTCAGATGCACTGGTCAGGTCCAAGTTGAATCACTTTGGGCTTTCGGTCTCCCTTGGGCCCAACCAAAGAGAAACCTATGAGACATCTTGGAAACAAGATTTAACCCAACTATCAGAAATAAGTGCCATGGTCAGGACATGGCATGTGTATGTTGAGAATACACAGATGTTTTTTTTCCCAAAAACAAATCGCACAGCGCCAAAAAAACAAATGTATCAAAACATAGTATCTCATCCACATGACATCTCTATGATACACGCCATCATATCTCATTAAACCCTCCTTAAATCCCCTTAAATCCCAATTAAATCATATGAAATCCCAGTTCAATCACATTCCATCCCAATTAAATCACATGAAATTCGCATCAAACTCCATGAAATCCCTATGAAATCCCCATTTTCTCCACACTTTTTTGGGTTTCTTTCCCACCCTTCCCATGTCGCGCCTGGCCGACGCGGTGGTGGCCTCCGGGCAGTGCAGCTCCGCGCGCAGCTGCCGCTGCGCGGCGAAGTGCCCCAGGTCCTCCGAGAGAAGGCGCCGGGTCGCCGCGGGCAGCTCCTGGCGAGGTTGGGCGGGTCCACCGCGAAGCCAGGGATGGGATGATGATGATGATGATGATGATGATGAATGGGATGATCTATATAGTAGTATAGTAGTACAGTAGTATAGTAGTATAGTAGTATAGTAGTATCTGTATGGAGAAATGTGAACTATATATATAGATACTACTATACTACTATACTACTGGTGATAATGGGATGATATGTGTGTTTCCATAAATTGAGGTCCCAGGGTCCCAGTGCTCATCCATTTTTTTCGATGGGATTTTCCATACCCATTTGGGAGTCCCCCCAGTGATGGAAATCACATAACCTGGATGGGCCTGGATGGACGGACGTAGGATGAGTTGCAGATTTTATGCATTTTCATGGATTATCGATGATTACGGACCAAATTATGGACCATTCATAATCCATATAATCTGATAAATCTCCCATTTGTTTTATCTTGTGGAACTCCATATGTTTTTTTTTTTTAAGTTTTTGTTGGGTTGATGATGGGAGGACCATGGCAAACCTGTAGCCAGAGGGTAGATGGGATGGGAGGACCTCCAGATTTTTTGTTGGCTTTTGCTGTTGACGAAAAATACGATGATGGGATCATCAACGGGATTTCATGGAAATCTACAAATTGAGTTAATGGGATCTAGTGGGATTTAATGGGATAGTTTATGGATTAAGTCACACAGGAAAACATTGGATATTTCATGGAAAAAAACATGGAAGATTTATGAGTTGTTTAGAGGAAACCCTGCACGAAACCCCCATATTTGTTGGAAAAAAGGATGCGTTCCTGTAGGTATTCCTTGATTTTCCGTTGAACCAAGTCAATGTACCACAATCATTCAAAGATGAAAGAGTGTCGCTTCCTTGGGGATAGGTTAAAACCTATGGAAAACAAACAGTATTTGGGGGAACATCCATAAATCCCAGCTATTTTGGGGTAAGGGTACCATTTGTTTTGACCCACAGTCACTTGGTTGCATTTGATACCCAACAGAGGGAGTCAAACTGTTCTTTTTCTGATTGACAATTTGGAAAAGTGCAAGCCATGCAAGGGCTTACTTCAGCATCACGGCAAGTAGTAGAGTTTCTGCACTTCGGTTTGATTCAGTTCTGACAAAAAATGGAATGAATGTCCAAAAAAACAGCCTTTTTCTCCACATAATGCATTTCCTAAAGCCAAAGCCATTGGGGAACCAAGGCGCACGGAGTTTTGTGGCAGGACATAGTCGCAGATTCATAACGCTGCCGTGCTCTAGGATCTCAGTGTTGGCCTCAAAAAACCAACCTGCATAACCTGGGGAACAAAAACAAAGAAGCACCTGGGGAAGCCTTGCCAGCCAATCAAATGCTGATCCGGGAGGTAACTATACAAACACAAAACTATACAAACACAAATACATATATATATATATTCATATATATATATTAATAAAATGAAAATGATCCAGTCCAATGTTTTCTTTTCGGTATGAACCTATTGCCCCATGGAAGATGTTGCTGGAGACTGGGACATGACATGGTGATAAACATTTAACCGTTTTTCTCTGGCTTGGTTGCTCTCTCCAACACTTTGTGTGGCAGGATTTTTTTGCTTTCCCAAATGATCCTGAACTTTACCCACTGGTAAACATACAAAAAACTATGGAAAATTGCCATTTATAGTTGATTTTCCATAGTTATGAGTGCAATGATATCCCAAATCATCCCTGAACTTTACAGTGCATGGTTTGGTGCTGAACTATCACATTTTCAACAGCAGTTTTCCACACTTTTTCTTGCTTCACAACCCTTAACCCACCTGCAGAACTTCCTTGTCAAACTCCTCAGCGTCGTCAGCTTCGTTGCAAGGACATTCACCTGGCCATATATTTTGTTCGGCAGCTGAGGAATCCCACGACGTCCCGAAACCCGCTGGAAAGCCCCATTCTCAATATATGGGCAAATAAATAGATGCGCACATATATAGAGAGAGGGAGAGAAAGAGACATGTTTATAATATATATATAGATATCTGATTTAGAATCATCTATAAATCTCAAGAAATTCTTGATTGCGAGGTTGAGATGACTGAGAAAGAGGCTACTGGCAAGTAGTCTATCAGCCAGGCGTACTCCTTACCCAGCGCCCCACTGGAGAACAGTAGGATGCCTTGAGAATCTCTCTCGATGGTTGCGCGTCTTAACTCCTTCAGTGCGGCAGATGTGGGAAGATAGACATTTTTTGGATGCTCCATGATGTCTCTACTCAATGGTAAGCAGTATGAAACAATATTAAAATATGTTCCATGGGGTAGCCACAGCACAAGACCATATCAGAGTACTGGAACGAGCTAAAACCACAACCAAAAAAACAGAATCTCTGATTGGGAAGGTGGTCTGGCAGTTTGAGACCATATGCACTGCATGAGCCTCACAAAAAAAAAAAAACATTTAACATAGCTATAGCACACCAGTCACATCACCATTTTTAGCAAATCATCAATGGGCCATCTGCCCCGTCACTGCCGATAGATCCATAGGGGTCCTCAGCATCAACCAGGAGCAGCCCTGCTCCATGGGCAAAATGTCTTCCGAAGGCGGCATCCAAATCATCCGGCTCCAAGCCCACCCTCAGCTGCCATGGGGCCATGGTGCCATGGGGATTCCTCGGGAGCCCTGGGGAGTGGACGATCCAAAAAGCCTGCTATAGCTGACAGGTCGACTTCCAAACAAAGCGATATGCGAACTGCACGATTTTTTCCACTTAAGAGCTTGCCTGGAAATGCAGTGCCAGTTCTAAGTGGCTCTATATATAATTTTTTTTTTTCATAGTCATACTGTAGGGGTTGTATTATATGCCAACTTATTGGGATTAACTCACCATGGTATGTTTTTTTTTTCCATTTCCAACATCAACTGCACCTTTAACTAGTCTAAGTCTGTTTCATCTCTCAGGTGTCCTTTTGAAGGCCACTGTGGCCTGCAGGCCTATTCTCTGCCCAAGCGCTGGTGTCTCTGGCGAGAATGGACTGCTCAATTTCTGCTATACATCTGACCCAGCTGGGTTAGCCAGGCGTGGAAAATAAAGTAAAGGAAGCTGAGGTGATTCTGCCACAACCGTGCCTCTGATAACAAACCAGCCTTCTTGGAAGGCAAGCCTGGCACTGGATCATGAATCATCAGCTTAAACTGGCCTAAAAGAGAGGCAGTGCAACTGAGAGAGTCAGGATGCTGATCAACTGTGGAGCCAATGCCATGGATGAACTGAAGCTCTGTTCCAGCATCTGATATCTACAGGTCCCTGAGCGATAATGACAGCAGCATCGGCACCAACAGGCGGAGCCATCATCTGGGCCGCATCCATCCGCATTTGGTCCAGTGATGAAGCCGCAGTAGCATTGGGAAACGAAGGATGGCAGGCCGTTTCCAGGCAAAGGGCAGGTGCCGATACCTTAGATTTTCCTAGAGGTGCCACAAGTAAACACACTATTCCAAGTAGATTCCCCGAAATGCTGGATCATGCTGGATCAACCATTTTGGAAAAATCGATAAAAAGTCCTCCACGAGTCCAGGAGGCTGCCATCCACGTTCATGGGGGATTCAGTGGGTGACCCGGTCGAAGATCTCAAGCTGGTGGATACCACCGTCGCCTCCGTGGTGGCCGCCTCGGTAGGGGCTGCGGAGCTACTCACCACCTGTGCCGTGGTGGCACTGCCGGTGGTACCAGTGGCGCTGGTGCCGATGCAGCCAGGGCTGCCGGCACTGCAGGGTGTGTAGCTGGCGATGGCCGGGCCCACCAAGTATTGTTCGGAGGGCCCTTGGCCGCTGTAGACCTGTCCTTAGTGAGGCATGCAAAAAATATCCAGAAATATACCAACAAGTGAGGGGAATAAAAAAAAAGTGGGTTGAAATCTTCCTATAGACACATGTGCCATCATTGTACCTGCATGGTAAACCCGTTTCGAAAGTCGTTTACAGACCCCCCTTTTTGTGGCTTGAAATATGTCACAAAGGGGATCTGATTTTGCCACAGTTTCTATAGCCTGAGGCATCCTGCGGCAAATGCTCAATGCCCGCGATGGCAGTCACTGGGTTTGGAATCACAGGCGTGGCGCTGGACGTGATCTGCACATCAGCGCACTGGACGTAGAACTCAATATCAACCACCTGAGGAAGAGATCAGGATGACTGTTGAAAAGGATGTCCCATTTGGTTCTAAGGAAATCTGGAGAAATCGTGGTCAACATGATGTTTTCATGTTTGATCCTGAGATACTTTGGGATACATAACCTTAGGTTCCCAGTTCGGTCAGCGCACATACTTCAGCGGTGCATCAATGTCATGTTTCAAAACATAATGGTTTGACCTATAGTTTCAAATATCTTCAACTAATAGCTTCAAATAATTGCATCAAACACAGTACCAAGCAAACACAATAAGTTTTTTCACTAAACATATCTATATAATATTAATTAATTGTAGCATTATTTCAAATCAATTTATTTTTCTCTGCTGGGTCATCCTTGGATCATGATTTTCGCCTCAAGTGTTGTGTCAAACTTCCAAGCTGAACACGATCAAATACTCTCATACTTCAATACACAAAATACATACTACCAAACAACACATACAGCAATAGCACGCAATAGTATGCAATAGTTAGTTAGGTAGTTAGTTAGCAGGTTAGTTACTTAGTTAGTTGATGTGGTTTTTCTTACCATAATCTAGATCCATAATGTTTGACAACATACACTATACATATAAAATATGACATCCACTCAGCAGGACTAAGCGGCGCAGGTTGCAGTAGGTTATATAGTTACAACATGGTTTGGATGTTCCAAAAATAATAATAATAATAAACATTAATAAACATATTTAAAATCATAAAGACACCTTTTTTCGCCAGATAAAAAAATAAAAATAAAAAAAAAGAAATAAAACTAAACAAAAAGAAATAAATACACATAAATAAATATGTATACATATAGGTATACAGATAGAGTTCAAATGATTTTACTTCATTCTATTTAATCTGTTCAGGCTAAAGCCTATCAAAACAGATTTTGTTTTGACAATGCTGGCCACGCGGTGCCAAACGTCTGACAATAACCGACAAAAAAGGCACATCAGGAACCCATGTCGTTGTTGGTCACGTGTAGCAAGGTACCTCATCGATCCAAAACAATGTCAGCACGGGTAGGGACAAGCAATGCAAAGGCCGGACCAAACATGGACGCAAGGAAAGGATTCATTCCTGCCATCATTGGGTCTACCCCTCGATGACGCTTGGCCGCACGGGCCAAAGGACCACTGGCTGAAGACGACATGGGTGAGCACTGAATTGAAATGAAGGCGCACAACAACTGACCACACAAGACTCTGGGATCCAAAATGCCACCAAAGCGAAAAAAACAATCGTAGAATTTTCCACAGCACATCCCACCAGGAACACCATTGCAGCACGTATGTGATTTCTTTTTTTGGAAAAAACTTGTTTTTTTATTATTTTTTCACAGTTTTCGTCAAAAAAGGGCAAAAAAGAGAGAAAAAAAGAAAAAAAAAAGAACAATGATATTTTTGTTTGTGTGTTTTTAAAATTTGTATTTTTTTTGACAATTTCTTACCCCCTAACGGTTTTGTTTCCATCCAAATTCAAATGGTGGTATGACATGTCGATGGTCTGGATTGCTGGCCATTGTTTATTTTTTTCCTAGGGTTTCTACTCTATCTCCGCTATGCAATTCATGTTTTAGAATATGCTTCCCAGAAATCATCTATTTTGACTCACATTTCGACATGTTTTCTCGTTCATTGTGTTTTCTTTTGTTTCTTGATTTGTTTATTTCATGTTCCTTCATTTCTTTCATGTTTAAAGGTGTTTTCAGTTTTTCATTTTTTCATTTGTTTTCATGTCTTTTCATTTCCTGCATTTTTTTCTCTTGAAAAACCCATTACCAATCCAGACCACTGGCATGTCGACCCACTTAGTTTTGCACATCTCACCACCTGCCCTTACCGCCTGTTGATGTCCCGTCCACTCCCAGCGCAGCACGCAATGCTCGCAGGGCGGCAGCTCCGCTGGAAGCTGCACTGCCATCGTCACCGAGGACGGGATGTTCAAGCCGTCAGGAGCACCGCAGCCGGGGATGGCGGCGATTTTGAAGAAGTTGGAAGTACTGCTGGGGTCATCATAACCTGAGATTTTTCTGGGCTTTTTGGGTTTGCTTCCAACGGTTTGCCCTAGAGTTGCCCTGGAGCTAGAATCGACAACCTGCAAAGTGTAGCAAAATGAACGCTAACCTGAGATGGGGATTGAATTCACACGATGTTTGATCATTATGACTATGGCAATATTGGAAATATGATCGAAATCTAATGGGATGAAATATCCATTCAACAATATGATATGAATGATGATGAAATGGAAAAAGCCTGGGATTTTAAGATTAATGTGCGTTAATGGTGGTTAACCAATGATGATGATACTGAAATGATATGAAAGTGAAAAACCAATAGATTTTGAGATACGATTGTTAATGTTTGCTAAATTGAAGATTCGACATATAGAAACTGTTAAAGAATGCTGGATCTGATTTCGTGTACCCACAGTAGGTATCCAACTTTCGTTCACTGCAACTTTGAGAACAGTTCCATGCCGGTTTAAAGACAAGCGGGGGGGCTTCGTTTCAAGGTAAAGGTTCATGAAACCAACGCGACAATGCGGAATCCATTTTGTGAATGATTCATGCCTTTCTTTTGTTTATAGAATCAGAAGCAAATCGCAATGCTGGAATACAATGACTTTGTCAGCCCTGCATTGCCCGCTCCTAAAACCATCTTAAAACAAGAATATCTGGGGGTTGTGATTTTTGTGAAAGCCGCCAAAAATGGCCTGATAAAAAAGCATCTCACTTGAGGAACATTGCTGTTTTACAGGCTTACAATTTTTATCGATCTTCATTCTTCAAATTTCAGGGTCTTCTTACTCTTTGCAAAGAATCGAATCAACAAAAGTCAACAGATGTCCAACAAGACTCAACTTCAGAATCTGGCCAACCATCAACAAGAACAACCAACATATATCTCACCAATCTCACCCAAAATCTCCCAAGAAACATTTCTAACATAAACAGGCCATAACAGGCCATAACAGGCCGATGCCAGCCGTGGAACTGAGATAAAAGTAGCAATCCCCAGGATGACCTGCTTCCATTGTCCACGTGGCATCAAAGGATTGACCCGCCTCCAGAGTGGTCTCAGGACCGCCGGCTTGGAAGTCGTGGCACCGCATACCTCTGGTGAGTTTTTTGGTGAGATGCCTACCATGCGGATCTGGGAGATGCCTATCTTTAACACTGGTTTTGTTCAACAGGACATGGGTGATGTTGGATGATGTTGGATGATTTTGGATGATTTTGGATGATTTTGGATGATTTTGGGCCTTTTCCTCTCCAGCCATGAGTCATGAATGTATAAGTATATGTATATAAGTATTTTTTCTTGGGGACATCATTATATTTATCTCACATCTGTTGAAGATATTTCCAAACTGGGTCTCTAAGGATCACCCTTTGTGGTATGGGCACTGGTGAACCATAATTTCACTATGTTTAACATTGCCATAAATTCGGGTGCCCGAATTCCAGTTCCAGACACCCCCAAGCATCATCTGATATCATCTGGCATCCCGCAAAAAATGCCAAATTATACCCACGTGATCTTAAAAAACATATCCCACGAAAAAAATCATCCCGCACTACCCTCTGGTAAACTAACATAGTTAATCATTGAAAAAAATGCACCTTTAGTTGATTTACCTATTAGTTAGATGGTGATTTTCTACAGCTATGTTAGCTAGTTTACAAGAGGGTATCTCACATGAATTGCCCCCAAAATTCATAGATGGCTTACGCTTTTTCGGTCGGGAGCGTCCCCAAGTCGTCAGTTATCCCGTTCAACCGTAGCTACACAAAAATTTGATGATTTTCCCATGTAAAGCTCCATGAAAAATAAGATTGTTAGATAAAAATCGCTAAATTGTCCATTATAAATCATTATAATATATTATAATCCCATATAGTTCATCATAATTCCATATCCTTTTTTCATCATCACAGTTATACTTCTTGATGACCCCGGCTGCTCCAAGCTGCTGGTGGCTGAGTAGCCTCCCCGGTTGCCCCCCAAAGTGTAGACCGGCGCCCGCTGCTCGTAGCTCTCGCGGCGGCCCTGGGAATCGCCACGGACCAAGGGGACGGTGAGCTGGCCATGTCCCAAGGCACCAGGGAGGAGCGCCAGCCATCTCAGCGAAAAAATCTGTGGGACCCCCTCTTTAATAAGGTAAACTATGTATAGTTGAAGTGGTGAAACTATATTTTATATAAAGTCATATATCTAAACTTCCCACGTTTGTTGTATTCTCACTTTCTTGGAGTGGGATTTGACTATATGTTGGTTTATAAACCCTATGAAGACTGAAGTATACCATGGTTATAGTTGTAAGTTGGTTTATAAACCCTATGAATCTATAAATAGTTGTATCATGTTATATCCCAAGTTAGGTGCGTCAGCTATTGTAAACGGGGGGCCTCCACCTGGTATCTAAGAGATGGTCATGATTTTGTGGATGAAAACATGGAGAATCATGGGGAAAGTGGACTATTCTCCATGTGGGTCTAATAGATGGCCGAATTTTGCTATAAATGTTATAAAGTTATGGCTTATAAATGCTATAAATGCTAATAATACATGGCTTATAAATGTTAGAAAGTTATTAGATGGATAAATCATATGTCAGGATGGCTAAGAATTGATCATATCATAGAGTCATAGTGGATAATCAGTCACTGATTATAGGGAAGAATCATGGATACTCTCTGGTAAATTAACAGTTGGACCCTGGCAGTCATCGGGGTTGGAAGACTAGTTTCCATTAAAAATTGGTGATTTTCAGGGTCCATGTTTATTTACCAGAGGGTAACAATGGTGTGAAGAGCCGACATCATTCTATATGCTAAACCACATTCCCATACATTTCCTGCATGGAGGCTTCGGTGAGACGACTATGCTGCCCATGCCGCATGGCAGCAACCTCCCAATATGCTTTGCTCAAACATCCCCCTAATTTTGGCAGAAAATGGGTGGGATTGCAAGTAAAACATTGTAAAACCCAACGGTAAAAGTTCATGTTCAGATGTTTCACCATGGTTCAACATGTCTTTGTTATTCTTTCTTCATGTCAATATGGGTGTGTCTGAAAATAGTGTACCCCTAAACCCAATGGTTTTGCTGATCATTATTAAATGGCTATTTCATTGGGAATATACCCAACATTTCAGACAAACCCATATGGGTTTTGAACAATTTGGATTCCAACGGTACCAAGTCACAGTTTCATGCCAAGCACCATGGCGTGGGCGTCGCGTCAGCTGATGCGGCGATGCGGCGATGCGGTTGCACGTGCCGTGGACCCCACCACTCGAGCCAGCTGAAGAGGTGGGTGAAATTCGGGCATTGTTTTTTTCCAAAACCAAGCAGGGTTTCTTCAAGATCCTTCCACAAAAAAAAAAAAAAAACACTTGAAGCATCTTGAAGTCCTTCATTTTCATAGGACCACGGCGGAACAAACGCGTTGCACAGCCGTGGTGTATCAGTTTTTCAATGGCCGAGGCACAGAGGAGCGGCCGCAATTTCCAGGATCAAAACACCAGGCTTCAGCTGTGGCTCTTGACCGGGTTCATCACCAACGGCCTCCACCAAAAAGCCTCACGTCATCCAGGCCCGCTGCAGCCCGCGTTTATGGTGTCTGAAGGTGTCATTGTAATCTTTGATGCCGGCCACATGATTGTCTGACTGCGAATCCTAAAAGGTAGGACTGGAAAAAAAACTGGTTAGCAGAATAATCATAATACGACTCCCTTCAAACATCATTGGGGTGACAATAGTCAGAGGAGTTGCAATAATGTGATAGTTCCGTAATGATCTCGGTTTCTGGCCGCCCTGGCCGCCTGGCCAGTGGTTTTCAACCAGCATCCATGGAACATCGTCCAAACAAAAATCATGGATGCAACATGCCGAAACATGTCAGGCCAGGCTTTTAACCATTTATTCTCCACATGATCATAATCGGACAAATGTGGCAAATGGCCGACTCATGGTTGAAATCTCTCACTTCTGGTATACTTGCAAATCTGTCTGATTGAAATTATTTCAGTTGGATTATTCAATTTTCATCAAACAAAAACTTCTATAGGAGTATACTGTAGGTATGACAGCCCTTTAACACACATTGTTGTTGGTAAACTATCTCCAAATGACTACTTAGATTTGCATAAGGTGTCATCATAAAATTCCCTTGGTTAACCCATGGGACATGAACAATCACTGGTGTTACTCCCATCCCACCTATATCAAACATCTCCGGCATAGCCGCCGAGTCCCATGGTTTTTGGGCTGTGGGGAAAAATTCTTTGAAAAAAGAAAACCGTTTTTTGGGGGATGATTATAGCTATTATCAATGATTCCCCCATCAATCCATATGAAAATAAAGCAGCATCCCATCAATCTCATTCAATCTCATTTTTTTTCTGGCTGAGTTCAAATAATTCACCCGAAAATCGTTGAAGAAACCTTAGGGGATGATTCCCCCCCATCCAAATCCCATTACAGTGATGCGAGGTCATCATTCATACGGGAAGTATGTGAAGGTATATGATAATCCATGATAATCCTTAGCAATATGTCATTATCCCAGTTTTTCTGTAACATTTCCGGCATATGTTTCACAATTTCCTATGTGTTATTCCAACCATTTCCCATTCGATCAGTCTATTCCCAAAAAAAACATTGATATCCCATTAAATCCCATGCAATCAATATGTCCCTCTTACATTATGTTACATTTACCATGACATCACTCATATTCTAGTAAAATCCCAGTAAATCCATGTAAATCCTACACTATCATTATCATACTCCATAAACATCTCATAGAAATCCCAGCATTTCCCCCACTTTTCCGCTCCAAGCCGCCCAGTTCCGTGCTTTCCATCTCCAGCCCCGCGGAGTGCGTTCCGGGGCTCAGACGCAAGGCGCAGCGGCATAAGGAACGCCAGGACTGACCTAAAATCTCCGGAAGTTTGGGAAACTGGGGTTAATAATCAATTTACATATTTATCTATAATATTAACCAGTTTCATTATAATGGAACTGGGGTTAATCAAATCACTGGGGTCCATATATATATATAATATTATCCAATATTATCCATAATTCACTGGGGTTTATAATATCATAGTGATTAAACTTCTATGGATTAATATAATGTCAGATTCAATCAGCACAGTGAATTCAAATTTTTGCGCCGCGGCAGGAGACTCCAAGTGGATTTCTGGATTTTTGTGATCTTCGTATGGATGGATTCTGGTACGTTTCTGCGGGGGATTTGGCAACTTTTTGCGGAGAAAGGTGGCTTTCAGGGATATGTTTGTCGAATTTTAAGTGATGGTGATTTCATCACTTTTGGACTATTTTTGAGGTTAAAATCCGGAAACAACACTTAAAATTCCAAGAAAAACAACTGTGACTTCTTGTCTTATGATGTTTGGACAGGTCTTCATCCAGCCTTTGGACAGGGTTTTTTTGTGGCACAAAAAAATAGGCGTTGGATCGCCCGATCGCCGCCAGTTCCGCCCAGGTGCGATTGGGGTATGCTGCCAGGAGCCATTCAGGCACTTCCATTGCAACTTTTCTGTGTGGCTCAGCGCTTAGGGATGCAGGCCCTAAGTGGAAACTCTTATAATAAGCGTTTAACCAGTGGGAAATATCAACCTTAAGTTGGGATATAATCCCAACAAAGATTAGGGGTATATAAGCACTTATAACTGGAACTGTGAGGGATGTTTCTTGAAATGTCATTCCCAAATTTTATCCTTCAGGTGGCCGTCCCTTTTGAAAAAACCCTTGAAGATCTTCAAGCGAATGAGTTGACAGATGTTGACAGGCATGGTTGCAAGTTATCATCCAGTTATTCGATGCTCTGATACCTGTGCTGCTTATCAGTAGTTGCCAATCGAAAACACAAACAGGTCACCAACTGTGTAGGTTCTTCAAAACGCTGCGCCTGTGTGCACGATATGGCAACCCCGAAAACATAGAAAAGTAATTCATCACTATTTTAAAGTCTTGTTTTTCTGTCTTTGGGGGGTTTACTATTCGCATCATGTTACCTCTATTTGCTCTTTGACATTGCTGCTCCTTCGGTTTCCTTGCTGACATTGAATGCCGCAAACCCAAACACTTCGAAGCCAACACAGCCACCAGAAAAGTGTCTAGAAATACCACACGAGACCAAGTGCCCAACTGCTTCACTTCCATGTTGTTGTTTTGAACTGGAATTAGGGCACCAGGCTTCAGACATGCCAGGCTTCAGACATGTTTTTATAATTACAAAGTTGTCCTGACCTTGAACAATGATCATCCACTTGCCTCATAGCATCATAAAAACGAAGAAACACAAGTTCTTCCTCCCTTCCCAAGTTTTTGGTTATTAAAAAAACCTGCTACCATCTGGTTATGACTAACAGTTTGCCATGGAAAGATCCACCATGTTGGAAAATTCGGTAAACCATCTAATGGGCCATCGAAAAACCATGGCTATGTAACACATAACCATTTTGGGTAAATCTTCAAAACCAATGTGGCAAGTTCTCAAAACGATCCATCTCCCGGCCGAAAACAGCCGCAAACAGCCGCAGCACCTCATTCTCCAGGCAGGTCCCAGGTTTCCTTGGTGTCCAGTGGATTCCAAGGCTTCCCAGGGCTTCCGGGTTGGCTTCTGGGGGATCTTTTTAAGGGCCCTTTAGAATGCTACAAAGATGAGTTTTTGATATAACTTATGGAACAAAAAATCCAAAAAGATAGAAACACCTATAGTTTTTCATGTAACTTACCACCCTTCCAGTAAGATGTGACGGTTCTATCTGTTGTTTTAGAAATTATAAAAGACACTTGGAATGCAGGTTTTGGAATGCAACTGTTTTAAATTATGATTAAAATATCGTCCCCCAGGTCTGCTTCCACTAGTTGCTGCGCTGCACCTTTGATGCACCGTGTTTTTTCGCCTTCGCCATGCCGCGTCCCTCAGGCGAAGTTCTTCGACAAGGGGCTTGACCTTTGGAGCCAAGCTGGCGGTGTTATATGTGCTATCACTGGATCTTTGCCTGTGATTACCAATTGCTTATCCATTGGGATCCTCAACCGCAAACAGGGCACAACACTAAGTGCCCAAGCCATTCAATCAGTATTTCGAGATGTTTTCCGGATGGTGTAGTGCTCATTCCCCACTCAGGTTGCCAAACCAGATGTGCAACCAGAGAACACAGGGCCACAAGCAACTGGTGCTGCCAATCTTCTGGAGAGTGGACTATGAACATCGGCTCCTCCAATGACGCCAAGAAATGTTCCAAGCACAAGTTGCAAGACTAACCTAAGAACTAAAAAGGAATATGTGGAGGTTTCCTAAAATGGGGCTACCCCCAAATCATGATTTTTAGGATTTGCCATTATAAAACATCCAGCTATTGGGTATCCCCACATTTATGGAAACCTCCACAAAAGTGATGAAATTCTGACCCGTTATATGACTCATATGACCTTCTAACCCTTGCATTGACCTTGGCCAAAGGGGTCAACAACACCTGAGATCATCCCTGTGCAAAAATAAGCCTATGAAATACCACACCAGGCAGTTGGTTTGACCATCTCAAATCAAATGTCTGGCTTTGTCAACAAACCCTAAATTTCTGGCCATAAAGTCCAGAGGTTCATTGCGTTACAAAAAGTACATGACTCCGCTTTGCAACAACAGGGTTCCAGGGTTCCAGGGTTTCGTTCTCCAGATTGAGACCTAACAGTCACTGGGAATTGCCGCAATGCTTAAGGGGGCCTTCTCTATAGATTCCCCAAATGACCGGTTCGGCATTGGGAAGACTCTAGAAAACACAGGGGCAGTCACCTCAAATCGAATGTGTGCCATCAAATACATAGTTATAAATAGCGTATTCTTATTATCCATGAATATCCATAACAATTTTTTATTATTATCCATTAAACATCATTAAACATCATTAAACATCATTAAGCATCATTAACCATCATTAAACATCATTAAACATCACTGAACATCACGAAACATCACTAAACATCACTAAACATCACTAAACGTCATTAAACATCATTAAACATCATTAAACATCATTAAACGTCATTAAACATCATTAAACATCATTAAACATCATTAAACATCATTAAACATCATTAAACATCATTAAACATCATTAAACATCATTAAACATCATTAAACATCACTAAACATCACTAAACATCACTAAACATCACTAAACATCACTAAACGTCATTAAACATCATTAAACATCATCAAAGATCATTAAACATCAATAAAATTCAGTAAACATCATTAAACATCATTAAACATAATTAAACATCATTAAACATCATTAAGCATCACTAAACATCACTAAACATCACTAAACATCATTAAACATCATCAAACATTATTTTCATATCATTAAACATCATTAAACCTCATTAAACCTCATTAAACATCATTAAACATTATTAAACATCACTAAACATCACTAAACATCACTAAACATCACTAAACGTCATTAAACATCATTAAACATCATTAAACGTCATTAAACGTCATTAAACATCATTAAACATCATTAAACATCATTAAACATCATTAAACATCACTAAACATCACTAAACATCACTAAACATCACTAAACATCACTAAACATCACTAAACATCATTAAACATCATTAAACATCATTAAACATCATTAAACGTCATTAAACATCATTAAACATCATTAAACATCATTAAACATCACTAAACATCACTAAACATCACTAAACATCACTAAACGTCATTAAACATCATTAAACATCATTAAACATCATTAAACGTCATTAAACATCATTAAACATCATTAAACATCATTAAACATCATTAAACATCACTAAGCATCATTAAACATCGCTAAACATCACTAAACATCACTAAACATCACTAAACATCACTAAACGTCATTAAACATCATTAAACATCATTAAACATCATTAAACATCATTAAGCATCATTAAACATCACTAAACATCACTAAACATCACTAAACATCACTAAACATCACTAAACATCACTAAACATCATTAAACATCATTAAACATCATTAAGCATCATTAAACATCACTAAACATCACTAAACATCACTAAACATCACTAAACATCACTAAACATCACTAAACGTCATTAAACGTCATTAAACATCATTAAACATCATTAAACATCATTAAACATCATTAAACATCACTAAACATCACTAAACATCACTAAACATCACTAAACATCACTAAACATCACTAAACATCATTAAACATCATTAAACATCATTAAACATCATTAAGCATCATTAAGCATCATTAAACATCACTAAACATCATTAAACATCGCTAAACATCACTAAACGTCACTAAACATCACTAAACATCACTAAACATCACTAAACATCACTAAACATCACTAAACATCACTAAACATCACTAAACATCACTAAACATCACTAAACGTCATTAAACATCATTAAACATCATTAAACATCATTAAACATCACTAACATCACTAACATCACTAAACATCACTAAACATCACTAAACATTCACTAAACATCATAAACATCACTAACCATCATTAAACATCATTAAACATCACTAAACATCACTAAACATCACTAAACATCACTAAACATCACTAAACATCACTAAACATCACTAAACATCACTAAACATCACTAAACATCACTAAACATCACTAAACATCGCTAAACATCACTAAACGTCACTAAACGTCATTAAACATCATTAAACATCATTGAACATCACTAAACATCACTAAACATCACTAAACATCACTAAACGTCATTAAACATCATTAAACATCATTAAACATCATTAAACATCATTAAACATCATTAAACATCACTAAACATCACTAAACATCACTAAACATCAGTAAACATCATTAAACATCATTAAACATCATTAAACATCACTAAACGTCATTAAACATCATTAGACATCATTAAACATCATTAAACATCACTAAACATCATTAAACATCATTAAACATCATTAAACATCATTAAACATCATTAAACATCATTAAACATCATTAAACATCATTAAACATCATTAAACATCATTAAACATCATTAAACATCATTAAACGTCATTAAACGTCATTAAACGTCATTAAACATCATTAAACATCATTAAACATCATTAAACGTCATTAAACATCATTAAACATCATTAAACATCATTAAACATCATTAAACATCATTAAACATCATTAAACATCATTAAACATCATTAAACATCATTAAAAATCATTAAACATCATTAAGCATCATTAAACATCATTAAACATCATTAAACATCATTAAACATCGTTAAACATCATTAAACATCATTAAGCATCATTAAACACCGATAAGTTATCCACATGATGCCCATGAATCTCTGCAGCGCTCCTCGTGGTTGCGCCACCACTGGCTCCAGAGGTCCACTGGAAGCATTGGGGCCATAGGGACTGGGGCCACATGGGCCACCGCTTCCTTGGTATGTCATGAAGCTAGCTTTCTAATGTGGTTTTAAGGGAATTTTGGATGATTTTAGTTGACCTTATGTGACTTTCCGTGGTTCTAGATAATTTTCGGTGATCTCATTTGACTTTGACTGATTCTGAGCGGTTTTGGGTGGTTTTGTTGAGCAAAAGGCTGTCTTTGGGGGGGTTGTGTTCCTGATGTGAAGAAGCCTCGACTCCTTTTTGCTGATGGAAAAATCGCATGTTTGTGACGTCCGTTCGAACCAACATAACCCCCATCCATCATCTGCGCCCGTTGAAGCTCCGAAAAATCTCCCCGCAGACTTCATGTAGTGCACCAAGTTTCACGGCATACAAACTGATGGTAGTTGTACAATGTGGGTTTTTATCCACATGTCTGACAAGACCTGGTGGCCAATCTGAGATACCTTGCCAAAGCATAAGAAACATTTGGATGTATAGTAGGGCAGCCAGGTTCCCGATCCAAATCCATCCTAGTACCGTACCCATCTTAAAGTATGTTCAAGTATATACATATATAATATATATAATAAATAACATATCTATCTATATATATATATATGTTGAAGTACCTGGCTGAAATATATTGATTCACTAATGTGAAGATAAGGCCATTTGGGGATGACCCCCCGAACCCTCCCATCATTCCATTGACGTAACAGTGAGGTCACCATCAAGTTCATGCAGAAGTATATGAAGGCAAATCATAACTAGATACTTGAAGTATGTTATATACATGCTTTTATATATATATATTATAATTTCCAGTGTTATACTTGGCATACTTCAAATATATCCGGTAGGACCCTATAAGTCGCCATCCCAAAAAAAAGCCTCCAGGTGTCGCTCAGTGAAGCCTGCCGCCTCCAGGAGGGCTTGCTCCTTGGTGCTTTTTTCTATGTTATGTGAAAAATGACCAAAGGGTAGCAATATGTAGCAATAGATCAATATAGATTACAATGGATTATCATCATTTCCTCTATTCAAATGGCAATTTGTGGGTTTGTGGGTATCATACCTATTTTCAAACAACCCCTGATCCATACAAAATGCTGGTGTGCTCTGGCTTCATGCAGCTGTTCTCCTTTCTCAGTAGCTTGGATCGCATCTCGGCCATTTCACATTGCTGTTCCCTTAAGGCGCTTTCCACGTCCTGCAGGGCATGTGAATTGGGGCTGATGACTTGCCAAAAATGAAGAGCTTGAAACACAGCACTCAAAGAATCAACTGCAATGCCTCCAACTTACACGGCTTGCATCCAACAATCGCCCTGCGAGAAAAGCATCTGTTAAATCTTTTTCTCCCTCTGGATCCGCAGGCATGATCTGTGTTTCAAGATCTTTCAAGTAAAATCTGAGGGAAACTCTGGGAACTGGGCTTCTGCGACGCGGCCTGGCCACCTTCATTTGGGGCGTCCGGCCAAAGTCACCCGCCGCGCGGGCGGCTTCCGAGTGGATCCTGGTGCCGGCGGTGCTGAAGGCTCAGGTAGGCTCGTGGTCTGGCGCAAGGGGATGATTTTGGGACGGCTCTCCGGGGTGAAGCAGGGGATACTCTTGGAACGCTTCATGGTTTCCAGATCTTCTGGAAGCAGGTACATTCCAAAATCCTCCTCCTCAGGCGGCCGGGACTCCGAACCCATCGTGGCTGGTAAGGGAAGCTGCGGGCCGCTCCCATCCCTGCCGTGGCTGCTGCCGTTCCAGGGCATGCGATCGCAGTCATTGGGCGCGCGCCGCAGCTGCTCCTGCATCCTGCGGTGCTGCCGTTCCGCCTCCGTAATGTCCAGGCGCTGCCGCAGCCGCTGACCCAGGTAGAAGAACACTAGCCAGGAGAAGGAGAACCACCAGCGCACCACTGAATTCCATGGTCCACCAAGGGACCAAAGGGCCAACCAATATTGGAAGGGACTGCTGTTGGAGTCATCTGGGCCGAAACACCAGTGGAAAGCTTCATTCAGCCACCAGTGCATCATCAGGACCATCACGGCACTTCCTGCCAGCGAAAAGACGAAGTCCAAAGCCGGCTTGCGGAATCGATTGCAGAGATATCCACCCAAAGCTCCTCCAGCTACGTCAAGCACAGCCAACCAACTACTGGCATGTGCAACGTCGCTTCTGGCATGCACCACATGAATTGCAAGGCTATTTGCACCATTTGCAGCAAGGGTGCTTTCATGCACCAAATGAATTGCAAGAGCAGTTGCACCTGCCCCTATGATATAACAACCTGCCTGCGGGAACAACGCCAAAAGGACGCCTGCATGACAGGAAAGGCTCAATGCCAACTGCAGTTGTGCTGCTGCGTCAGCCTGTGGTGTTGCAACATAGACCATCCAGTAGAAACCAAGGGCAAAGCCTATGATGAACCATGAGATCCTTGGATTTGAAGTAATCCCCCCCCAAAAAAAAAACATCCAAAAACTAAGAACATATTCGTATAGATCCCTATAATTAGTAGGTTCCCATAGGTTTCCCAAGTGGTGGATTCGCATTGGGAATCCAAACGACAAAAAAAACATTGACAAAGCACAAACCCATGGATCCTGTATCCCACAAAGTCTGTTAGGAGCCACGCTCCACGAATCAGCATCACGGCTGCGAGCATGAAGGCCATGAACGCTGCACCTTGGATCCCGAGCACATGGGCCATGTATTGATCCACCTGCAGTCTGAGCTCCAATGGCTCCGCTGGCTCAACATGTACGTCTTCGCGACGATGAAGCTCCGGAAAGGACTCATTGATGGGATCAGTCCAGTCGAGCGATGAAGCAACGGCACCAGTGAGAACTAAGAAGCCGATGAGTTTCCAAGGACATCGCGCTCCCACGGGTAGGAGCATGGTCTAGACTCATGACCTTGAGATTTCAATCTTGCGGGAATTGTGATCTGATGTGCGAATGACATGCCGCCGACAAGTTGACGGATCAGACCAAAGCAACATGGTTTCCTCAAGATTGCAGGCCAAGAGGTTGTGAAATATCTACATCGCAGTTTGACAATGCCTTCTGAAATCGATCTTCGCAGAAAATCAATCCTAAGCAGCTTCCGACGCAAGTGCATCTTGAAGAAACTCGTGTTGACTCACCATGGAAAGGAACCATTTTCTTGGATGCATGTCCTTTTCAAAATTACTTTACTTCGTGTGATCCCCACCATGACATTTATACATTTTCTTACTGGCAAATCTTCTGGCATTCTATCTGACATATCTTCTGACATTCTATTTGGCATTCTATCTGGCATATCTTCTGGCATATGATCTGGCAAATCTTCTGGCATATCTTCTGGCATTCTATCTGGCAAATCTTCTGGCATTCTATCTGTCATATCTTCTGGCACTCTATCTGACATATCTTCTGGCATTCAATCTGGCATTCTATCTGGCATATCTTCTGGCATTCTATCTGACATATCTTCTGGCATTCTATCTGGCAAATCTTCTGGCATATATTCTGACATATCTTCTGGCATATCTTCTGGCATATCTTCTGGCATATCTTCTGACATATCTATCTGGCATATCTTCTGGCATATTTTCTGGCATTCTATCTGGCAAATCTTCTGGCATTCTATCTGGCATATCTTCTGGCATATTATCTGGCATTCTATCTGGCATTCTATCTGGCATATCTTCTGGCATATTATCTGGCATTCTATCTGGCATATCTTCTGACATTCTTTCTGACATTCTTTCTGACTTTCTTCTGCACATTCTTTGTCCCATATCTTCCTACATGAGGTCCGGCAGGGAACACTTGGCGTGGATACTCGCGGTTGAGGTCCGGCAGGGAACACTTGGCATGGATACTCGCGGTTGAGGTCCGGCAGGGAACACTGGGCGTGGCTGGTCGTGGTTGAGGTCCGGCAGGGAACACTGGGCGTGGATGGTCGTGGTTGAGGTCCGGCAGAGAACACTGGGCGTGGATGGTCGTGGTTGAGGTCAGGCAGAGAACACTGTGGATCGCGGGTCGCAGTTGGACGAGGACGACGAGGACGACGAGGACGACAAGGACGACAAGGACGACAAGGATGACAAGGAGGACGAGGAGGACGAGGAGGAGAGGAGGAGGAGGACGAGGCAGGAGTCAGGAGGAGGCAGGAGGAGGCAACTGACATAAAATCTAACAACCCTCACCTGGCAGGTGGGGAAAAAACAATTTGACAGTAAACCGTCCGTTTCCTCTGCAGGCGCATCTCTTTTAAATTTGTTTCCCTCTGTTTTTTTTGAAACGGTCACGCCTTGTTCCCCCAAAACACGAGGACTCAAACCAATGAAAGCCGAATGAAAGCCAAAGACATCCCTAAGTCAAACCCCAAACCCAAATCAAAGCCAACCAAAGACAAAACACATGGATCGCAACAGTTCTCAACCACAGCCAACTCGCGCCACTCGCGCCACTCGTGTCCTGTCTCTTCTGGCACTCCAATTGCCAGTCCCTCTGCTTCCGCTCCGCCGCACTTTGCGCTGTGGCCAGCATGGCGTGTAGCTGCTTCTCCAGCGAGCCTGATCCGGCTGGACGGAAATCAGCGCCGGCTGTGGGTCTGGGTTTTGCGCAAAACGACACGTTGAAATCGTTGACATGATATAGTTGAAACATGTTTGAAACATGACTGACATGGCTCTTGAAATCTCTTGAGCCTTGGTCCAATGGTCAATATTTAGTAGGACCTAGGGGGTCATACATGTCATGTTTATACACCCAGTGTGATAAACCCAATGACTCACCATGCCGAATGTACCCAATGTCACCCTTACGGGAAATGTTAAAACCAACCCCGAACAGGAGGTTTGTCAATTGGGTTGACCACACTATTGCAAGCTCCTCTTGGACAGGGTTGCTCACGACAGCCCAGATGCACGGGGCGAAATGAGTGAAAGGTATATGTAAAACTAGAACTACTACAGTTTCCACCCCTTGTACACTAGCATCCCTGTCGGAGGGCCCCGCCTTCTACATAGGTTGTGTGAAAACAGGGTATGCCAGGGTATGACCAAAACAAAATCATGTTGACTCATCATTTTCCGTCTAATAATGACTAGATTAAATCATTTGACGGGTATACTCCATGTATTTTCAGACGCACCGAACTATCATCTCGATGGCTACCCTCTGGTAATTTAACATAGCTATTGAAAATGGTCATTTATCGTTGATTTTCCCATTAAAAATGGTGATTTTCCAGTTCGTTATGTAAACGTTTACCAGGCCAGGTAATCCTGCCGCATGAATTTCCATCACAGATCCCATCTGGCTGCATCATCCCGACGTCAGGACACAAAGTAGTGATCAACTTAATCCAGAGACAAACACATAATATAATATATATCTGGTTGGTGGTTTCAACCCCCCTGAAAAATATTAGTCAGATTGGATCATCATCCTAACTACTGGGGAAAATAAAAAAAATGTTCCAAACCATGCAAACCACCAACCATATATATATATATATCATAATTTTACATATTTTTACATTATATTATAATTAAATTGTAGCAAACCCAAAATAGATAGAACAGTTGGAAAATGTGGAAATATGATGTACAGAGAATCTTCACCATCCGCTATCTTTTTGGGGATTGCTCTCTCTGTCTCTCTCTATTTATATATATATATATCACATTATATCAATATACCAATATATTCCCACCAATATGCCATTCATTTCCACGAATATGTCATTATAACTCATCCCATTGTACATCAGCACTAGATCCCATTATATATCCCATTGTATACCCCATTAACATACCCATTAACATACCCCATGATCATTCATCCAGATATAGACTACCTGCAAAAAACTTGATGTGTTCCATATTATCCCGGTAGATCAATATCAAGATATTGCGACTAATATTCCACGAAGGGAAAACCCCGTTTTTTGCATTTCAAGCCCCAAAAAAGTAGGTTGTAGTTGCAAAGAGTACAATGTGGGCCCCCGAGCTACAGATTGGTTTATAAACCCCATTAAGTATACTTGTGAGTGCCAGAAACAATACAATTGTTGAAGTTCTTTGCAGCAACTTAGCTATCTAGAGAGTGGCCCCGCCATGGTATCTGTATAGCCCCACTTAGCTATACATATATATATATATGGGATATTTGTTTAAAAAAATAAATGTTTATATCACACTAATCCACTATGATCTAGAACATAACCACGTGCATAAATTCATCGCGCCTCTCAGCGTTCCCATGGCTAGGTCCATCTCACGCGCCACGTTCTCAAGGCGAGTTTCCACTCGTAGCACGCCCTCCTGTATGGCTAAAATCGTGGTCCGACGTTATTGGTGTTTAATGGGATATTACTAGAGTTTAATGGGAAAATCATAGGATTTACCCATGGCCTTATCCATGGCTTATTAACCACCAATAACAAACAAAAAGGGACATTTATCCACCAACCACCAACAAACGGAACTCCACCAGAGATGGAAAATCTACCCAGCAATAGTTCGGTGATGTCCCAGCGGCCCGGGTTGATGACACGAACTGAATGTAAGGTTTGTATCTGGGAAAACCCTTGAACTAAACGGGGGATTTTCCAGCAAAGCATGTTTGATTACTGAAGGGTAGCACTAATATCCACATTCATCCACTTTCATCAGAGTTCAATCTTCTGCACGGATCTCTGGACGTCTGGGTTACCTGATCAAACACAGCGTTGCTTTGAACATTATATATCTACATCGACTAAAACACTCAAAAAAATAGAGAACTAAATTACCCAACTTACCCCTTACCATTATGTTTAGTATGTTTTAGTAATTAATGCTTTTGTTTTCTATCTTTGGGCCATTGCTGTATATCAATCAGGCCAAGGAGTTTACCCTAAACATATTCCATGATCTAACTATACATACTCCGAACTAGTTCAAAATTAGCACTCATTCTCCCGTGAATTCCCATTAAAGTCCTAACAAAATATCCCATGTTCTTTCATAGTTATCTCATATTGTCCCGTACTATCCGACATTGATTGACACAAACTCAATGTGATTGGGATGTATGGGAAACTCAATTCTTAGCTCCAACTGGCTCCCCTTTCAACAGGAATTATGGATAGCCATGGATCCAAATTGCTCCATTTCCCTCTCAAAGGGACCACGGGGCCATAGAATGGGGGATGGGAAAAAACTACATGAAAATCCCATGAATGTTAAGGAGTCACATTATCCCACGTTTTTCCATATTTCTCATCAAGTTTCATCTGCAAATATGAATATCTCCATATTTTCAAGTAGGAATAAACTAGAATTTGTTAGTTATAACAACTATATCACTCTATCCCTACATTTCTCTTAATTGTTCATCATGCTACCTCCATATATATATTTTTGTATAGTATGTGACATATCAGGTAGATACAAAATATTTCACTAACAAAAAAAGTTCGGCCAATCTAGGATAGTTACCATACAATTTCCATCTGAATCATTCCAGGCCTCGGTCAAGAGGTCACTATGACCCAAACATACCCTCTGGTAAACAAAGAGTTTGCTGTTTGCTATATTTTGCTCTTGGAAAATCACCATGATTTTCCATCATTGAATACGTAAATGTGGCATGTTCAATAGCTATGTGAAAAATTACCCAGAGGGTAATGGGATAGTTGCACTACCACTGGTAATCATTGGAGCTACTATGGCAACTCTCCCATTGTAACTATTGGTAATGGGATTACAATGGGATGCTTACCATCTACCAACAGGTTACAAAGGGCATCCCCCATGGCAACCTCCGCAAGCTCCGCAACCCGCCTCACGTAGTCGCACCTCGGACGCCAAGCCCTCCGCCGCTGCATCGGCACGGAGACGCAGGCCATCCAAAATGGCCTGCAACGACGCGTTTGGATCACTGGATGGCTTGAAGGGAACATCTTCACCGGAAACCATGGTTTTCCCCATGAAAGTCATGGGTGTAATGGGCTTTTCCGGTGTCCATTTTCTCTTAAACCAATGCAGGGCATCAAACAAAATGGCCGACTTGCCAGTGTGTATAGTTTATGATAGCTATATGGCCAATTGGTGGGATAGTTCAAATATGTTTACATGGCAAAATATTATGAGATATGGGAACATCAAGCAACCCCAGAATAGAAAGCTGGACACCTGGAAACCAATTAAGAGGTTTCTGTATCATTTATACTGTTCATTACTGTTCATTACTGTTCTCGATGCACTTCTTTTTGTGAATTAGATGTAGCTTAAACAATTTTTACGTGTGTTTTCAAGAAAACGCACGTATACATATTGTATATATATATATATATTTACTTATTTATTTGTTTATTTATTTATAAATTATACACACACACACACACCCGTAGCTACAACTATTTGATTTATATCACATGATTATTGCGATGCCTCTTCCTGGCTAAAGGCTAAAGGGGATGAAATCCGTGAAAAAAAACCAAGGATTTGAAGGACGAACAATTGCAAGTTCACCTGCGCTTCTAAAAAAATCACTCGGTGTCACCTGCAAGATGAATTCAACTCATCTGATCCCAGCACCATCCAGCACCGTGGCCACCTGCTCCTTGTCAGCTCTCTCCTGTGCACTTTGGAAGCCGCTGCGCAAGGTCTCCACTTGACGCTGCAAGGAGTCAACCTGCAGAGATCGGGGGCTTCTCCAATGATGCCATGCTGCTTGGGGTTCGACATGTTTGTTCCCAAGTTCCGGAAAAAAGATGTGACAAAAACTTAGAAATGCTGAAATATGTTGAAACAGGGGGGGGAAAATTCAGGTGAGCCACCTCAATTCAACTACAAACTGGGCTGAGCGACCTTAGTAGAGAGACCTTGGTATCGTTGATGCCATTGAGCTGCTGGCTCCTGGTGCTGATTTAAACCCCATAAGTTGGGAGATGGTGCTCTGGCCCCGAAAAAACATGGTGAAATAGACATTCAAGGATGAAAGCTGTTCCATTCTGATTGCATCATGCCAATCAACTTATTCAACGGTCCAGCCCTCGCTGGAGTTGGGCCCAAGACCAGCAAGGATGGAAAGAGTGTTGAATTTGTAGAAAATTGAAGGTGCCAGGTCAGAATGTAATTGATGTACCCAGCATACCCCACCTAGAAAATTGATGTTACATTCTGACCTGGCACCTTCAATTTTCTACATTGATGGGGTATAGCCCACTAAAAAATTGATGTACCCAGCATACCCCAGATCAAGCACCCAGGCCACTAAAACCACTAGAGTTTACCAAATCACCCAGGCCCAGGGTCTCTAGAAAATCAGCGCACCCACCCGGCACACAACATAGCCAAGAACCACCTAATATGTGTAAAACAAAATGATTGTTTCGTGACCCCCCCCACCGATTTCCTGGAGCAAATTCCAAGGGGGGTTTAATAAATAAATAAATAAAGTTGTTTTTTTTTCGCAAGCTGGTGAGTCGGACTCGTGCTTAGTCATGCAAAGTTCATTGTGCCGCATCCGGCTGGTAATCTGGCAGGCTAGCGCCGTACTCCGTACGGGCGCAAAGATGGGCAAGCTGATCTAAAGGGCAAAATTGTCCATGGACGTGGGAGGCAGTTGGCACGGGCCATGAACGCAGAGGCAAAAACTTTATTCAAAGCAGATGCGTAAAATAAAAAACAATATATGTACATATGTATATATATATATGCATAAAATTCTATCTATGTATGCTTGTATGTATGTATGTATGTAATGTAATGTAATGTAATGTAATGTAATGTAATGTAGTGTAGTGTAGTGTAGTGTAATGTAATGTATGTATGTATGTATGGAGATCCATGGGGTATCCCCATGACATGGCCCCTGTTCAGCTTTATGCCGATGAAACCACCCAAGACAAACTGCCCGCGGCAGACCTATAGCAGACTACGTCTGACGGAGAAATATATATATATATATATTTGCATCAGGCAACAACACAGCATCCCTGGTTTTGTCCAGAACGCGTTGGTGGTCTCAATTGAGAGCCTAAGAGCCAGAACAAACAGAAAGCAAACAAACACACTTAACTCAGAAGAGAAATTCGCGTCATTGAATTGTCATGGCATCCGCTGTTAATCTCAAATCAAGATGGAGACACCACCAACTCCTGCCGATGGGCTGATGCTACCAATAAAGTCACAGCTGCAGAGGTTCGCTGGGTGAAAGGCCAAAAAAACGGCACTTTCTACAGACTGTGGCAACTCGGGTCCCAAAAATGAATGCCTAACGATGAACCCTTCAATCTCTTCACAAGGGTTTATGATGGTTGTTCTTTTTCTTTTGCTACTGGTATACGTTGCAAGGTGCACCGTTGGCTGTGCATGATGACAGGACTGGGTCATGGTGCCGGACCAATGCTTGAGCCATGAACATCTTCCCACGCTTGGATGCAGGGTAAACATGTTTGAGACGACCGCGGATGTGCTTTTCCTGGCGACAACACGTTATCTCAGTAAAGAAAGTTGGAACCCCAGCCACTCTCACTGGTTGCTACAATGGTCGAGACTGGCTGCTACCTTTTTTTCTATGTAAAGAGCCTCGAGAGCAACGCCACGGAAAGAGCTGCAAGGTAGTATGAGATTCTCTGAGCGGTTGGCATTGTCAGCTGTGTTCCTCTCAAATAGAAACCTGCAGGGACCAATCTGCGACACCCAACTACAGCGGCCGCAGCTCCCTGTCATATCCCGCAACGGTTAGTAGATGATAGATGATGATAGTATAGATGTCATTGAAACAAAATGAGCCCAAGATGGGCAACCCCCGCTTATGAAAGATACCCTCTGTATATAGGACCCCGACAAACAAATCCGGTGCTAAACAAGTTTGTTTGTTTTTCTTTTTGTTGTTGTGGGGGGGATCAAAATCAATAACGGGATTGCGAGTGATCCCCAGCCTCACACACTATTCTGACAGAGCTTCTGACACATCATCTGGAAATATACAGTATTTTGGGCATATATTCTGACATTCTTTCTGGCATCCCCTCGGGCATGTGTTCGGGTCCGTGCCCAGCTGCATCCGGAGCTTGCCACGGCGTTCATGCTCACAATCACAACGAGCTGACAGAGGAAGAGAAAGAGGAAGAGAAGGAGAAGATGGAGGAGAAGGAGTTGCACCTTCTTAAAATCTAGAGACCCTCACCTGGCAAGTGGGGAACAACATCTTGAAACCCTTGAAGGACAAACTATAAATCAAAACATAAAACAGCATCTGAAATCAATCAATCAATCAACCAACCAACCAACCAATCAAACAATCACATAAATAAATCAATCAATCAATCAAACAATCAATCAATCAATCAATCAATCAATCAATCAACAAATGAACTAGATAAAATAATATGTATGTATATTTAAATAAATATGCATATATATATATATATATAATAAACGGGGCCTTATGCAGGAAAGCCCCCACCCCCCCAGAAAAACCATTTGAACATGTCAACCCAGGCCACCTGCCCTGCTTTGATTGATATATTGCACCGCATACTGTCGCCCTGGATCCATCCAGCCGGTCAAACTGCCATCGTCGTGATCAAACTGCCAGGAATTGACCAAAGGCGCCACACGGCTGGCTTTTTCGGTGACCTCCGCCACGCGCATGATGCTGTAGAGAAAGAAGAGGATCAACGGATAAAATCGCAAGAGCCTGAGGTGATTGATTTTATAAATTGCCGATGGAAGATGGGATTTGAATGGAACTTGACATTTGTTAAACAAAATAAAACAAAAAGAATACATATATACATATATTGGATCCGGAGTTTAATGCGATGTTGATGGATTTTTGGGGGGATTAAAGATGGTGGGGTAGCACCATATGGACTCCACGATTCCACATTTCTGGTGGGATTGATTTGTCAAAGCCCTGGTGTTTGAAAAGAAATGTGGCTAAGATGATCCGCGAAACGAACATCACCAGTCAGCATAAATTGGATACGTTGTAAAAATGTGGAAATGTCATGTAATGTCAACCCTGGATTAATAAACCTCTAGGCTGTTTCAAAAAATTGACAAAACATACAAAAACCATTGAAAGCGCATGGTTCCAATCAATCCAGGAGCCAATTTGCCACGATTTCCATGTCCCCGTTGGTCCTGAAAATCACATGTTCGGCCAAAATGGCCAGACCAGCCAAAGCGCAAAATCCGATGGCCAGCAAGGAAGAACTCATCTTACTGGACACCTGGCTCCCAGTATCCGAAAACATCCAAAAGGAATGTCTCTATATATATATATAATATTTGCCCGTGGGCCGAAACAAAATAACATATACCAAAACCAACTGTTGGGGTTTTTGAACATATAGTGGATTCGTCTGAATTCGTCTGAAAATAGGATGCCGAAAAATTGTTGATGAATTTCTCGCAGCCTGTCGGAGGGCAGCTTGGAGTACATTCCATTCCTCCAAAGCCTCCTCAATGTCCAGTTCGTTGAAAAAGCGAAGAGTGAAGCTATCCTTGGCCAGGGATTTGGATGGGATAAAACATTTGTCTGGAATGTTACCTAGCATATTCGGATATTTTCTTGCTATAAGATTAAACAACTATCGCTGATTATGTTAATATATATATATATATATGTGCGTGTAAAATAAATATGTATATGTACATATTATATATACATATATAGATAAGAGATAGTTAGGACCCGAGCTGCCAATGGGGTTGTACAATCATAAAATCCAAGTTACATTTGATTGGTACAGAACAATAGTGAATATTAATGGGATGGCAATATGTCAAACTATTTCTAGGGGCAAACCATGGCAAACCATTTCTGATCATTTATCATACTTGGAATAGGTTTGATAACGTTTGAGAATATAATCTACAGTAACATTTTTTCGGAGATATCCATTAAAAAACTCCAGGTCAGCTTTAAATCCAGAGAGCCAAAGCCAGCTCCAGTCCGCAAGAGACGTGCAAGAAGGAATAGCAAAGCAAAAGAAATCCTCAGCGGTTGCGTTTTGGAGGAAGTGCCGCCTGGCTGAACGATGTTTCTTGGCTTCTTGATCTTCTTGGTATGGCGACTAAAATGCAACCCCCACCACCAAAGTGAGTAAAATCGATTTTTTCCCAAATGAAATAGTTGTAAATCACTGTTTCCAACCTTTGTTGGGGGCATCTGGGGCACTATAATTTGACATGAAAAATTGGACGAACAACGATGAGCATCTATGTCTAGACATGTGACTAAACCACCGCCCAGAATCTGATGATCATGAGCCACATGCACCAAGAAAACACGGCCACATCAAAGCCTTGCTCTGCAACCAGTCGGTCGCCAAAGCCGCCAAAGCGTTGACCAAAGGATAGGTTCACCAAGGCTCTCCCGATCATCATGCATACAAAGACGCACACGGTTTCAACCAAGCGCCTTCGAGACAACCTCTGCCAATCTATCATGAAACCTCTCCTGGTGGACAATGGAACATGGACCATTGGGGATTGGACTTCTACAGAGATGGTGTGGTTTTGGCACAGCACTTACGGGTGATCCAGTGGGTCATCCCCGGCGCAAAGCAACCACCAGTAATTCTATCCCTCGTGGCTGCGGCAAACATCATGGGCACGGGTCAAAACTTGGGACCTCCACGTATGAAAAGGACCTACAAAATTAATCAAAACTGTTCATTGCCAGTACATCGCACCATCCGTTTCAATATTTTTAATCTCTCTCCATAATTTCAAGACATATGTTGAATTCATGTTGCCCCGGCCAAAAACCAAAAAGTTCAGTCAGCCAGTCTCCCTTCGGCATAGTCGTCGAGTTGATTCTCAGCTGGCCCCAGCAGCAAGTCCATGTCATTGAGCTTAAAGCTCACCTTGGAAAGCTGGTTGGTGGTTTCAACCCCTCTAAAAAATATTAGTCAGTTGGGATGATTCTTCCCAATATATGGAAAAATAAAAAATGGTCCAAACCACCAACCAGAAAGAGTTGATGTTTGTCCAGCGCCGGAAGAATCCAGGCTTAGATTTTTCCGGCGCTTACTTAGTTGTTGCGCGAAAAATGGCCGAAACGGACGGAAACTCTACATGTCTGAACCCCCAAACCCCGCCAGGCAAGAAGAATAAATGCAATATACAACCATACCACATTATACATCATAATTCTTATAAAACAGAAAAGTTGCGTGCAGAGTGAGACCATCGTTCCTTTCATTTCAATAGATTTTGGCTGATTTCGTCTGCAAGCGTCACACCAAGCCACACTGGCAAAGGAGACGCCCAACTGGAAGAAGCTAAGTGTCAGGACCATGGTCATACTCCAGTTGGTGCTTGCCCCCGAGATCACCACCGTGGCACAAACCAGCAGCCCGGTCAAGGAGATTGGTAGAACGGCAAAGCTGAAGAAGGAGAAGAGCCAGGACGGCAAGCCAGTGCCGAACTGCAAATGACCCACCAGGCACAAGAGAAAGCGCCCCAAACATGGGAATGCCGACTGGCCAAGCTTCAAATTCTCCTCGTCAGTTGGACAAGCGGGTGAAGTGGTGGTGCCAATGACCACAGCATCATAGGTTTGCCTCAGCGCCTCCATACTCATCTGGCCTTTTCCCACCATGCTGGGCATATCACTGACGGATTGGCTCTTGTAGGTGGTCAATTTCGCCTTACTCACGGTGGCCGAGACTGGAGATGGAGCCGGCGCCAGGCGCAGCGTCTGAGGGGTTCCAGCTGGCGGCTTCATCGAGGAACCGAGCGCTTCGGAGGTCGGTGGGGTGGGCTTCGAAGATTTCGATCTCGTTTTGCCGACGGGTTTGTTGTTTTGCCTCCTGACAAGGAGCTTGTATAAAAGCGGTGCTTCTATGTGCTCCTAATAGAAAACCATCTGGAAACAATTGGAACAGCATCCTGACCCTGTAGAATTCCAATTAACTACTTGGAAGGAGCATGTGGTCTTTAATGGCGCCCGTGGTGTTTTTGAATGGGGGAATGCTGAACAAAGTGGCGTGACAGGGAAAAACACCAACCTGGAACGAACAGCTCCCTGGAAACTGACAAAAACCCGCTTTAGGGTGCTAAGATCGCGTGAGTCAGTTTCACCTGATGTCATCACAAAATGCCATACTTCTATGGGATGGGAACTACCATGTAGTTTACACCACATTTTCAAAGCAACTGCATGCATGCAAACCCCAACCAAGTGTTGAAACGCTTGCATCCTTAGCATCCCCCTTCCAAAAAGGGTTCCCCCCGCATCCTTAGATACCTTGCCACATATAATATGTTCAGGTTGGGCGTTGAAATTGTTGCCCCGCCATCCTCCATCTATATCCTTTTTCAGCCTATATTCCCACATTGTTCCTCCCATTCATGTCAGTTTAACATATGCAACTACCAATCAACGGCTTTCCCTCCTTAGGCTGACGGCTTTGACGTCTTCCAGCTCTCTCACGTTGTCGTGCATCCGCCCATGTCTCTCCACAAAGTTCTCACAATCCATGCTGTCAGTGATCCTGTGACGAAATCGGGGGAGATCCGTAGACAGTTCAAATGGCTCGCCATCTTTAAAGCGAAGCACGAAACCAAGATTTCACGCTCGTATTTTGTGTCAGTGTACTATATGTATTATTGGGTGATGCATACGATGATGCCAGATATCGAGGGTCTTTCTTCGCCGGTTTCCAAAACTCGTAATTGTATGTAATTGTATATAATTACTGTATTTGGTGACAGGCTTACGACAAACAAGCCGGTATGTACTCTCCAGTTATTGGCTGGTGGTTTGGGTTGGTTCCCGCTACGCAATGAAAATGGATCAAAATGGTATGGTTTTTTTTACAGGGAACTCGATGATCAAGCAGATTTAGGGGGACTTTTGTTCATGAATCCCACTTCAACACACTGGCTGCTGACCTGGGAGGGCCTCATGATGAGTCTGGTTTCTGGCGTGTAAGCACGTTCCCGGCTCCCGGTGGCGACTCGGGGAACTCTACAAAAGATTAGCATTCCCCTGCGAGTGACAGTGCGCAAATCAAGTAAGAAATTTATAGCACTTTGGTGTGTTTCAATCACATGCAGGTATCCAACAATTTTCAGACAAACCCATTTCTGGCAAAAGTTAATCTGTAAGCAACATCTAAGCAAACCAAGGTTTACCCGGCAAAGGGATGCGAAGTGCATGGGTTCACTGTGGTTTCACTATGGCTATTCCATATTAATAACTGGTTGTTGATTAAAATTCTTTATCCGGGACCGGCCATTCTTTGCGAATAAACATGTGACTTTTGCGGAACTTTCGCGAACTCCATGTTGATCTCTTGCGGAACCCATGTGGGGCAACTTCATTGCCTCTTATGAAGATTCATTCATCACCTGCCAAATTACACCAAATTACTGCTCGATAGCCTTGCAAACATGCAACTAGCATTACTTGGTAGCCAGTTTTTGCTTAGGAAATGAAAATTTAGTTGCGTCACTTTTTGCACTTGCACTACTTATAGGTCAACCTTGAAAATGTGCGACTGATGGTTTTTCTTGAAATTAATTTCTGATTTTTTGAAATTAACTTATATAACTTATAAGTTTTCCAAGCATTTTGGACTTTGAGAAACACTATGTGTTGCTTACTTTTTTCTGATTGCCAAATCCAAAACTTTTAAATGGCTTAACAAAAACTTGAATTTTTCGCGTGCGGTGCAATGAACCGCACGGAAGAGACATGTGACTATGCTGTGTGCCGCATCTGCCAAAGATTGAATACAATATTGTAGCATATGTGAATTGTTTGATTTCATAATATTGCGGCCCATGGGGCCGCACTTTTTGTCAAACACATGCCAAATAAAAACACTGTACTTTCAAAGACCTCTGCTCCAAAACCTGCTGCGAAAGATGAAATGTAAAGGAATGTATACAAATGCGTATTTTTTTCAGATTTATACATGTATTACTGTATAACCCATTTTTTTTAGAGTTATACATGTATAGCATCTATAACTCCTGTTCTTCGAAGTCATTATTGTTTTAAATTTCACATTCTGATACACTTCCTATGCTACATGTTCACTGTTTCTCCACCTCTTTTTTTGGGGTAAATGCTCACATTTTTTAACATGCCCTTGGTGAGTCTGGAACTTGTTTTTCATTCAGCGCTTCTCTGAGGTCAAAACTGTAGGCTTGTATGACCAGCCATCTAAAGAAGGCCTACTTGTTGTTCTCCCTGCCCTTTTGGCCCTTTTTGTTCTTCTTGCTGACATACGTGGGCATTTTAAAACATGACATATCAAACAAATATCAAACAAAGAACATGGTTCCCGTTTTCAATTTGCACAAAAAAAAACTTTGCTAATTTACTTAAGAGGTTCACAAAGTATAATACCTGTTTAAAAGACATAAAAAATCAGTTAAAAGACATACAAGCAACCAACTCAAATAAGTAGATTGCAAGTGCCTTAAATATAACTTACAAACTTAACAAACTTCAGGAAATTCCACAAGCTTATAACCTAGTTGTAACCAGACTTGCAAGTACTTAGATACTTACAAATGCTCTACAGTAAGCAAAAACCGGCCCCAAATACGGAACCCCTTCTCATTGCCTTTTTTGCAAGGCTTACAGGGCCACCCTAGGGGGCGCGCCAAAAAAAAAACGCAAATGCTAGGGCTAGTGGCTTTGGCGTTTGGCTCTCGCAAAGCTTCACTTTTGGAAGCTTGGCTGCTGCATCTGGAGCTTGCTTCTTTGAAACTTCAGAAAGCAACGTTAGGCAGTACGAGCGGCAGGTCCAAGGATGCGCTTCAGGACCATGGTATTTGGCTGTGGCAAAGCATCACCTTTGGAAGCTCGGGCTGCTACATATGAAGCGAAAGGTAAATGTCCGGAGTACAGCACCACACAGTGAAATGAACCAGAGCCAATCCGACCCTCGGACCCCCGGGCGACTTTTGGGAAACTGCCGCGAATAAACGAATTACTTTCGCGAAAATCGACCAAAATCTTTCGCGAGGGTTCCCCACAACATGAATGGTCTTCGCAATTGATGCACTTTAAAAGGACCTTTAGATCGATCACCAGCTTTTGGCAGCAATCCCAACCAGGCACCAAAATGATCAAAATGACCATCTGCACCTGGTTCTCTTGGTGACCCCAGGGCTGCGAGAATAGACCCCAAGACCATGGCTGTGTCCAGGGCTGCGAGAATAGACCCCAGGACCATGGCTGTGTCCAGGGCTGGCCAAGCTGAGCGGAGTGTCCAATCTGTCCACGGAACACTTCCTGGAACCTGCCTTGGTAAGATGTCACTATATGTCACACCAGGTGGCCTTCGGTGAACCTGCAAATCACAGATTAACAATCATTGAATCATTGCCGTGTTTTTTTTTCCTGGCGTGGCGGGGATTCGGGGATCGTTTTTTTTCCAAAATAATTTTAGGACATCTCAACCAATGCATGCGGTCAAGAGAAAGTCAGTCATCACTGGCATGAGATGGAGCCTGCAGATTATTGCACCCCTTTTTTTAAGCAGGACCGAGCTGCAGGTGTTTCCATGTGGAAATCTGCATCAGGACAGTGCAATGTCGCAGACAAAACCTTGTCGGTGAAATCGGTGAAGTGGGGGACGCTGGGCCTCGAGGCCTTAAGGGCATGTACAGATGCCTCTAGACCCAGCATGGTGGCATTCTGCGAGGTGATGACGGCCTGAAGCTCTCGCACCGTTACGCAGTGAAAGTCCATGGACTTTTCGATGCCGTTGATGGACTCTTGCAATCCTGGATGAAACAATCCAAGTCCATTGAAGGCCAAAATTAAAACAAAGAAAAAGGGTGAATACCATGACAACCTGAGTGTTATATATATAATATAATAATTACATATGAATATACATACATACCATATACATATATATACATACCATTTGAATAATCTGTTATATTCTGCTATATACAGGTATTACTACACATTCTTACACCCTCTGCAGGTCAGAATCTCTCGATCATTTCCCGCAAGCGCGAAAATTGCAGCGATGCCATTCTCTCCGACTTCTCCATCGATGTCTCCGACTTCTCCATCGAGAAACTGGTGAGGTCATAGGCCGAGCCAGTCTCGATCCTGGCCATGGCTTAATCCCATCGTCTTCAAACGCCAAAAGTGGATAAAAATGGCTGATGGCCTGGAAATCCCCCATGGCCCTGCTAAAAATGCCAAACTTTGAAGCACAGCCCTTAGAAAGAAGAGTAGCCATGGCCAGCCATGGCCATGTTCCAAGATGTTCCAAGATGTTCCAAGTCTAAAGCCGCCTAAAAACCACACCCAAATGACCCAGCCATGACTCAAATCATATGTGTTTTTTCCGCTTCCAGCTGGAGCATCTCATCCATCTTCATCTCATCATATCTCATCCATTTTCATTCCCATCGCTGATAAGCAGCCAGTCCTTTCACCATCACAGTCGGTTTTTTCGCGCCCCTCCGCCATTGGAAAATCTCCAAAAAACCGACTGCTCGAGCCACGCATGTCGGGCGCCGAGCTTCAGAAAAATCTAAGGGGTCACCATATGTCATCAGTGCAGTGAGTGTTTTCCCCAGAAACTGGAAAGCAATGAAATATATAGATGAACAATGATGAACATATATATATATTATACATATACCTAATCTGATCCAATGTGTTACGGTATGAAAAAAGTATGTACCCTCTGGTAAACTAACATAGCTATTGACTATTGAAAATTGCCATTTGTAATTGAGTTTTCCCATTAAAAATGGTGATTTTCCATAGGTATTTAAACGTTTACCAGAGGGTAATCCTGGCACCCGCATCACTTAGGGCAACACCAAACGCATCACTTCAGGCAACCTCCAGAAATCACACATTCCTCACACTTTGGACGCTCACTTTGGGCAACACGGATTTCATCACTTTGGGCAACACGGCAAACATCGTTCTTATCATCATTACTTGACTCAGCCATTTAGGTTTTGGTTCGGGGGTAGGGGTCATTCTACTTACACCACTACTTGACTCAGCCATTTAGGGTTTGGTTGGGGGGGAGGGGTCATTCTACTTACATCATTACTTGACTCAGCCATTTAGGGTTTGGTTGGGAGGGAGGGGTCATTCTACTTAGATCATTACTTGACTCAGCCATTTGGGGTTTGGTTCGGGGGAGAGGGTCATTCTACTTACATCATTACTTGACTCAACAATTTAGGGTTTGGTTGGGGGGGAGGGGTCATTCTACTTACATCATTCCTTGGCTCAGCCATTTAGGGTTTGTTTGGGGGGGAGGGGCCATTCTACTTACATCATTCCTTGACTCAGCCATTTAGGGTTTGTTTTGGGGGGAGGGATCATTCTACTTACATCATTACTTGACTCAGCCATTTAGGGTTTGGTTGGGGGGGGATCATTCTACTTACATCATTACTTGGCTCAGCCATTTAGGGTTTGGTTGGGGGGAGGGGTCATTCGACTTACATCATTACTTGACTCAGCCATTTAGGGTTTGTTTGGGGGGGAGGGGTCATTCTACTTACATCATTCCTTGACTCTGGCATTTAGGGTTTGTTTGGAGGGGAGGGGTCATTCTACTTACATCATTGCTTGATTGAGCCATTTAGGGTTTGGTTGGGGGGGATCATTCTACTTACATCATTACTTGACTCAGTCATTTAGGGTTTGTTTGGGGGGGAGGGGTCATTCTACTTACATCATTACTTGACTCAGCCATTTAGGGTTTGTTTGGGGGGGAGAGGTCATTCTACTTACATCATTACTTGACTCAGCCATTTAGGGTTTGTTTGGGGGGGAGGGGTCATTCTACTTACATCATTACTTGGCTCAGCCATTACTTGACTCCATCATTACACCATGAGCCGATCTTTTCTTGCACCTGCACACCAACATGATCTCACGCTATCACATCTTCTCCTGACGCTATCATCACCATGAACATGAAGAAGATGAAGATGAATAATACTCGGAGGAAGAAAATGCTTATAACAAGGATGATCATGAAGAAGATGATGATGATGATAATGAGGATGATGATGATGATGATGATGATGATGATGATGATGATGATGATGATGCTCACTTGGTGGTCAACATAATGGTCAACCATGAGTGGGCAACATGATGATGGGGTACCCGCCCTCCGACCCCTCATGATGGGTAACATGATGATGATAATGATTGAATATGTCTATTCTGGACGACGACGGTGATGGTGATGATGGTGATGATGATGATCGTGATGATGACGATGATGATGATGAAGATGATGATGATGATGATGGTGATGATGGTGATGATGATGGTTATCATGGTGATGATGATGATGATGATGATGTTGAGGTATCCCGAAGCGATGCATGAGGCGTAGCCCGAAGCGATGCACCTGACGTATCCCGAAGCGATGCCTATGCCGGGTAATCCTGGCGGTGTCACCATTTTCATGTGGAATTTGTCACCTCCCATGCACCAGGAGGTCCTCCAAGCCCTGGTTTTGAACCTGACCAGGCGGCGCCCTGGTGCCCTATGGTGCCCTGGTAATCCATGAGCCAAACAGCACTCCCATGAGATTTAAACCTTCCCCCAGTCATCACCATTTTTATAGGTGGTTTTTGAACCATTCCCAAATGGCTGGTTTATGACATTGCTTTACCCACATTAATGCCTTTTTCAGACGAAAAAAACTAGGCAGTCACTCTGAATGGTTCTAGGTCAGGTCGGTCAACGTTTCACTTGCGCCAAACGTACGTGGGGGTTTCAGCCTCTAAAATGTTTCACTTGCTCCCGCAGAGCAACCATTGATGTACAAACGGTGTCTTTACATGATATGTTGCACATCAAGCAACCAAACTTACAACATCATGCTTCGCTTGTGCCAGCAGGCAGAATGAAAGGAGGAAGATCATATATAATTAAAGAAGTTTCTTGTGGGGGACATGCCCCTTTAGGTTGGGGAGGGACATTTATGGAATCATAGGAAGATCCTATATATAACGAAGCTACATCACTTGATGCTGTGAACATGATGTTGTGACATGGAATAAGTACGCATTACCTTCGAAACAAACCTAACATGTGGTGCGCCATTTGCTGCTGCTGCATGCTGCTACACCAGCCACCAAATACCACCAGGCCTGAATCAGAATGAAATCAGCCACTTCTCTCGTTGTTTCATATTCTTAACCTTCCCTCCATCACAAATATGCTTAAAACGCAATGGTTGAAATAAAAATGCATTAAGTGACCGCTATTTTATGTAGTAAATTTCTGCCGACCATTTTTCTGAAAGTGACCCATTCTAGTATGCTTTTCCACAAAGGGCGGGTGCTATGGCAGCTATGGCAGCATCGGCGGCACCTGCTTCATGCGCTGCTCTTGGCTGAGATGGCCTGAGATAAACCATGACCACACTCCAAGCATGGCTCGAGCATTCAAACATGTTTGATTTTAAGCCAAACACCCATCTCACATCATGTATACACTTACCCTCTCGTAATCAAACATGGTTTGCGGGAAAATCCACCATTTATAGATGAGTTTCCCATTAAAAACACATTTATCGGATTTTGAACTGTTTGGCTACCAGAAAGTACTTATGTCCTATTCGAGCCATGTGGCATGCTGTTCTACCCCCCTGACCCTGCCCTTCGGCCAACTTCGGCCACGGGGCCACGACTGACATGAGGCAAGGATCGACTCATCTGCTCGAAATTGGCCTGCAACAGGTCAAGCTACATGGGATCAATGGAATTCAATGGATATAAATGGGCCATATGCGGTATGGTCATCCCATGTCATCCCACCATCATTGATGACTTAGATTTTCCCAACCCGTTTATTTGGGTTCATAGCATTGTCACCCCTGCCCATATCTGAATATAACATAATATAACTGCATCATCCTGCATCTATCTAGTCCTATCTATACATCCACATGAATTTAATCACACATCCCGCATCCCATGTCTCCAGCCACCCATTAAAAACCCGACACCTGAAGTCGCCCCAGCTTGCTCGCCAGTTCTCTGTTTGCAGCAGAAAGATCCTCGACTTGCAACATCACTGCCTGGCTCTGCCATAAATCTGGAATCAATATCAGGCTAATATCGGTTCAACAGTTTGTAATATCCGTTCCAACAGTTTGTAATATCTGTTCCAACAGTTGGTAACATCAGTTCCAACAATGGGTAAATCGATATACCAATCAGTTTTCTACGAAAATCTCAAGCGCATCAAAATCGTCATAGAAGATTCCCTGTGCAACTTCTCTTAAACTTCGTAATAGCTGACCATATCCTTTCTCGTCCAACCGATTCAGGAGAAACATGGAGAAGCAGAGAAGCACATTTGGTCAGATGAGTGTGTACAACCAAAAAACTGAACAAAATGACATCCCCTAAGCCCTAGGTATAAGTTCTTGAAAAAAAACGTGAATACTACGGTGCATGGACAATATTCAAAGCCTGCAACACACACTATGTTGAACCCCCGCACCCCCAAATCTCAATGTTTCAGCGCGTGTGTTAAACAAAAGTGTTGAGGGTTTGATTTCTTTCCTCCATTGGGGCCTTTTGCCTCATGCCTCTCAGGCTACATTAACATCATTAACATTGAACTTTGGGATACTTTGGGGGCGAGGTAGGTCGTTCTATCCGCCGAGCCATCCACTTCTGACGCCTCTGAGGGATGAGACTTGGAGTCCGCTCTTTGCACCTGCTGGGACGTTTTCTAGCTGTTGAACATGGCCTTCAAAGTCTTCAAAGCACACAATGGGAGGAATGCCAACGAAAATCGAAAACTGCCTCCAGCTCCAGCGTGCTGTTTTCACGGCTTTGTGTCTGATCCAATTATTCAATTCCCGCCTGGAAACTGGTTGATATTATTGAAATCCAGCAGAAAACGGCCATACTCAGAAAAAATACCACTGAATACCAATGAATCCTGTTTTTCAGCTATATACTGGGGGAAACTACAGGACACAGCAACCATCACCAACCTTAATCAAGCAAGTCTTGATTGGAGTACCCATACATTCACCTTGATCTCCAGAGACGTCTTGGAAAGGTCGTTCAAATTTATCCAAATATCATTACTTCAACGATGTCAAACCTCATCTCTCTCTCTCTCTCAGGAGATCAGCAGTCAAGCTGAAGGCGAGCTCAAACTTCATAGATTTCATGATATTTTTCATGGTCAAAGTGAGTCGACTAAGTCAAACTCAATCAATGCCATCCAGGGCCATCCCAATTTTTCACTACAAAAAACCACACAATCCTCGTCCAATGGGCCCGCCTCGTCCAATGCTTGGCCCACCTCGGATTCGACCCTCTGCCGCCGGTTCTCCGCACAATGGTCCCAGCGACGTAACAAGGTCTCCATGGCCTGAAAAAACGGACACCCCAAACATCACAGAGCTATGGAACATGGACCATTTATAGACGATTTATGATGATTTCCCTCTGAAAAATCATGATTTTCTATTGATAACTATGTTATGTCTGTTATGTTTAATAACTAGAAGGTAATTTGAATTTTAGGACACTAAAATCCACTGGAATTTATAAAAGTGACCCCGGGGCTGAATCTTCGCAGACGGAACAGGGGTTTCTGATGGGAGTAGTATGGGAATGGTAATGGGAGTAGTGAGGGCTTCTAGATAGCTAAGTGGACGCTCATAACTTGACTCGGGTTGATTACGGGGATATAGAACTATAGTAGTCATCAGGGATTTAAACCAACTTCTAACTGGTGGGGCCACCTTGAATGCATATGCCCAAGAAAATGGTAGGTACCTCCATGGCTATTGAAACATTGGTCTGGAAAAATCACTTGATATGATCGTGGGATGGGAAACTTGCTCTTTAGGGTGGTGATATAATGGGAATATAATGGTGATATATCTGGGAAAACTAGCTACAATATGTCCAAAACCAGACTAGTTCGGCAATTTGGGGATTTAAATTTCCCCAATTGGGGTTCCCCAGTAGTGGCACCATGCGACTCATCTCAACAAATGGCCACCCACTGAATCACCCAAAAATCTGTGTGCTTTGCAGTCTGCTAGTGCTGACCCTGAACATGCCAAGATTCCAAAGCCTCTGTGGTGGTTTCAAGGCATTGGGGAATCTATTTGGCAGATACACCAGCCATTCTTACTGGGCACCATGCAAAATCATGCAAAATCCTTTCGTATCCACCTATACATACATACATACATTACATTACATTACATTACATTACATTACATTACATTACATTACATTACATTACATACATACATACAAACACACACATACACACATACATACATACATCCATCCATCCATCCATCCATCCATCCATGCATGCATGCATACATACATATTTACATTACATACATTACATACATTACATACATTACATACATTACATACATTACATACATTACATACATTACATACATTAATACATACATACATACATACATACATACATACATACATACATACATACATACATACATACATACATACATACATACATACATACATACATACATACATACATACATACATACATTACATACATTACATACATTACATACATTACATACCTTACATACATTACATACATTACATACATTACATACATTACATACATTACATACATTACATACATTACATACATTACATACATTACATACCTTACATGCATTACATACATTACATACATTACATACATTACATACATTACATACATTACATACATTACATACATTACATACATTACATACATTACATACATTACAGACATTACAGACATTACAGACATTACAGACATTACATACATTACATACATTACATACATTACATACATTACATACATTACATACATTACATACATTACATACATTACATACATTACATACATTACATACATTACATACATTACATACATTACAAACATTACATACATTACATACATTACAAACATTACATACATTACATACATTACATACATTACATACATTACATACATTACATACATTACATACATTACATACATTACATACATTACATACATTACATACATTACATACATTACATACATTACATACATTACATGCATTACATACATTACATACATTACATACATTACATACATTACATACAGTACATACATTACATACATTACATACATTACATACATTACATACATTACATACATAACATACATAACATACATAACATACATAACATACATAACATACATACCATACATAACATACATACCATACATACCATACATACCATACATACCATACATACCATACATACCATACATACCATACATACCATACATACCATACATACCATACATACCATACATACCATACATTACATACATTACATACATTACATACATTACATACATTACATACATTACATACATTCCATACATTCCATACATTCCATACATTCCATACATTACATACATTACATACATTACATACATTACATACATTACATACATTACATACATTACATACATTACATACATTACATACATTACATACATTACATACATTACTTACATTACATACATTACATACACTACATACATTACATACATTACATACATTACATACACTACATGCATCACACCCATTACATACATTACATACATTACATACATTACATACATTACATACATTACATACATTACATACATTACATACATTACATACATTACATACATTACATACATTACATACATTACATACATTACATACATTACATACATTACATACATTACTACATTACATACATTACATACATTACATACATTACATACATTACATACATTACATACATTACATACATTACATACATTACATACATTACATACATTACATACATTACATACATTACATACATTACATACATTACATACTTACATACATACATTACATACATTACATACATTACATACATTACATACATTACATACATTACATACATTACATACATTACATACATTACATACATACATACATACATACATACATACATACATACATTACATACATACATACATACATACCATACCATACATACATACATACATACATTACATACATACATACATACATTACATACATACATACATACATTACATTACATTACATACATACATACATACACACATACATACATCCATCCATCCATCCATCCATCCATGCATACATGCATGCATACATACATACATACATACATTACATACACACACACATATATATAGATAGATAGATAGATATAGATATAAAAATACATATTATATATACATAGTTACATACAAACTTGTATATGTATGTGACTGCATGTGTGTATACGTACTAGTCTTCATTTACCTTAAATATATACATAGTATATATATATATATATATCATTATACCCACATCATTATACATACTGTAAATCCCCTGCTTTTTGTTGGAGAACTCATCCTTTTGACTTGCGAGTTTTTGCGCCTTGCATTGCTGATGCTCCAAATCCTCCAGTTGTTCATGTGATGCCTTTCGTTTCATCTCCAGCTGTAGATTGGCGACCATATCTTTGATGGCCTCTGGACCATAGGGGACCCCATGGGGACCCCATGGGGACCCTATGCATGGAAGAGTTCTAAAAAATGGTGATGAGAACAACCATGGATCTTTCAAGAATTTGCGGTTAAAAACCAAGTGTTTTTCTGAAACAAAACTTTGTCCTTTCATCCAAGTCTGAAGATTGTTTTGAATCAAATCCTCCAGACACCAACTGATCGCCTACAGCACGCCAATGATCAAATGCATCAAGGGTCAAACCATGTCAACCCATGCAAAACCTCAATTAGAATGGATTGATTCAGTTCGGATCCGTTTTCGTCACCCCCCACCTTGAGACCCCTGAGACTGGACGCGCCTCGCATTGCTCATAGAGGCTTTGCACCTGCATGTTGACGGAAGACAGCTCCTCGCCAGGTGATTCGAGAGCTGCCCAGCTGCTGGCACAGTCAGCAGCTACGTGGAGTGACATGATGTGAAATGATGGTTGTGTAGTCAATGCTGGGAAAACAAAACGTTCCTCAGGCCTTGCAACGCTTGTTGTTTGAGACCTGTTGGACCTCTTGGGCCTCCTGGAAACTCACAAATCGATGGTGCTAGAGGAGCCCTGGCGAAGTCTGCCCAAGCTCCGATCGCAGCTCCAAGCTCCTTGTGCAAGCTCCCCTTGAACTCCGCATTGACTTCTTTTTGGCTCACAGCCAGGCTATTTACCTTCTCCTGGCACCCAAAAACAGCAAACGACACCAGAAACTGACAGCCTACGAAAGGCAACAGCAGCAACAGCAACACTAACAAATATACCCCAAGCCGATGGTTTTACGTATGAGAGATGGTGCACTACTAAATTACCTGACTTTAAGAACGCGCATTCAAGAAGAAAACAAATGGAGATGGTTCAGCTACAACTCCAACCACCAGCAGCAGCAGTCAGCAATCAACTTATAGCAACCCTGAAGAAGAATCGAACAGTTAATTTGCCACAATGTTCGCAGGATCTATAATTATAGGTATAAACTGGGGTTGCTATACTTATAGGTATAAACTGGCCTGCAAGCAATCCATTCCCAGCCAATGTTCTCGGCTGTGCTTCGACATCTTCTCTTCCAGCTCCCGGATGCGCGAACCTGGGTCCGGAGCGCTAATGACCCACGAACTGGAAACCACGGCCCGCTGTTCAACTGGTGATTTTCCACTTCGCAAACGGTTAAATTACCCTCTGGTAAACTAACATAGCTATTAAAATGATCCTTTATAGTGGATTTTCAAATTAAAATGGTGATTTTCCATAGCTATGTTAGTTTATCAGAGGGTATACCAAAACGTTTTATGATAAGTTTCTGCCATGAGACGGTACACTGTAACCTGTCCGAGTAACCTGTCCGAACATGTCATGATGATTCCATGTTTGTAACTTATAACTACATGTTCATTGTTGGTTTAATATTTCTGAAATTATATTGTCTCCAGCTCCCCAAAATCCTTTTCCTGCATCATCCCAATCCCATCCATCCCATCCATCCCATCCATCCCATCCATCCCATCCATCCCATCCATCCCATCCATCCCATCCATCCCATCCATCCCATCCATCTCATCCATCCCATCCATCCCATCCATCCCATCCATCCCATCCACCCCATCCATCCCATCCATCCCATCCATCCCATCCATCCCATCCATCCCATCCATCCCATCCATCCCATCCATCCCATCCATCCCATCCATCCCATCCCCATCCATCCCATCCATCCCATCCCCTTCATCCCATTTACATCCTCATTATATTACCAGCTGATCTCATTATTTCCCACTAGACTGCCATTTCGTTGGTGAAACCCCTCTTTTGTTGCCGATTCAATCGCATCTTTTGCTCGTTTAAATCACTTCAGAAACACAGTGGTATAGTTGAAACGGTGGTGTAATCATTGCAATCCTATTGTACCATATTACACCATCAAAAACCGCCAATTTTTGTTGCTGAAATCACAATCTTTGGTGATGAAATCACCATTTTGACTGATGAAATCACCATTTTTCTTGGTGAAACCAAGAACTCTTCCCAGCCTCCCCACAGCTTCCCAGGGTTCCCTCACTGGCTCCTTTGGCCTCTCGCAGGGCCAGCAAAGAGCTGGAGGCCGTTGCTTTGGCACAGCCCTCCACGGCAAGGGCCAGGTCATCCTGACCTGGAATCCGAACCTGTTGAAAACTTGGTTTAAAACAGGGGAAACATCATGGAACTAACATTTTGGGCAAGTTTTCTATCGCTTTGGCGGTGTTATATGTACATATATATATATATGTATGTATGTACATATATATGTATGTATGTATGTATGTATGTATGTATGTATGTATGTATGTATGTATGTATGTATGTATGTATGTATGTATGTATGTATGTATGTATGTGTTTATGTGTTTATGTATGTATGGTGTATGTATGTATGTATGTATGTATGGTGTATGTATATATATATATATATTAATTTTGTAGGATATTGTGTTATATATTGGGTTGGGAGATGGCTTAGGGCTTAGGCTATGTGTTAAGCTGTTTTAGACCACATCAATATATTGAAACCCAAACGAAACTCTGGTTTGTTGGCATTTTGTTATGATCTATTGCATTTTCGGGTCCTCAATCAATTGGTCATGTTCTTTTTCGGGGAGATGGAACTAAGCTAGGAGGTTCCCAAATTGAAGGTTGCAGGGGATGCTTGGGAACCCCAGAAATATCAATGTTTTTTTTGTGCCGTCCAACGATCCAATCAAAATAGGAAGCTGGCAGAGGAAAGGACAAAATCAGAGCAATGGTCAAACCATGGGACCAATGGCTCATGGACATCCCTCCTATTTTATGGGAATCTTAGCGGAAAGTCATGGGTAATTATATCATTTCCTATTTTAATGGTGGTTTGACCATCCAAAAAAACATATGTGTTAATCATTAATCGAATCCAACGTTTGAAAATGGCATACACCGCAAAAAAATGTTGTGGACATTGATCGACCATGGTTAACATGGAAGATCCAACTTCAAAAATAGCCGCAAAAATCACTAATTATTGGGTATGAGGCCGCTGGTGCTGACGTGAGGCCTCTGGTCTCGATCTGAAAATCATCTGCCGTCTGCAAGCTCCAATGGTTGCCTCGTGAAAAATCCACGGGGTGCAGTTGTTGTGGGACATCTGGGCCGTCCATTGCGGCAATGTACTGCAACCAAGTTCGTTGAAGATGTGTCTCATTTGGGATCATTTGGGTCATGGGTCATGCGTCACTTTGAAACTATTGGCTGCAAGATCTTTATAAGTTTCCGCCGCCCAAAACAAGTCAACAACAAAGGGGGAGAGAGAGAGGAGAGAGAGTCAGAGTCGGAAAACATATCGTTGACAGGTTTCACCATGCTTTAATAAGTCTGAACTACAGTAACCCACAAAAGATAAAGAAAAAATATGAAAAAGTGACCTACAGTGGATGGTTGCGAAATCGCACAGGTGGCTGAGTTGATCTCACTTGATCTCCACTCATCTCATTTTACAGTCCCAGTGTTTCACCGGCACCCACCTGCATGATCTGCATCCAGGTTGGCCAGCTTCGACTGTCAGAGTTGGACTCTGGAAAAACCATGGAGAAGTGCCATGGAAATGCACTGGAAAACACGGAGAAATACCATGGAAAAAAGTGTTTTGGGTCTGTTTAATAACGGGCTACACACTTCGACATTTTTTGAAGAATATATAATACATGATCAGTATACTGTTGTAGCCGTTCTGCAAACGAACCCTTTTATCATTGGAAACATGGAAGAGAGGTGACCTAGATGAATGGGTCGAGAATGGGTCAAGAAGCTGCATCAGCAGCAAAGCATGGCGTCACATGGCCAGCAAGGGGTATGTCATGGTATGTCTACTACAATGGCACCACAAAAATGCGCCAACAACGGATGAAACTTGAGGCCAGGGTGGAAGTACGAAAGGTAGCAGCGCTGGGGTAGGGAGGTAATCGTGAAGGGTGAACAGCAAGGTGACGTCGGAATGCAGCAACGGTCTCACGCGGTTTTTTGGAGTTGCTGTCATGCAAGTCACCATTGGCTGCAAGTCACAAACAGTGCCAATCGTTTGATGTTGATGAGGTTGATGAAGATGATGAGGATGATGAAGGTGGTGGGGATGATGAGGATGATGAGGATGCTGAGGATGAAAACGAGGATGATCATTATGACGAGCGGGGCTGCTGTAGGGTTGCAATATCTATTGGGTCCAGCAAGCGAAAACCCCCAATGCAGTAATCGTCTCTCGCCAGGTTTTGCAAGAAACGCAAGATCAAAAAAACACGCCCCGAATGGAAGCCCGAATCTGCAATATGCATACGAAAGATGTTCAAGACAATGCAACATATGTATGTTGATGGTGATGGTGATGGTGCTGGTGATGATGATGATGGTGATGGTGATGATGGTGGTGGTGATGATGAAGATGGTGATGATGATGGTGATGATGGTGATGATGATGATGATGATGATGATGATGGTAATGCTGCTGATGATGATGATGATGATGGTAATGCTAATGATGATGATGATGATGATGATGATGATGATGATGATGGTGATGATGATGATGATGACGAGGAGGAGGAGGAGGAGGAGGAGGAGGAGGAAGAGGAAGATAATCATGTTCATTCGGAAGCTGGCAAGTTTCCGATGATGATTTTCTAGCCGATGGTTGATTCACTGAACATGACGTCCTGAAGATAAACTACTGAAGAGTACGACCCTATACCTGCAGGAAACCAATGGCCCAGCGGGACCAGGGGATGAGGATGCTGATCAACGATCATGATGACGAAGAGGATGATGAGGATGATGTGGATGCTGCGGATGATGGGGATGAGGGTGAGGATGAGGATGAACATGAGGATGATGACCCTCTACTCTACCAGCCGGAATCTCCTCTCGGGGTGGACCCGGGGAGGATCGAACCTGGGCCTGCCAGGCAGGGGGGGGTCTAATTTGAAAGTTTCAGGGTTTCCAACGGTCCTGGTGCCTGCCTATTCCTTGCTAAAGTAAGAGCAACTTCAGCTAGCACAGGCTAGCCTTCGTGAAAAATATGAACCTCTTCCCACCAATATCTGAAATAGCACCCAAATCGATTCGCAAATGAAGAGATCCTATAATAAAAACGTTTCAAAGGGGGTAATTATTCAATTAGAAAGGGATTAGCAATCAGTATGCTGTGATGGTCGATGTCTTGGAGCTCCCAAAATGTGCACACCGGCGGTCTCCGACCAAGGTTTTCGTGCTTGGAGTAGTGACCATCAGGCAGACCCTTCGATAGATTCTGCAGCTGTAAATCTAAAATATCTTCGTTTTTCATTCTGCATACAGCGCGAAGAGAAAAAAGTGGAGATAGGAAGAAGCACCCAGCTCAGCATATCACCGAGCCCACTTCATATTTTCGCAATTGATGTTTTATTCTATATGATGGTTTCCACATGTCAATCAAAACTTCCGTCCATTGTTCCATCTAGTGTCTGTCCAATTTTCCAGCCAATTTGCCATCCAAAATCTCCAGGTCGCGCCTCCCAAAAGTAGGCACTCGAAGCAGTTCCCAGTGCGTCTCCCATATCCGCCACTGCCATTGGCAAGACCTCACCAGCCCGGACCGGGAAACTCTGGATGAGTGGAGGATCTAAACAGCGGGCTTGTAAATATAACTTGATAAACCTGATGCAACTTTATATTTATAGATATATTTATATTTACATAGCCCGATACAACTGTAATTTATTGATAACTGTAACCTGTAACAAACGAAAATTAGAGACGATTTAACTTTTAACTGGTGTTTTCTAGACTGAAAGCCACCAAAACAGAAATTGAAAACGGCAAGGGCGATGTAGATTGGACCGACTGCCAACCTGACAATTTCGATCTGGCAGGGCATGGTGTTCTGTAAGCTTGGTTCCCAATCATGGCACCAATAAACTGAGCTAGTCGAATCACTCAACATTTGGAGTGAAAATGCAAAGACTGGCTCAAACTCGGCGATGCCCAAAAATAGATGGCAGTATAAGCGAGTACAAGACCAAGGTTTCTGAAAACAAATTATGATCTGATTAACTGATTAGCCATGAAATTGCGGGGTGTCCTATTTTAAGCAAATCCCATCTGAATGGAATCTTCCCAGCTGCCAAGTACACAAAGTCAGGAACTACACTAGAACTCGCTGATATGTGAAGTCACACGCTTGAACAAGAGAATTTTGGCAAAACAACGCAACATGGCAGTGTCCTTAAATGGGGGCCATCCAAATGATCATAACAACTGGTCAGCTTGGATGGGGAAGGCACTGGCTTAGGGCCTGAGGGTCCCAGATTATATATTTCAGGAAACCAGCCCCAAAATGGCCAAAAATTTACTGCTACTCGACTCCCAGGCTTTTCCCCCAGCTTTGACTTTCCAGCTCCCAGTTCGGTTCATCCAAGGCCATACGAGTACTATGCATTAAGTTTGAGCAAGTTGCTGCAGCAGGTTCCACTTTTACGTCGTCCTCCAGGTGTTTCGACCGACTTTTGAATGAAATTTGGATGAATCTGGAAAGGGGAACAGGGAGAACCTGGAGAAGTACCCTTGGTTAACAAAGGTAGTTGTTATGTAACCCCCCTATCCCTGGTTTGAAAACCGTCTGCAAATGGATACAAGGTCGGGGCATTTCCTTTTCCCATGTTTGTTGTTAAAAGGTATAGTTTTTCCAAATTTCCAAGGATATAAACAGGAAACCTTGGGCGATATGCGGCTATTACATGCTTCCTCGCGGGGGCCCAATGTTTCAATGTGTTGCAGTGATGTACCGCATCCCACATCATGGGAAGAACATGTCATTTATCACCAAGACTGCTACTTTTGCACGTAAAAGAAGGAAGATCCACAATGGGTACTAAGTAGGTACTACCGGCAAATCGTGAAATAACATGCAACGGCAATGCGCATGGACGGACCGCTGCAAATTCTGGTGTGCACCAAAACAACTGGATATGTGACAAACCAAAGCCAAAAAGCTGGAATTTACCAACAAATATATGGAATCATTGGCAACACCGGTAACATCAGTAATTGGAATGGTCGAAACAAAGGTGATGGCCTGGCGTCCGGCTGATTTCCCAAGACAAAATTCTGCGCAAAAATCATAGTCCACTAGGATTATCATTCCAAGCAAGATGGAAAATGAAAAAATCTTGGGACCATTAGCCACATTGGGGCACATTCTAATATCCTGTTTTACCTTACTTTTTGGTTGGCAAAATCAAAAATGCACCAATTAACTTGTGTTCCAAAAACTTTGTCAATACGCCCCAAGACTTCATGCTGTGGATTTTTGGGCGCCTCTGCAGGCCAGCCCGGCCGATGTCCGGCATCGACAACTTGAGCCACACCTGGGGTGTAGTTTGTTTTGCCCTGGAATTCAGCATGCCTAGGGAACATGACATAGACAATTTACCCAGGTTAGCTTTGAAAAATGCTGGTTGTCCATAGCTACCTGGTAACCCTCCAGATTGCTTTTTTCTGCTCTGTTTTAAGAAAACGTGGTTTTTTTGCCATTTTGAACGCAAAAAGTGCTCTGGAACGGTTTTTTCCAATCCGAACGCTTTTTTACGCTCTAGAGGTGTTTTCCTTGCAAAATGACTAAATCATAACATTTGGCATGATATCTTACGATGGCCTCCGAACTCAAGCTGACGGGCTGTTGTTTGTAGAAAACACCAATATAAAGCTGATGTGTATATATATAATTATATATATGTATAGTCTTATAGAGGGAAACAACTGCAGGCTATCAGCTTCGCCAAGCCAGCATGATCTGGGTAAGGTACCGGTTGAAGGTACGCAATGCCATCAAACGAGGTGATACATGTCTGGTTATGTAGGCAGCATGCCCAATAAAGTCTTCATCCAGACTGCAACTCTCTACCATTGGATTCAAAACACATTGACTGAACTTGGCTTGGTGTTCCATGAGGAAAAGAATCTCTTCCAGTGGGTGAATCTTTGGAATCAGGGGAAATTTCATCTGACCTTTCTCACGCGATCTAGCAGGATTTGGGATTGTGAGGCTTATACTGCTGAAACAAAAAACCAACCACAGGACTGAGACGTTTGCTTTGCCAACTGACAAATTATATAATTGCCAATCAAAAGCTATAAATGCATGCAAATCCCAGTCAGTAAAACTGATGTAAATTGAAAAGGGGTATATGAGTCTCAAAATACCTTCAAAATTATGGTGTAACCTCTAGTACACTGCGGTAAAATCTTTTCCAGCACGTCAACTGCGGATAGTAAATCTGAAAAGGGTCAATGTTTTGAATCAAGTTTTCCGAGAGTGGTCCAGGTGACTTTGGGGACGGCATGGTTTGGATCTTGAAAAGTCTTTCATTTTACGTAAAATTGTGCGTAATGTCGAACGGTTTCGAACGGGTTTCGAACGGTTTTCGAACGCTTTTTGAACGCTTTCGAACGGGTACGCTTTTTTTACGCAATTGGATTTGAACGGTAATTTCCAATCTGAACGCTTTTTTTACGTAATTTTACGCTTTTTTTTCAATCCGTTTTTTCCATTTTTTTATATTTTTTTAGTTTTTCTTAATTTTCTCTTTTTTTTTTGAAAACGCTTAAAAACCTGAAGGTTCCTGTTTATTTTCCATTGTGGGTCAAAAAATCCCAGATAGCCACCATTCAAACCATGACAAAAGTGACAAAGCCAATATTTGGCAATCCATGGGTGCTCCCGGGTCAACATGCCCCCCTGACCATTCAGAAAAATGAAGTTTACAATTTCAGGGTTCCCTGCAGCTGCCTACCTGTCCCTCAAAACCATTTGATCGAATATATGTAGGCAGTGAAATTGTTTCAAAGCATTTTGTTGGTATTTAGGGTATACCTTTCCCATAACCACTCTGATCAAACTTGATCACAGTCTTGTTGGAAAGCATTGCTTCCATTCCTCCGGGAGCCGGAGGTTGACATTCCCACGAAGGTATTTAATTACCTCTATGAGTTTGGCCTCAGACCAATCAGACCATTCATAATATATATAAATTGAATTTGGGAACAGGACATGTGATTTTGTGCCTTGGTGCGCTATATTATTGTTTCTCAATCCCACATGTTGATGATTACAAATATATATATATAGTGTATATGCATGTGTTTGTATGCATGTGCAATTTTCAGGAAACCTCTATGTATTTTTAATATCATATATATATACATATATATATATGTATGTAAATATATACAAACATCTCCCTCTATACAGTTATGTTCACTTGAGATTGGACATGATATACCCTAAAGACCCAAGAATAGCCTCGAACGGTAAAAAGTGCTCTAGAGCACTTTTTTCTACACTGTTTGCAAAAAACCAGGTTTTCTGGAAACAGAGTTGTTTTTTCCAATCTAAGGGTTTAGCAGGTATCTTAAATTGACAAAGGGCCAGAGGGTAACATTTATCTTAATGATATATCATGATATATCTATAAGAGTGTTAAGTATAAGCACGGCCAGTTCTGACTTCCCACTTCGATATCATTTGCGAATCACCTGAACAATAAACACATATGGCTGATGGTCTGAACCATCTATGCTTCATTTTCCATCAGAAGAAAATTGGCAAGGAAACCATGTCCCAGGTAATGACGAGGGGTCCGTCATGGTTTATTTTTTCCTCTTTGTGGAGAAGGGATTGCCACCCAGTCGTTGGATTCCATTGGAAGGCTTCTTTGATTTTCTCTGAGCATGGGGACCATCCAGTAAGTTATGAACATTGAAAAATGCGAAACAAACCAGGTCTGAAACAAAACAATCGCTTGATGACTGGACATTCGCACATGTTTCCGGCCAAGGAATGCCAAGGCCCGGGCACTTGTTCAAGTGGCGCCATGCCACGTTGAAGCTCTCACCGGGCCGATGTTTGAAGTGCACCTCAAGCTATACCAATCTGAACGAACCATCACTTCTTATATTAATATTGAACACCCCGCAGACACCGGTGTAATACTGAATCATATTGGATTATTGAAATGTATCTTCAATTAAATGAATAAAATAAAACATAGCAAATAAAAAATATAATGTATGTATGTATGTATACCTATAGTTGGGGGGAAGAGACCATGAAACCAGTACCCAGGCCCTAGCCGATCTCATCAGGACCCCAACTCCACGGCTGCACCTGACAAGTCTGGGACTCCGCATCTGCACGGATCACGATGCCGGAATCGCCTGCAGCAAAGTCTTGGAAATGTCGGCCTTCCAACACCACCACCTGGCTGTGGGGCTTGATGTTGCTCTGTGGCAAATGTATGCAAATGTTGTAATCGTGTAACTGCCCCTTGAACTGGAAATACACCACTTTATGTTGGGGTGATTCCGACAACCCCCAACTCATCCCATCTTCCAGAATTGTTTTTTACCCCGGGTCCTTGGCTTTTGAACCAAAATCCACCGTCTTCCGTGGTCATCACATGTCATGATGCCCTCAACCAACTTACCTGGATGGCGCCTTGTCCCCACTTAGGAAAGGAGATGAAACCAGGTCCATTGGCAGTTCCGTTCCGGAGCGCGAAGTCACCCAGTTTCTGGGAATCCATTTGGTTGGAACACTCTGTCGCACCATTTCTGCATCGGAAAAAACCCTACATATTCATATTCGATTTTGAAAGCTACGATGGATTTTCTCTGCTGGAGGCCAGGAAAACGCGCAGCTAGCCCGAGGCATGGTGGATAAGTACATGATGCGTATCCTATCTGCAGCCATTGAACCTCTGAAAAACAACAACAGCAGCAGCAACAACAACAAAAACAACAACCAACAACCAACAGCCAACAGCCAACAGCCAACAGCCAACAGCCAAAAGCCAAAAGCCAACAACCAACAACCAACAACCAACAACCAACAACCAACAACCAACAACCAACAACCAACAACAACAACAACAACAAAAAACAACAAAAAACAACAAAAAACAACAAAAAACAACAAAAAACAACAAAAAACAACAAAAAACAACAAAAAACAACAACAACAACCAACAAACAACAAACAACCAACAACCAACAACCAACAACCAACAACAACAACAACATTAAGTTTGACAGTGGCCTCTGCCAGAAAAAATGGACATCCTGAAATCTGAAGATATCTGTTTGCAATTCTTGTCGTAGCTGGCTTATCAAACGCAGTTCACCTCTAATCTACTCACTGCATTTGGATGGCTCCCCAAGCGCAACACGTTTTCCTGTCAAGAGCGCCGCGCTGCAGTCGCACCGTTTTTTACCAGCCCTTTTCACATGATGAATGGTGAAGGGGCCTGAGGTTGGCCACTCAACAGGAGTGACCACACCCAATAGCCTTGGTCTGCATCCCACTGCTGGTTCTCCCATGACAACTTAAACCACGCATGAACCACACAACCGTCACACACCCTTTTGATATGTGACCTCAGCGCAACTGTAATATCTGTAATCCAACAAAATGCTGGCCAACTATACCTATATATATATATATATCTATCTATTTATTTATTTATTTATAGCTAAAGTACATTTGTAGATATATATATATATATACATAATATATATCTATATATATATACAATATATATAGCTTATTCAATCTTATTCACAAACATGTGAAATTAAGGATCTATGTTCCTATAATGTGTATCCCTGTAAGTACATGCGCCCTTGGTGGCTCAAAGGGCCTCACCTTGCAGTCGTGACCCACAGTGTCTGCCACCATGGGGCCTTACCGGCCTGGCGCACGCATGTTCAAGGGTAGACCGTGGTTGGCTGCCTACTGGACATTTTCGTTTTGGGGTGAAAAGAAGAGCTCAAAAATCAATCAATGTCCGGAACTATCTAAGCGAAATGCTGCCGCGCAAGAAACTGTTGTGACGTGACAAATAAATGCAAGAACATTGGTTCGGTGATGTTGTCTTTTAAAAAATGAAGGCATCACATCACAGTGCCATGGGCAACCTGGGCCAAACGCGTGTAAATTCAAAAACGTGGTAGTAATGAAAATGAAAGCCATTCTCCATTGAACCACGCCCGGCACGCTTGGCCGGGCCCCCTTTTCCTGCGAATCATCTCCACATCATTATCACCATTGGAATGTGGGCAGCGGTCATCCACAATAGCCACCACGCTGCGTGTCTGAACAAACCCAAAGCTGAGAAAACCGCCCAGCTCAAGCACATAGATCAATGCAGTAAGCAGAAGCAACCACCGGCCATGCATGCCACTGGACCAAGCAAACCAGTTCTGAAAGCATACTAAGACGCACAAGCTGCCGTGCAAATACCTTCGGGACATCCCGGTCGCAGCCCTATCAAGACGATCCACACCAAAGTGTCCGTGCCCCACTTTGCACATCAACATGTTGGTTCCCGTTGCCAAAAGCACTGCAGGTAGCAGAACAGGCACCAAGGCACCCCAAAGCAAAGCTACTTCAGCCCACGTCACGAGCAAACTTGCCTGCTGCCCATGCTCTAAGGATGCGCTGGTACACATCCAACCGCCGCTACCCAAGATGTAGAGCTTTCCTCGATCAAGATACGAGAGCTGCCACCTGGCCAGGGGGACGCTGGCAACCCACAAGCAATAAGATGGCCAAACCAGGACAAAAGGAGTCAGATTATCTGTCAGATTCCAGAAAATCATTATGCAAGATCGCTTTAGCATGGCTCCACCATGCAATACCTATCTTTATTACAAATCCCGCTTGAGCAAGGTGATGATGGGCTGCAGGAAGGAGCGGGTAATCATCTTTGACACCAACAAAGGTGCCATGGTGTTGACCACCGCTCGTGGACACGCACTGTCACTCCACCAAGATTCCTTGGCTGAGCAAAGGTCCGCTTTGGGCTCAAGAATCGGGTTGCCACCCAGACTGATGTTGAAGAGTTTGTAGTCTTCAGTGTTTTCATCGCAAACCTCGGTGGGAAAACGGAAAACTACAATTAGTATAAGCCCGCATTGTACGACTGTGGAACAATCTTGTCAACCATTTTTGGTTCCCGTTTGCCAAAGTTTCGCCAACAGTATGGGACACCGAAATACGGGAGCAAAAACACAGATTTGGTCATTCCCAACAATTTGGCATTACAACGCGAACTGCCGAACTGATTGTCACCCAGAAACGTTCCACAACTGGGTCCAGCCGTTCATGCAATGCGTGGTCAGATAGACCGTGCTCAGCACTGCCGCCAACCACATCGTAAACAAGCGTGCTGCCATGGATAACATGGATCTTCGCATGCCAGTGGCATCTGAAAACATGGCCACTGCTAGGGGGGTGATGAACATGTCCACCAGGACAATGACCAAAGCAGCTTGGTAGTGGAAAAACTTCACCCACCAAGCCTGGGAGATCGCTACTTTTCCGACATATTCCCAACCGATGGCACTTTTCGGGTGGGTTCACTTGGCATAGAAAAATAATTTACCAAATCAGCGATTCAGAAAAGCCAGGAGGCAGAAAACTGCAGGGTATTGTTGGAAGGGATGGCAGCCACAAGTGCAAAGGCCACAGAAGGTAAAGATAGGACAGCCACAATGCAGCACCAACAGCAACCTGGTGCTTGGGCCACACACCCATCAAAGGTAGGAAAAAGTCGTGTATAATATGTACATATATACATACATATATATATATATAGAAATATACGTATATCTATTTATTTATTTGATTTTCTTTGTTTGTTTATTTGTTTGTGTATTTATTCAGCTTTGAATAGATTGTATACATATATAATATACACATATTTATTTATGAACTTTATTTCCTCTCTATTGATTTACAACCCCGCAGGTAGTTGGAGAAGTCGTGGTCAACCCCGAAGTAGCCCACACAAGGAAAACAATGTTGCTTTTTTAGGTGAATATACTTGAGCCAAAATTGACATTTGTTTTACCTTATTTAACCAACCACCAAGACATGACCACTGTCCACCCAGACCTGCCAAACACTAGTCAATCATATATATTCATATTTATTTTTCTCTATGTATTTCATGTAGGCGTTATATAGAAGACTAAAAGAAAATTATTGGTTGCCATTGGCAAGTTGCCATCATCTTAAATCTGATTGAGCTTGTGTTTACAACAACTTGAAACCAGCGACCAGGAACTGTAGACGAACGTCAGAAACCAATCCCACCATGTCGTTGTCTCCTCTCTCTCGGCTACTGTTGGGGTGGGAGCGCAGCGCAGAAAAAATGCGCCAAACGCAATCCAAATAGCCCACAGGAGTGAAACAGGCCACTCCACCAACGCTCGGCTGTTGTAGGGGTCGGAAAAATTGCTCAGAGTAGTGGATGCAAAAATGCTACCACACATGTAATAACTTGCGCCAGCATAGTAGGCGGATAACAGAAATCCGGCTGCAACTGACAAAACGACACCCATCTGAAGAAGAAACATGTGGGCTTCACATGTCAAGTCCGTGCCGGCTTTTGCGACAAGAATTTGCCGATATGCGTCCTTTTCGGCCAGGACGAGCAGCAAACCACACAATGCACACATCGACGCCAGCAGCACCATCCGTCTGAATATCTGATTTGCCGTGTTGCCTGATACATACAAGAAGGGCTGATGTTCATCACTGTGGATCCACTGTGGCAATTCACGGGTTCCATTTCCCAACATGTTTCCAACCAGGGAGATTGAACGCATGTCTTGTGGCCAGTTCGTCACTTCTTCCGGTAAGCTGCATGAAAGCCGGTTGTCGTGCAGCAGCAGGACAGGACCCCGTGCACTGGCAGTACCGCAAATTTTGCATGTTTTGGGACAATGTAAAGCAACCTCTGAATCCCGGCAAGGCGTGTGCGAGAGCGTACTCTCAACTAAAGGAAACGTACTGCAAGTCAACCCGGCCCTAACGAAAGACTCATCGTCGACGCAATCTTTATGGAGATTTAAAGATGGAATTGGACCTGCCAAGCGGTTCGAGTGAGCAGAGAAAAAAAACAACCCAGGCGCAGTCGCCAACTCTGGAGGAAGAGTCCCGTGCAATCTGTTCCCATGGAGGGTGAGAACATTCAATTTCGGAAGCTCAAAAAGTCTTCCAGGCACTTCTCCTGTTAAGGCATTGCGGTGCAGGGTCAAAACCTCCAAAGACTTGAGCTGACTCAAGCACGGTGGTATGACTCTCAGGGCGTTGCTGTGCAAGTAAAGTGTTTTCAAATCAACAATTCCAATACGACAAATCTCCGTAGAGTCATGGATTCGATTGGAATGAAGCAGCACAACGTTCAAGGCTTTCAAGCCACCACTGCTCTGGGAAAGCGTTTCCAAACGGTTGTCATGCACGGAAAGCACACGTAATTTTGTCTTGCCACGCAAATCGGGCAAATTTCTCAGCCTGTTCTTGGCGACCCTCAGTACTAGCAAGTGGGGAGAGCTGAGATGAGGTATGGATGTCAAACGATTCGCATCTAAACTCAAGGAAAGCAAGCCCAGGCTTCCCACAGACTCGGGCAATGAGCTCAAGCGGTTGGAGTCCAAAGTCAAAAAACGCAAGTTGCTCAAATTGCCGACTGAATCTGGAAGCGATGCAAGCTGGTTGTTCCGCACATTCAGGTCCACCAAGCTCCGCAACTTTGAAATCGATTCAGGCAAAAAGGTCAGCTTGTTCAACGCCAACCTCAGGGTGCGGAGGTGCTCCAAGTCTCCGAGTGACTCCGGCAATGAAGTGAGCTGGTTCTTGTCTAGGTCGAAGTGCTCCAGCCAGTGCATCCCACCCAGCGATTCAGGCAGCTGTGTCAAGAGATTGGATTCAAGGTGCGAAGCTGACAGCTGCCTCAGCTGCCCCAAGCATTCCGGCAAAGCAGTCAAATGATTTGACTGCACGTAAAGGGCATGCAGCTGCACTAACTGCCCAAGTGAATCAGGAAGTCTCGTGAGTTTGTTGTCAGTCAAGTCCAGCGATGATAAAGATCGCAAACTCCCAATGGTCTCGGGCAAAGACACCAACTGGTTGAATCTTATATTGAGGAACCTGAGTGATTGCAAGTGGATCACGGAGGCAGGAAGCGAAGTGAGCTGATTGGCATCCAAATCTAGCGTGACTAAGTTTGACAATTCCAGAGTAGAACCTGGCAGCTCAGCCAACTGGTTGTTGTTCAAAAACAGCGCCTGGAGGGATTGCAACTGCCCAACTGATTGTGGCAGTGCACTCAACTTATTGCCCGATAGCCGCAAAGTTTTCAAAAACTGCAGCTGTCCAATGGACTCTGGGAGCGAAGTGATGTTGCGCGAAATGAGACATAACCTGAGTGTGCGGCCATCACGGCACTTTACTTGAGGAAGTGTACATGGATCCCTTCCCTGTTCCCATTGGAGGTTGGCCACATCGAATATTTCGCGCAACGCATCCACCTCCTCCTCTGGCAAGCTCGCGGACAGGAAAGGCAGCACAAACAAGCTGCACAGAAGAAGGCAAATGCGACAGGCTGACATAGCTCAGGCACCCCTGGCTGGATATGTTCACAGCTTGGTCTCGGTATGGTTCATACTGGTTGAAACGGAGACGGTTCCTGCATACACCTAGCTCATTTGATGATGTCATGCTGTCTGACCCGTGGCTGTCTACTGAATGCACCCACTAAAACGTGAAACAGCTGCAGAAACCTTCCATGGGCGCATGGCATGCCATCGTTGCAGACCATTCTTCCCAGGCCGGAAATGATTTTAAAAAATGAACTGGGCAATGCCAAGCTTTTCGGTACATTGATTATATAACTTCAAGAACGCAAAACATCTCAAAGCAAACTGCTGTAGCCACATGCTGACTTTGAATTCGGGCTCGCGAATAGCCCAGTGTGAAAACAATTGAAAACATCAAAACGGCGTGTTGCGAACATCCTGCAAGGCAACTATAACCAGCGCATCGATCCCCACTGCTCCAGCAACAAGACGAAGGGACCTATCTTTATGAAATCTTTGCAAGAAAGAACATGTTAGATCAACGCTTTCCTATAGAAATACACCAGAATACTGGTTGGGTGCAAAGCAGGTGTTTGCTTGGCAACCACAAAAAACGATGGATGGCCGAGCACAGATCGTCTCAACTGGTCAGCGGCTGGTTCTGACCCAAGTTCACAGCAGATCATGATTTCAGACTTTGGCGTCAAGTGAATGGAAGCAATCTTTCCAAGAAATGGGCTTGTCCGAAAACTTGGTATATCCAAACATGGTCATGCCAATGAGCTAAATGATGATTAACCACTGGATACGGGGGTGTCCTAAAATCAAACAAACCAACATAGGCTACAAACACTGTTTTTGCGACCGCGCAAACAAACCCGGGAAACTGAAAGTTTCAATCAACCTATGCCACAGCCAGCTCAAATTTCTTTGCGCCAGAATTCTCAGGCATCACGGTGTCCAGAACCCTGCGTTGGCTCTTTCACATGGGTGTTAGGTTGAGTGACTGCTCCCAAGGAAGGACCCCTTTGCATGTTTTCAACTTCATTCAGCCAATTCGATTTTGTCATCAAGTCTTCCAACCTGATCAGGGCAACAAAAACCTTTAGGAACGCCATGATCTGGACAGCGGTCATCTTCAGCCAGGCCAGATTGCAGCAAATTGCCATTCTGGGGTACACCCCCATGTTTGGACAAATTGCAAAATTTCCATAAAGAAAATGCATCACAATAACACCTCTTGCAGACATGATGCTCAACTGCTCCTTTTCTAAAGCAGAGGCACAAGCTGCCGTGCAAATACCTTCGGGACATCCCGGTTGCTGTCTTGTCCCGGGCCCAAATGCTCCACACCAAAGTGAACATGCCCCACTTTGCACATCAACATGTTGGCTCCAGCTGCCACAAGGACTGATGGCAGCAACAAGCACAAAGGCTCCCCACAGCAAAGCTACTTCAGCACACGTCATCAGCAAACTTGCCTGCTGCCCATGTTCCAAGGATTGACTGGTACAAATGAGACCGCGGAAAATATAGAATTGGCCGCCTTCAGGATAGGACATTTGCCACCTGGCGAGCACGACGTGCTGCAAACCAAACACTATCATGTCTGATGTGGTGACGGGAGGAGCAAGATCCTGAAACATAAAAGAGTTTCAAGGCAACATCTGCGAAGCTGAAGAAATAAGATGTGCCCGTTCTTGTTTACGCGAACCCCACCTGAGCAAGGTGATGCGCTTTGGGCTGGGTTGTCACCCAGACTGATGTTGAAGAGCTTGTAATCTTCCGTGCTTTCATCACAAACCTCGGCGATGCTTGGCCAACGCCAAAAATACAAACCGCGCTGAACTTGTTCAAGCCTAGCATTGTGGGATGAGGCATGTCTTTTCAAACACAGCAAGAAGGAGACTAGTTTACTTCGCGAGATGCCCATCAAAACATCAACATTCTGAACCGCACGTTGGCTCGCAAATATCCCGACATCTTTTCTCCCACAAGGGCTGACATCTGTTCGGGCATTTGCTTTCACGGAAAAATCCTGACAGTTGTTTTGGTACACTAATTCTTGCTGAATTCTTGTTTGTTCCCTGACATGTAGCCTCACATGTAGCCTTCTGCAATATGTCCGACATCAACTGATCGGGCAAACCGTCCCTTACATATTTTGACATGAAGACTGAAATTTGACACATATTGCGACACGCATTGCTGCAAGAAAACAAGGTTCATTTCAAGATGTGGGTTGGCAAATTTGGCGTGACACAAATTCTGACGTGCTGTGACATATTTTCTAACATGTGCACTGGCAAACTTCATGACATGTATTTTGACATCATGTCCAACATTTAGTTCATCACAGCTGCTCAAAATGCATGTGTCATCAGGCATAACTTGACGCAAAAATCGTGACATGTATCCTGCCATTTGCCCTGGCCAAATTCATGTGGCATATACCGTTATACCGTTATACGACTATATACCGTGGGACATGTATTCTGATTGGCAAATATTCTGACAGGTGGATGATCCAGCCAATTTCATACATGCCACAAATTCTGACACGTTTTCCGGCTGTCAGCTTGACATTTCATGTGCCATATTCTGGCATGTATTTTGGTTCACGCGTCATATCTTCTGGCAAACATTCTGCCATCAAACCGGGCATGTCGCCTGCAGTCGGACGTGCGTTGTATAATGAGCCTGAACTATATACTGCGGCATGGGTTCTGTGCTTGACGGGGCAGATGTTTCTCAAAAGTGCCCGGGTGTTTCTCAAAAATACCCGGGATTTTCTGAAAATGTTCCATTTTTCTAAAAGGGTCCAAGCCACAAAGAAAAGGGCGAATACTAAAGTAAAAGCAAGGATGCAAAAAAAAAATGAAAAGTTCTCAAAAATACCAAAGTTTTTCTCCAAATGTTCCATTCTTCTCAAAATGTTTCATTTCTCAATATGTTCCATTGTTTTCGAAGGGTCTCCAAAAAAAATATCAAACATTCTCAAACCCGGAAAATCTTCCAAAAAAAATCAAACATCCTCAAAAAATCCTGGGCCAGCCCAGGAGAAGCCCTAAAAAAACAAAGTAACCGGGCCCGAGAGAACAAACTAATTTGTATTTTTAATTTATTTTAAATATAGATAGATAGATAGATAGATAAATGTATGTTGTTGTTGTTGTTGTTGTTGTTGTTGTGTTGTTGTTGTTGCTGCTGCTGTTGTTGTTGTTGTTCTTGCTCTTGTTCTTGTTCTTGTCGTTGTCTTTGTCTTTGTCGTTGCCGTTGCCGTTGCCGTTGTCGTTGTTGTTGTCGTTTCCGTTGCCGTTGCCGTTGCCGTTGCCATTGTCGTTGTCGTTGTCGTTGTCCTTGTCCTTGTCGTTGTCGTTGTCGTTGTCGTTGTTGTGGTTGTGGTTGTGGTTGTGGTTGTGGCTGTGGTTGTGGTTGTGGTTGTGGTTGTGGTTGTGGTGGTTGTTGTTGTTGTTGTTGTTGCTTGTTGCTTGTTGTTATTATTATTATTGTTGTTGTTCTTGTTGTTCTTGTTATTGTTGTTGTTGTTGTTGTTCTTGTTGTTGTTGTTGTTGTTGTTGTTGTTGTTGTTTGTGGTTGTTGTGGTTGTTGTTGTTGTTGTTGTCGTTGTCCTTGTTGTTATTGTTGTCGTTGTCGTTGTTGTCGTTGTCGTTGTTGTTGCTGTTGCCATTCTAATTGTTATTGTCATTTTTAATGTTATTTTTATTGTTTGTTTGTTGGTTGGTTGGTTGGTTGTTGGTTGTTGTTGGTTGTTGTTGGCTGTTGTTGGTTGTTGCTGGTTCTTGTTGGTTGTTGCTGGTGGTGGTGGTTGTTGGTTGTTGTTGGTTGTTGGTTGTTGGTTGTTGGTTGTTGTTGGTTGTTGGTTGTTGGTTGTTGTTGTTGTTGTTGGTTGTTGGTTGTTGGTTGTTGTTGTTGTTGTTGTTGTTGTTGTTGTTGTTGTTGTTGGTTGTTGTTTGTTGGTTGTTGGTTGTTGGTTGTTGTTGTTGTTGTTGGTTGTTGGTTGTTGGTTGTTGGTTGTTGGTTGTTGGTTGTTGTGGTTGTTGGTTGTTGGTTGTTGGTTGTTGTTGTTGTTGGTTGTTGTTGTTGGTTGTTGGTTGTTGGTTGTTCTGGTTGTTGGTTGTTGGTTGTTGGTTGTTGTTGTTGTTGGTTGTTGTTGGTTGTTGGTTGTTGGTTGTTGGTTGTTGTGGTTGTTGGTTGTTGGTTGTTGGTTGTTGTTGTTGGTGGTTGTTGGTGGTTGTTGGTTGTTCGTTGTTGGTTGTTGTGGTTGTTGGTTGTTGGTTGTTGGTTGTTGGTTGTTGGTTGTTGGTTGTTGTGGTTGTTGGTTGTTGGTTGTTGTTGTTGGTTGTTGTTGGTGGTTGTTGGTTGTTGGTTGTTGGTTGTTGTGGTTGTTGGTTGTTGGTTGTTGATGTTGGTTGTTGTTGGTGGTTGTTGGTTGTTGGTTGTTGGTTGTTGTTGGTTGTTGTTGGCTGTTGTTGGTTGTTGCTGGTTCTTGTTGGTTGTTGCTGGTGGTGGTTGTTGTTGTTGGTTGTTGGTTGTTGGTTGTTGGTTGTTCTGGTTGTTGGTTGTTGGTTGTTGGTTGTTGGTTGTTGGTTGTTGTTGTTGGTTGTTGGTTGTTGGTTGTTGGTTGTTGTGGTTGTTGGTTGTTGGTTGTTGGTCGTTGTGGTTGTTGGTTGTTGGTTGTTGGTTGTTCGTTGCTCGTTGTTCGTTGTTCGTTGTTGGTTGTTGTGGTTGTTGGTTGTTGGTTGTTGGTTGTTGTTGTTGGTTGTTGTTGGTGGTTGTTGGTTGTTGGTTGTTGGTTGTTGTGGTTGTTGGTTGTTGTTGTTGGTTGTTGTTGGTGGTTGTTGAGTGGTGTTGGTTGTTGGTTGTTGGTTGTTGTGGTTGTTCGGTGTTGGTTGTTGGGTGTTGGTTTGTGGTTGTTGGTTAGTATGTTGGTTGTTGGTTGTTTTGTGGTGTTGGTTGTTGGTTGTTGGTTGTTGGTTGTTGTTGTTGTTGTTGTTGGTTGTTGGTTGTTGGTTGTTGGTTGTTGGTTGTTGGTTGTTGGTTGTTGGTTGTTGGTTGTTGGTTGTTGGTTGTTGGGTGTTGGTTGTTGGTTGTTGGTTGTTGGTTGTTGGTTGTTGTTGTTGTTGTTGTTGTTGTTGGTTGTTGTTGGTTGTTGCTGGTTGTTGCTGGTTGTTGTTGGTTGTTGTTGGTTGTTGTTGGTTGTTGTTGATTGTTGTTGGTTGTTGTTGTTGGGTGTTGTTGGGTGTTGTTGTTGTTGTTGTCGTTGTTGGTTGTTGTTGGTTGTTGTTGGTTGTTGTTGGTTGTTGTTGGTTGTTGTTGGTTGTTGTTGGTTGTTGTTGGTTGTTGTTGGTTGTTGTTGGTTGTTGTTGGTTGTTGTTGGTTGTTGTTGGTGGTTGTTGGTGGTTGTTGGTGGTTGTTGGTGGTTGTTGGTTGTTGTTGGTTGTTGTTGGTTGTTGTTGGTTGTTGTTGGTTGTTGTTGGTTGTTGTCGGTTGTTGTCGGTTGTAGGTGTGTGGTGTTTGGTGTTCGGTGCGTGGTGGTGAGTTGTTGAGTTGTTGGTTGTTGTAGTTGGTTGTTGGGTTGTTGTTGCTAGTGGTGTTGGTGGTGGTGGTTGTTGGTTTGTGGTTGGTGTTTTGTGGTGTTTGTTGTTGGTGTGTTGGTGGTTGTTGGTGTTGTTGTTGGTTGTTGTTGAGTGGTTGTTGGTTGTTGGTTGTTGGTTGTTGGTTGTGGTTGTTGGTTGTTGTTGGTTGTTGGTTGTTGTGGTTGTTGGTTGTTGGTTGTTGGTTGTTGGTTGTTGTTGTTGTTGTTGGTTGTTTGTTGTTGGTTGTTGGTTGTTGTTGTTGGTTGTTGTTGGTGGTTGTTGGTTGTTGTTGTTGGTTGTTGTTGTTGGTTGTTGTTGTTGGTTGTTGTTGGTGGCTGTTGGTTGTTGGTTGTTGTTGTTGGTCGTTGTTGTTGTTGGTTGTTGTTGGTGGTTGTTGGTTGTTGGTTGTTGTTGTTGGTTGTTGTTGGTGGCTGTTGGTTGTTGGTTGTTGTTGTTGGTCGTTGTTGTTGTTGGTTGTTGTTGGTGGTTGTTGGTTGTTGGTTGTTGTTGTTGGTTGTTGTTGTTGGTTGTTGGTTGTTGGTTGTTGTTGTTGGTTGTTGTTGTTGTTGGTGGTGGTGGTGGTGGTTGTTGGTTGTTGGTTGTTGTTGTTGGTTGTTGGTTGTTGTTGGTGGTTGTTGTTGGTGGTTGTTGGTTGTTGGTTGTTGTTGTTGTTGTTGTTGGTTGTCGTTGTTGGTTGTTGTTGGTGGTTGTTGGTTGTTGGTTGTTGTTGTTGGTTGTTGTTGTTGGTTGTTGTTGGTGGTTGTTGGTTGTTGTTGTTGGTTGTTGTTGGTGGTTGTTGGTTGTTGGTTGTTGTTGTTGGTTGTTGTTGTTGTTGTTGGTTGGTGTTGGTGGTTGTTGGTTGTTGGTTGTTGTTGTTGGTTGTTGTTG